GGATTCATCCTCCACAGAAGAAAAACACCCCCTAATCTGCCGCCTGCAGCTCAGCGTCTGCCACGGCCAGAAGCAGAGGGGCTCGTCAAGCCGGCGAGAGCATTTGAATCCTAATTGAATGAAGCCTCCCAATCGAGTCCGCGTACAGGCAGCCGGGGACCACCCACTCAGATGTCTGTGTGGGGAGACCGAGGGTTACTCACAAGTCTCACAACAGGGACCAAACAGCGGCTCTCAGCCGGTGACTCCGTCTCTAGTCACAGCACCGTAAGCGCGACAGGCCACCAATCAATAAGCGGTTATTCATCGCAGTGTTTGCCTCATAAATTGATGTAGAAATCCCAGACAGGCTTAAATCCAAGGTTTCTTCTCTCCAGGCAGCCACGGTTGCAGTGGTTGGGGGGGGGGGGGGTGTCTTGTGAAACAGCAGCAGGCAGATCCCACACCCAGGGGACATGGTGATAGTAATGCTTTTAGGATTTAATGCTTTTTAGTGTATTTATAGATCTCTGAAGGACGCAGAGTGCTCTTTCGCTCTCCCTCTTTCTCTCTCTCTCTGCCTCCCTCTGCTCCTCTCTTGCGAACACCCACCGTCTTGGTGTCATGTTCACAGCTTTTTATTCAATTGTACGGCGAGAAACCTGAAGCAGCAGCCTGTCGTCCAAAAACGTGAGGCTGTCCTCAATGTGAAAGTTACAGATAATTCATTTTGAAGGATTCGCGCTTCGGTCCGCATGTGAAGTATGTTTTACACTTATATAATTATATTGTTATGCGTTGTTGTGCTGCGGGCTCTGCTGAAACCTGTGGATTTTCACATGTCGGGCAGATTAGCAACCGCTCACATGGATTCACAGGGCTGTTATGTTGTGATAGTGGTTTGGATTGTTTGTCATTTGTTAAGTTTAATTGGATAGTGTTTCATTTATTAACTTTTTCCAAAAAAAGAAGTCATGGTTGGATCAATTTCTCATTATGTCTCTATCACACAAACACGTATACGTCAAATCTACATTTGCATTTACATAAATAAACATATGATCACTTGCAATTCATGTTGTCTTGACTTGTTGCTCAATATCCATCTTTGGCCCCAGGGGAAAAAATAATGAAAGTCTGAGTGATTAGGTGCCTTCGACAAAACTATACATCTTTTAGAAAATCAAGCATGGAGTCTCCATGCTTGTAATAAAACATGCTCTCTTCAGGATGTCCTTCTTAAAAGTCTTTTGCTCTTTGTGTGATTGAAAATGCAACCTTGAACCCTGTCTGCCGAGCTTTATGGGGGGGAGAAAAAGTGGAATTAGAGTCTCTGGCTGCATCCAAAGTACGGAGCAATTATCAAACACTTTTTCACTTTCAACCTGCGGCCTGTCGAAGGTGATCCATCAAACTGAGACACGTCAAACGACTGTTTCACAGCCCTTTCATGGTGGCTGAGGGAAAGAGAGGCCGCCCGTGGCACGGTGAAACCCTCAGCCTTTAGCTATGACTGAGTGTGTGTGTCTGTGTGCGCTTAATATGGCATGAGTGTGTGTGATTTACTGGAGAAAGCAGCACTGGTGATAGACGACATATGGAGCTGTGTGCTTTTGACTATTAATTGGCTTTAATGTAGTTTTGATGGCCCTTGTCGATCTCCCCGTGAACCCTTTGGGATCTGCACTTCCACTAGTTCTGAGAGATTTATACTCTTAAAAATCTGTAGGTTGGAAAGAATGTTACGCTCCTTATACAAGATTCAAATTAGTGGGGATGTCCGGATTAATGAGCAGTTATTTCTTCTACACGTATTTGCTGGGCTTTCAAATGGAATTGGGAACCAAGATTGCTTCCGCTGCGATGGTGTAGACATTTTCAATAATTGCAACGATTTGGATGCACAGAGCCAGATAAAAAAAAGCATAATATTTCATCCTTGCCCACCTCAGTGTCCCTGGGTGCATTTTATCGTAATGAGAATCCACTTCCTTTGGAGTAAGCAAAAAATAAGTTCACAACAAATACTGGTGGTGTATTTTTATGTCTGCTTTAGCGTGAGTGTGTGAGTGTGTGTGTGTGGTTGGGACCTTTTCTCAATTTGCCATACAGTATTTGTGCGCTTTATGTATGCATGCACGCGCTACGTGCTCCATCCATCCATCCATCCATCTAGGTCTTTTATCTTTTCTGTTTCAAAGTTGGACTCCTAATGTGTTTGCGGCCCTACGGGAGCCTGAGTCCTCACCACCGGCTTCAACACTCAGAGAGGTAGAAACATTCTGGCAAAAAAAACCCTTATTCCTTCTTGTTATAAAAACAATGAACGAGCAGACTGTAGTTCAAATGAAGGCCCCCTTTCTTTGTTTTGTAGACTTTACAGGAGACAACACACACACAGATTTGCCAGTAGATGAGCAGCAGATGGGTTTTTGTTTTATGATTGCTAGGTGCCAATTTTATTTTGTATGCAAATTGTACTTGGAGTTAAAAAAAAGAAAGACTACATGACTCATCTGCCTGTAGGAGAGAGGCTTTTTTCATCCCGGCTATGAGAAGCTCAGCACCGACCGCTGTGTGGGTGTCCAGCTTTCCTCAGCCTATATGCACCCTCCATTGTGGCAGCTTGGAATTTCGCTTTTCTTTCTATTCACGAGTAATTTCTATTCATGTCTTGTGTCGACAGAGAAGTCTTTATTAAAAAAGGACATCATTTGCTAATAGGTGTAAAATGTTCTCGTAAAAAAGGATTGCAATCGCAAAATGACTCCAATGCCAATTTAGTTCTTACCTTTGTGCGTATGAATCAGAAACCCTCTAAACTGACAGGCTTCTATTTGCAATTCTCTCTTCACTTTTGTATATAATAAAATACTTTTGCCAGAGATTTATCATTTAAATTGTTGTGAAAGAGAGAAGTACAGCCCCTAAATAAAAAACTAATAAAGAGCGGTTGAGGAAATTATGTTTAAGGTGAAAAAAGGTAAAAAGGCTTTGGCTGAAAAGTGGTGAATGCTGTGTCCTCTGAGGTCGTGCCTCAGGTCAAATGGAAAAACAAATGGTGGAAACATAAATAACAGAGCAGAAGATAATAAGGGAACAAATAGAGGAGGATGAGGAATCTGATCTGTCAGGCCAAGATAGGACACTCGTTGCATTTGTTATACAAACGAATTTAGGGTGAAAGGGACGACAGAGGTTTAAGGCCTGTACAGATTACTTTGATGCTCCATTCATAACGTTGACATCCCACATTTAAAATACCTCCATAGCGTTGTAAAGTCCCATCAACATGATAGATGATAAAGATAGATGTAATGATATCGAAAATAACATCAAATATCAATATCTTAATATCAAATGTTTGTGTTATATATAAAAGCCTTGATATACACAGTATATTTGAAGCATGATCATACCAAATGAGGATGAAATGGCGTCATTCAGGTATTTAATACATCTGGCCAATGCATTCGTAAACATATTTGTGATGTTGTCTATCAAAGCCTTTTCAAATGAATGCAGTTTATGTATTAAATGAATTTAATTAAAAGTTGTTGGCTATATTCTATTGTGCATACTCACGGTCTAAGGAAGTTCTAAATTTGATTAAAAATGTAGAACTACAAATGTGTACTCTTGTTTAGTGGCTGATTACTGTGCAAAGAATCCATTTCTTATTAATAGACTGTGCAAAAGCACTGTGCAGGACTAGCTTTACAATGGCTATAAGAGAATGTATAACCGAATCAGGAGGAGTTTTCACGTTAATACTCTCCTCCAATAAGTGGAAACATTCATCAGCCGATTTTCCATGGGGGAAATTTACCGCATGTTTATTTTCTCAACCATTTTAGTTCAGGCGTTTATACCCACAGCAACTCATCCGCCCTGCTGCTGCTTCCCAGTTCAGAGATTTAGGGCTGTTTCTCAGCTTTGAGAAAATACCGATCCGTGCAGGAGTTTAGCAGTAAACTTCAGCTTTAAAGTAACACAAATTGAAAAAGAAATGCGTATATATTGCACTACATTGTTTTTAATCAAAATAATAGTAAGAAGCCTAAGATTTTTGGCTCATTGCTTCCCGTACATGTAGCTCCATGCTTAGCGCACAGACATAAGAATGATAACAGTTTTCTTATCCAACGCTCAAGAAAGTTAATTAGCCTGTTTCCCAAAATGTAAATTCCTTCAGCATGGCGTTTTGATTTGAAAATTAATAACATATTGGAACCGGCCACCGTGACAAATTTCTCCAGTATAAATGCTGTTATCCAGTAACCGTCCCTCAGAAAATATACTTGTTTTTGCAAGCAATGCAACACAATGCACTATTCATGAACATTCATGTCAAATTTATTGCAGCTTTATTTAAGTACGGGGACGTGTGCGTTCCCATGAGAGTGCAGAACCCACATGGTGCCTTTGTGTGAGTGTTTTTTTGCTCCAGATGGTGTGTAAGCTCATGTAGCTTGCAGTTATTGATGCAAACTGGATTTCTGCCGACACGTATGAATTGCAAACAACCCTTTATTCTTAATTTAGATATTAATTAGTTTCCCTGTTATTTTGCAAAGCCCTGTGATTTCAAGTGACACGGGGTATGTTAATAGGAGCGTCTTCTGCTTCACACTGCAGAGGAGCATTTAAACGAAGGAGGAGCCTCGGTAACATGATTGAAGCATTGAATATTTAATGCAATAAGCTTATTACAATGTCCTGGGAATATCTTGTTCCTGTTGACTGCTATAATATTCCATTCTGCTTCTAAATTTCTAAATACCAGAAAAAAGGTCATCACTTTACTCCCTTTTGGCTTTTGGATTGAAGAAGCAAAGAAATGAAGCATTGGCTAAGTCGGTCACCCGCCTCCATGCTGTTTCACATGTTTTCCATTTCAGCTTCTCAGTGTTGCCCCCATGCAACTAACACCTGAGATATTGAATCAACAACTAAAATCAGTGAACATAGCTCTCTTTTCTTGTCTTCTTTTAACGTCTATCTGTTTTTCTTTCTCCCAGTGCATTCCCATCGCCGGCCATGGATTTGTGTTGGACAAGTACAAGTGCCAGTGCAGGAGCGGATTCTACCATTCCAGCCGAGTGGTGCTCAATGGCTTTAAAAGTAGGTTCCTCCAATATCCTCTTGTGATATTATCACGTTGAGCTCAAAACTTTGACTTGTTCAAAAGCACGCTTTTGGGATTCATGAAAAATGAAAGCAAAAAACAACATGCATCTGTTTTATTTTTGGTGCTTTTCAGCTGACATTTAGTTTGAAATTCTTCTCTTTGAATGTGTGTCCTGGGACCTGTGAGGTTATGAAACCTCAAGCTTCAGTCAAAGGACTTACTGACTGTTGTTATTGTGGAAATGTCTGCTATGGTTCTATTCAGAGGTGGCTTCTGAATCACAGACCTGTTGGACTGAGGGCTGTGCACTGTTGACAGAGTGCGCATGTTGATGTAGATATAAACCCTCCAACCCTTAGTTACTGTTGCTAGGCCATTCGAGCATCATTCTAAGTAATGTTTTTAAACAAAAGCTATTTGATTTCAGCAAGAAGTAACAAAAGTCAACGACATTGGATTTAAGCGGCTGAAATGACGCAATTAGGTTTAGTCACCTGCCTAAATATGGAAATGAAGTAGCAGTACTGTTCATGTATCTGCAAGTTCAGATGTTCATCCCGAGGATTATAGTTATATTATATTATATTAGTAAAGATTTAAATGAAATATAATTTATATTGAGAAATCCAAAATTTTGCTAAATCAAATCTTGGGCAGTCACTGTTTGAGGGATGAGTTTATCTTGTGGTCATTTGGTATTAACTGTCTTTGTCTGGCTGCGTTTTCTTTTATTCAGACACAATGAATATGGGCCGAAAGCTTTCTAATCTGAGCATTTGCACGAAACTTTGTTTTCGGAAAGGTTCTCCTCTGATGCCGTCGCTCGTATTATTTTCTAGTGCATCCGTCGCTCTACCTCCATGCTCCTGCTGTGATTTTCAATGCCTGTATTCCGACACCTCGACTGAAAGCGATGCAGGGCGGAGAGCTCGGCCCCGATGAGCGAGATAATCAAGCAACTGCTGTGGGTTTTCATCCATGACTCAAACAATACAGTCCCCCGAGGGGGGGGCAATATGCTAAGCTGGAGCTTTATTGTAATGCAGCATGATGTGTCTCTTCAGTCTATGAAGTGACCCAATGCCGACCCACTCATTAAAAGTCATTGCTCAGATTGAGTCGCGGTACTCCGCAACCCTGATTTCTTCCCACCGGAACCTGTCTGTTATTCCTTGTGCATCCCAGAAAACAGACCATGCTAGAAATAGATTTGGTTTTGTTCCCTAGCAACAAGCCAATAGGACAGATATCAAACGGGGGAAAGCAATGTAGTATTATAAAGTGCGCAGTAGAACCTCATGAAAAATTTAATTTCATCAGAATGTCACAATGACACAAGTTGGTCAGCTCAACAGACGATTTGAATAACAAAACAAACACACGTCAAACTGACAAATATTTACATAATTCATTGAAATCCAGTAATATTTAACCATTTTAGATCGCCCAGATCCTCGTCCTGATAAACAAGGTCTGAAATGTGCTTAGGTCACCTAGTAACAGCCAATTTCAAGGGATGATGTCATCAAATCCATGCATCAATCTACGCTCAACCTTTGGCAATATGGGAGATGGATGTGAAGCCCTAGTTCTTTGTGGCTCTGGATCACTTCACATTCTAAGTGGACACACTTTTTAACAATCTAATCAAATGCAAAAGATTTGATTGAGATCCCTTCTGTAATTGAACACCGCTCGTAAATTCAATTTCACTGTGTAATACATCCCAGCACAGAAGGTGAAGACTGTCTCCCTCACGCTTCACTTGCACTCAAAGAAGCCATAACATACAAGTATTGCTCAACAATTCTGTGGAAAACCTTTCAACTCCTTTAAGTACTTTATTAATACCTGATTCTTCTTCTACTTTTGTTATATGTGCGGTTTAAAGTGAAAAAAAACACTTGTTGACAAGTGTGGAGAGTTTAGACTTTGAAACCATTACATTTAAATCTTTAGGTACGGTTGGGATGTTACATAACGGCAGATCTATGTATGAGAATTGTAGGCGGAAGGGGCGCCATCACTCGCCGGGGGGATGTAAAGTTGACACGGTCAGAACCAGCAGGTCGCGGAGCAATGCTGTGGTGAGAATGCTCCCACAGAGGGCCGGCCCGCCAAATCGTTTAAAGGTGGAAAACTATTTTAGGTTCATTATGAAACAGTGCCGGGAGAAAATAGTCTTTGGTGGGCAGCAACATTCCGGGCAGCTTTCCCTCACACCAGTGAAACTCACATCCGTAGATGCACGAATATTAAAGAAGATAAACGGGGATTTGCAGCTGTAAGGCCAGTGACGGTGAGGAGGTAGAGCGCGAGTCACCTGCTTCCAATCTTTTCCAAACCCTAAAACACATGAGACTAACTAGAAAAACTTTAACCACTGTGTGTGATTTCTTAAATCTGTGCCTGAATTATTCATCATTTGTCTTTTTATTGTATATTATTACATACATCCAGCAGTGATTTCTGCTCATTCTGTTGCAGTGTTTGTATAGTGAAAGAGATCTGGGACTTCCATGCTCTTATTAAATATTGTATATCAAGAAAAGCAGCACCATGTCTGCTAAAGATTAACTCCAGAATTCTATCTTTGCTATTGCCTGTCCTTTCTTGACTTGTATGTGGTTAAAATTGGGTTTTAAAGGCCACTCAAATGAGATGTGTTATAGGATGAGATATGGTAAACCGCATTGAAGCTGGTATAACAACAATTATCCAACCCAGAGTGATGAAGGGAGCGTGTCGTCCTGTCCTTCATTATTCCCTCATCTGTCTAATTAAATGCTGCATTCCTGTAATTATCACCCCCAGGGCTTTTGATTTATTGGACTGATGATTTTGATTCCTTCAAATTGATTAACTGAGCATTTAATGAGAAGTCAGTGTGAAAGCCACACCAAATTAAATTACATTGATCATCCTTGAAAACACTACAGTAAATCAGACTAGTGCTCTAAGTTGCAATTTTAATCAAATGTTTTTTTCCTCGGTTAGAAGGGAACAAACACTTTTACTTTGCTTTAACTTATAGCATGCAAATAATCAACAATGTCCGAAATGTCCACGTCCTCAGGTAAGGAGCAGGGCTCTAACAGAGACGAGACGGCGGACGCGTCCACTAAGTGCATGCCGTGCCGCGAGGGCTGCTCCTATTGCCGGGACGACGCGCCGTGCCTGGTGCACGAGGATGGTCCCCTGCGGCTCACGCTGGCCTCCTTCCAGGGTCTGTGCATGGTGCTGGACCTGGCCAGCATGGTGCTGGTCTACCACTTCAGGAGGAAGAAGGTGAAGGGGGACAAAGCGGTCGCTGAGGAAGGGTGTCGGATGCAGATTGAATGCTGTGAATTCAACAGCACGTAGCTGGCGTGCTGTGATTGCACATGTACAGTATGGCATTACCTCAACAAAGAGACAAAGAGACAGTATTGCATTGCATTAATGGAATTGTAGGAACCAACTTTTGCAGCCGGCCTGTATATGGGTGTCCACATATAGGCCAATGCTCAAACCCTCTGCAAGCAACAGTGCACACTAATTAATGTTGATGCATAATTCATCATATGGAATTATTTTTCCTTGTCTGAATCGCTTCAGACAAGGAAAAATAATTCCATTTTTTGGGGAATTTTGGTGGACTGCATATAAAAATCTAAAAATCGGATTTTGATTTTAGTTACCATGGGAACAATAGGAGCTTTGAGGTATTCCAGTGGGATGTAATCCAATCCCAGAGGAAAAATATTTTTGAATAGACATTTGATAGAATGAAGTAAAATAAATATGAGATCCTCACAGTGTAGCATTATTACAACCCCCCCTTCTAAGTTCAGTTGAGTTTTTCCGCGTGTTATTTATAGACATTTGTGTTCAAAATCGCTTCACAAAATCTCTTCACTCTTCACAAGAAATATCCCTGGAGCTCTTTGAATTTACATAAAAAAACATTCAAGGTAATGTGGGTAATTAAATCCAACCCAGAAAAGGTGCTATTGTCATTTATATTCTTGTTTCAGGGGAAGACAAAACATTGGCAAGTATATGTATCTGCCAGTGTGTATGACAAACAAACAGCAATACAAGATTTAAAGCAAGAATTTATGCATTTCTCAATTGTAATTTATGCATTTTCACATTTGTCTCGTTGTGTTTTACTCCAATTCACAAAGCTGAGGAAACGTTATATCATATTTGAAGTAATATGTTATGACAGCACACTATTTTTCAAACTCCCTTAAGACACAATACATAATTCTTCCCTGTCAGTGATTGATTAATTGATTGTTTAACTTTTATTTTCTTTAATTAACAGAGGATCCGCACATCTGGTCTCATTCTACTGGAAGCCATTTTGTTCGGGTCTTTACTGCTCTACTTTCCAGTAAGTATGCGTTCTGATCTCCAGTGGCACCCACCTCCTGCTCAGCAAGTTTATTTACCGCTTTTTTATTAAAAATGGATTCCTGTTCAGAATATATTAGCGTGTAAAAAAAGCAGTAAACCGTGCTTACTTGTACTGTTACAGTACTGTACTTCTGATTACTGTCTGGACAAAAAAAAAAGACTTGGTGAGCATGATCAATACGAGTGTGTCTTTTTGTGCGTGAGCCATTGCCAGCCTTTGTGTTGTTTGAATGCGTAAACAGGTCCAGGTTGGTGCCAGCGTGCGCTGTGTGTGGGTGTGTATTTGGCCCCCGTGTGCACAGCCCATATTGCACCTGGAGCACCGAGTGAGAAGCCCATCTTTAGCAGAGAAACAGATGGAACAAGCCCGAGCGCCATGTAACAGGTCTTGGGAGATTGGTGCATATCAACAAACACCGTATAATAGTTTAGAAGAATAATCACACAATTGCAAAGGTATAATAAAAGAAACATTTTATAAAATGATGCCTGCAGTTAAGGCGTCTTCTTTTAAAGAATTCAGTTCAGATGTTTAAGGGAAGAGTCTGATTTGAGGGAGTATTTATATGACGAGATGAGTTTACAACATTTATACTTTCCGAAAGTTATTGAATACCACTTTGTGAATGAACAATCAAAGCTTTGAACAATTCGATACACTATTAGTTACCCGTGGAGCCAGCAGAGAAGATGGAAAAGGAAAGCCAGAGAATGTGAGCCAAGGTATTTTTAAGCTGAGCAATTAACAGGGTTGGATTAGAGACGGACTCCACGGCTCTCAATTACAAACGCAGAATTCACAGGCAACAAAATAGTTTGCCACGCATCCACAGAGAGCCTCTGAACAAAATAAAACAAAACAATATTTATTTTTAAAGCAATAATGCCAGTTTGGGAGTTTAAATATTGGCCAACCTCAGGTGTGATGCTCAAAATGGACTTGTTTTTGCAGCCATCCATCCCCCTTTCTTTCCCCGATAACTCAAAAAAAACCTTCCCTAAAGTCATCCTGCTGTTCTCTTATGTTCACAGACCCTTGGATACAATCAAGCATCTCTTCCTCCCTCTCCAGCACCTTGTCTGTCATCACCACCTCTTCCCTGTCCATCCTTCCCCCCATGTTATTCCTTCATTACCCTTTTGCGTGTCCTCTCGCCGCCCCGTCTTTGTGTCCTTCTCATCTCACTGCCTAACGTTCGTTTTTTTTTTTGCTGCTGCTTTTTCTTTGTTGCAGCCACGGCCGTGCAGCCCTCTCAGCTAAGATTAGCGCAGCTGCTCCGCTCTGGTGCTCGATGCATTTTTTAACAGTCCATCAAGTTCCAGCACAACTTGTTTTAAAAATAAAATCTGCTGATTAATTTATGGTGGAGGCGCTGGCGGAGGTTGGATGCAAACCAGGAGGGCCACCTTCTCTTCTGAGAAATATAAAAATGTAGCTTTTGGGGACTGTGTAGTCCGCTCGGGTAGCAGAAAGGGTCCGTCCGTGTCTGCCTCTCGGTGTATGTTTGTGTGTGTGTGTGTTTACGGGCGGGATGGATTGGCTTTGAATTTGAAGTTTATCCTGTGAATGTGTGCTTGTGCATTTGTGCAGGGATTTGCATTTGTGCATTGATATGTGGGTGTAAGAAACAGCGTGGCCTACTTTTACTCTCTGTGTTTGTGGAGGTGATTTATAGTTTTTTGTCTGACATGTAGGTTATACCAGAGCGCTGGGGGGTGTTTGCTCAGGAGGCAAAGAGACGAGGGTGCCAAGCAGGATGGTAATCCTGACTGCGGGTTAACACGAGTGCTCGGTGAATTGTGGGCAACATTTGCTTCGTTAATCTGTTCTTTACACGTTTGTTTCTTTACTTGTATGTCTGCGCTATTATTTTATCACTAAAAGAGTCCTATTGGCTTGATATTCAGGTGCACATGTTTCTACGCATTACGTGGCAGAATTGGAAAAGGATTGAGGCACAAAGGTTTCCCTGATTTGCGTAAAACTTAAATACAACTAACTCAGTCATGATTAAGAACAGTGGAACTATTCAAGAAGTATATTACAGGTCATTTAGCTGACGCTTTTATCCAAATGCTAATTACCATTTTTTAAGATGGTAACCTAGTAATACTATTATTAAAATTATATATATATCTTTTTTTAAATGGCCAAAAGACGTTTTCATCTGATTACCCACAATGCTCCTGTCACCAGAATCAGAATATAACTACTCGTGAGATAGTGGAATTATTATGCAATGTAAGTACAAATGGCATTTAAATGCAAAAGCTTTTATTAGGCTTGACAGATATAAATGCAATAAATCTTTGCCTTGCTAAAATTTGGAACAATTTGTTGTTCTGTCTTATGTTTTTTTCTACATTTACTATAGCTGCCTGATACAGATGAAAAGGATAAAGCAATGGAATAATCTGTATTTGTTTCCTGAGACAACCAACAGTTGTACATTACATTAGTTTCCCCTTACTTAGAACATAACTTACACTCATACTTCTGCAGCCTCCGGGTCGGCTGGTTTCTTAGCTCAGTTTGCCGCAGATGTTCTGCTTCTTTTCTGACGGAAAAGAGGTTACAGGTGCTGTTGTTTGTTTGCTCAATTACTTTGGATAGCTGCCGTCTCTTGAATGCCGAGGCATCCCAGGAGTTTGGATGAATCACAGGCTGTACTTTCCTGGAATGCATTTTTGCTGCATTTGAAATGATGTCACATGGTAAACAATAACCTCCGGTGGATGGAGTAGGATAAGGAACATGACGTGTTGAGATGCTTTAACAACAAACAGAGCAAGAAAGAATGAGTACAAAATCAAGTACTGTAAACCCCAAAAAAGCGCTTCTTTTCTGTCAAATGTTTTCCTCCATTCTGTGTGTTCGGTATCGGCTACATCTCAGAGATAATGAATTAGTACAATTTGGGAGGATGTATAAAGATGGACATCATGGATTAACAACGTGTATATTAAACGTGACTTGCATGTGCAAGACTGAGTTGTCCTTTGACATCCTGCAGGATGTGCATCCGCCAGGTGAGTAAAGCACATTTTCTTTGCTTCAGTGGAAATGAGAATAGAGTCCCTGCGATGGATCAACAGCTTCACGCGTGTCACTGGAGATTTGACGCGGGGCGTCTCTTTGAGGTGCACGCTGCTAATGAAATAAAACAAACCTGCAGTAGGAGTGCAAATGGAAGCTGTGATCTGCACAGCTGGACATGACGCAACAGTAAGAGGTAGAAATAAAGCCCACTACAAGCTGGAAATGAAAGGCCGACATGTTATAAGGTGTCGTAAAATACTCCAAAAATGACGCGGGGCCCAATCAGATGGCCGTATACCCACCGTTAATACAAATAAACCTGCAAACACTTGCTGCAATCGCTCCTTAAATACCACCGGGAAGGTAAGAACCAACCGTTGAAACTCTCACATCTATTTGGTTCCGGAGGCCGACGTAGGAACAACGCACTGTTGAGGCATTACTGCGGGAGCTCTGGAAGCGCAGGACATCGGCGAGGCCTCCACCTCTGCTTCTCACACGTCTCACAAGACCCATTTTCGTTTTCTGATTCCGTCAGCGGAAACATTGGGAGTGTCACAAAGAAACAAAAAAAAAAAAAGAAATGATACGGCTGATCTGTGTACCTCAGTGTGAACACCAAGTCTTGTACCACTCTGCAGGTGATGATCATGTACTTCCATCCCAGTGTGTTTCGCTGTATCCTCCTGAGGTGGGTTCGCCTCCTGGGTTTCGCCGTTATGTACGGAACTGTCATCCTCAAGCTCTACAGGTACTGTGGACTCAAATCATCTGGATCAAAGATCATATGAGAAATGACATTTCCTCTCTCCCATCTCTTATATGATTCTGTCTTTGCTCCTTGCTCCTTCTCTTCCTATCTTCTGATCTCCTTGCCTCCTCTCCTCTAATTCCTCTCTGTTGCCTTGACTCTTCACCTTTATTCTACCCCATCCTCTCTCTATGTTATTCTGTTGCCTCTCTTTTTCTTCAAATTACCTTTTACACCCCCTTATCTCCTCTCCTTTCTTCCTAGCTCCTTTCCCCCTCCTCTCTCGCCCTCTAATCTGCTTCCTCCCTTTGTCCTCCCATCCGTCCTCTCTTCTCCAGATATTAACTTGCCCTTTGAGTCAGCTGTAGTGTTTCAATACTTCACCTTTCTCTCCGTCTGCAGTCACACACACAGTTAATGCAGTTAATAAGCACATATCAATTTGCCATCGGGAAGGTCTTTCTGCATCTGCTGAGACACATAAACTCCTGTCCTGCTCTCTGTCCTCTGAGAAAGTGTCGCAGAGAGGGATTTTTATTTTTCTTCCGAGCTCGCTGGGTGTTAAGTGTGCCCCGAAGCCGAGCTCGTACAGCCCAGTCTCAACGAGTGTGTATCTGAGTTTAGATTTGTCACGGCCTACAGATGATAGCGAACCGGGTGTCTGGATGGGGATATTTATATAACGTCCCCTATAGCTCTGATTGCACAGCATGAAATCACTTTAAAACTGTTCCCGCTCTAGAAGCAAATAGAGATTATTCCATTGCTTAATCAGGTTTTTCGTATTAGGCAGCTATAGTAAAGAGAAAATAAGACAACAAATAACAAATTGTTCCACATTTCAGAAAAGGCAAAGTTGCTTATATTGCATTTATATTTGTCAAGACTAAACCCATTTAGTGCGTTTAAGTGCCATTTAAATTGACATCCCAGCTGAATGATTTTTAATTCATATGACCCCGGCTGAATTGTCTTGTGTAAATGCGGTGGAGATACTGTACAGCTTACAAATAAACTGCCTCTGCAGTAATGAATTAAGTTCAAGTTCTTAGTTGTTGGAATGTTATATTTAGATATAAAGAACCGCATTAAGAAATCTGTAATCTCATCCTAGACTTTTATCTTTATTTCCCCCATCGGAAAGAGATGCGGAATGAAACTAGATAACTGCGCCCTTTTCTCCCTGATCCTTTTAATTCAAGTGGGCACGTTAGCAACAACAACAGCCGGGGGGGTGAGAATCCGTGACTCACCCACACCGCTCATCACGACCACACCGAGCCGCCTCAAGGCTTCGGGCGATGACGTTGTCTCTCTTCAATGCGCTCCGATCTCAGGGTGTTAAAGGTGTTCCTGTCCCGCACCGCCCAGAGGACGCCTTACATGACCAGCTGGCGGGTCCTGCGGCTGCTAGTGGTGATCCTGGTGGTGGTGCTGTGGTTCCTGGTGGCCTGGACCTCCTCGGTGTGCCAGAACCCCCAGCTGAGCCAGGCCGTGATCACTGCAGGCCTCACGCCGGAGGGCCTGCAGTTCAGCATGTGTCTGCTGGATCGATGGGACTACATGATGGCCGTCGGTGAGTGCGTGCAAGTGCTTTTTTTTCTTTTCTGTAGCTTACTGTACTTCTTACCACTTAAAGCTGTGAGGCTGCTTGGGTGAGGCTAAAGAACAAGTTTTAGTTTTTAAACTTTCGTAAAAAGGCTTCCGGGGGGGAAATAAATGCCCGTTACCTCAGGTGACATCTACTGATTCGCCAACACAGTTTATGGAAACCTTTGTTTGACTCTGCGTTGAATGCTTTGTAGATGCACATTCACGAAAAGTGTTTCTCTAGCAACTTGCAGGGAGACTTTTGCACAATACACCCATTGTTGTTCAAGTGACAAATCCCGTCAGCAAAACAGGTGTGGGAAAAAAAGCAATAACCTTCTCTGCTTTAGGAGATTTTTTGTTGCAGATAAATAGAGCCACTAATTCAAGCGAGGTAAAAATGCTCCTAAATATGCCACCTGCTTGTCTTAAGACGTGATTATGCTCTAATAGGCCTGTTTATTCAGCAGTCTGGCCTCGAGGCGGCATTTTGAGAAAAATCTGCTTTGGAAAATGAATGCATCTGTCAATTTTAAGGGCCGAGTCCATTATTGAATTCACCTTTCCCTGAAGGGTTTGTTCTCAAATAGTTTAATGGAATATGCCCTATATTAAATTAATGAAGATAAATTGCACATCTGTATGTCTCGGGCTGCCGACATTAAAGCTAAAGAAGGTAGAAGGTACCACACATCTTTGTTTCAGCCCTTCACCAAAAAGCATGTCTCGAAGGATGAACTGAACAAATCCTATCCAATTTTATAGATAACCATTCATTGAAGAATTAAATGGTTTAATTTATCACTGGACACTGTAGTGAATGTGCATTTGTTATATTATTGCCTTTCACCTTGACTTCTCATACTTCTCTTTTATTTAATTTCCACTCCATTATATTACCACTTTGAGTGTCCCTTTCTTTTCTTTCCCATGTTTCCATAAATCATGACAGATATAAATTGTTCAATCGTGTGTCTTACTTAGAAAAACAACACAGGCACATTAACATTATTTAACTTCTAAGTAAATTGCAACACCAAATCATTTATCCTTGATTTGGAGCTAATATCAAATGCATCGCTAAATCAAGAATAGAAAGAAGGAGAGATGCATTTGCCGAGAAGTTTCAGCTTCTTTCCTTCATGTGGCCGAAGGTCAGCCAGAAGGGCTTGTGTGTGCGAAACAGTAGATTCCCAATGACAGATCCGGGAAGCAGGAGGCCGTGATGGGCACCTCACCCAAGACGGCCTGACAGCAGGGCAGACTAATCCTGTTTGGAAAGAGGCAAAGGATGGATCCCTGAGAGAAGCCTGGTCCTCTTCAGAGAACTGATGGACAGGCAGACAGAGAGAGAGAGAGAGAGAGAGAGAGAAGGAAGTTGCCGGCAGTAAGAAGAGTTGGGGCTTGGGGAAGTACATGAAGCTTGAAGGGACGTGTGAAACCATGCGGAGAGTTTTCTACCGGCTGGGGAAGTGGGAGAACTTGAGAGGAGGAGAATGAGAAAGTGAAAGGACCCCTGAGGACGCAGACTTGAGTCACGAGGCGTCTTCACAGGAACCCACGGTGGGCTCCTGCTGCGACGGCTTTCTGCAAACGTTATGGAATAAACCACGTAGAGCATCGCAATCCCTCACGTTTGTGCGTGTGTGTGTGTGTGTGTGTGTGTGTGTGTGTGTGTGTGTGTGTGTGTGTGTGTGTGTGTGTTGGCTGTGACAGCCAGAAGACACGTGTGTGCTGAGGCTGCACTGAAGGACAGAAGGCGCCCTGCAAAGCTGCTTTGAGGGATTTTAATAAAGCATGTGATTTTGTAACGCCGACAAGGGAAAACATGTTTGTCTGGAAATGAATAAAATCATCCGATTTTGTCTCAAATTGGAGTTGAGTCAAAACAATATTTATAAATCCAACTATAAGCAATTCACTTGATTCTGGAATAAATCTGCATTAGTTGGATTTTTTCATTCCTTGCTTCTTCCACACAGCTTTTGATGTATCTTGATTCAGAGGCATTAGTGATGATTAATTGACAAGGGCTGTTCATGAATATTAATGGCCGGTAATCACAGTACGGACGTTAAGGAATCACATGCCGACACACTCCTGGCACACTTTCTGGTGCTCATCTATGTCTACAAACAAAACAACAAGCTCATGTAGCGTGTAACTCCGAGGAAAACCTCTCGCTCGGTGATGCTCATCTGATGTTTTCATGTGCAGTATATAGAAAACTTTTTTATTTTTGTAAAGTAAGAATGTTTTTCTACAACGCAGTGCAGCAAATATCAGGGCTGACATCATTTGCTACCTCCAAAAGCCAACCTACATCTGTGCGCATGTAATCCCGTCCTGTGTGTTCTCTATAGGACTATAAGGCTAAATTTCTAAATACATCTCCACTGTAAAATTGCACTGCTGTGTGACCTTGGTGAGATCAGACGAAAGCAGCAAGGTGTCAAAACATTGTCGAGGAAACACAGCGAATCCTTGTTAGATCAGGAAATGCTAAATCTGGAGCTTCATCATCGCTTTGAACGCAGAGTGGAGGATCAACTTTGTTCAACTCTTTGTTTCATACAGTGTGCGATGAATGAGTGTGTTGCTGTGTTCAATAGTAGTGACTTTGCCTCGTGTTTGTAGAGCAACAGTGCAGAAAGGATTTGACACGCAAATAAAAACAAAGACCAAATCAACGCAACAAAGAATAGTTCTTTATTTTTAGAGATACGTGAGGTGATTCATGGTGGAAACTGGGGGAAACAGATGTTCCCTGTCTAAAGGTTAAAAAAAAACTTTTTGTTTAGTCGCTACTCAAAGAAAACTTAATTCAACTAAATAGAATTAAGAATCACTGTCTGGTTGCATCATGACCGGCAGTAAATTAAAATGTGTTTACCACAAATCTTTTGTTCATGGATTAAACCACACATTTGAATGTGGTCACATTTGAATACTGTCAAGTTCTTGAGCAGAACAAAGCAGATGCAACATTTTAATTAGTGGGCTTTGGAAATGCTGGATGGGCTTGTTTTAGAACTTCGGACAGAGCCGTGCAAGCCGGATCCCTCCGGTTCCCCCGTTTTAACGCTTTCGTTTTTAACTGGGAAACATTAAAAGCGTTACTGTTCTCATCTCACCCTCAGACTGAAATGACTTTATTGAGTTTGGCGCATGAGCGAGAGACGAATATCCAATGTCAAAAGGAGGCACTTTATACGTGAAGATACATCTCTTGGATTATATAGGCTTGTTCCAGCATGCGGGCTGTGTCGCAATAAAAGACAATAAACACTTAAAATCAGTCTTCAAACGCGCCATGTGAACTTGTTATTTCCTTTTTTTTTCATGTCCCAGCGGAGTTCCTGTTCCTGCTGTGGGGCGTCTACCTCTGCTACGCAGTCCGCACCGTACCGTCGGCCTTCCACGAGCCGCGTTACATGGCGGTGGCCATCTACAACGAGCTCCTCATATCCGCCATCTTCCATATCATCAGGTGGGTGAGAGGAACGAGTAAAGAACGGTGCACTAATAATGACGTCTTCACAGAGGGTTAAAAGGGGAAGAATAATTCTCTTATTTTCCTTGATGATCAACTCTGCGACAGTAATGAGGGAATATGACAATAACGCCGGGCTTAGACCACTTAAAGTGGTGAATAGAAATTGCTTCGCAAGGCAGAGACACAGCATTTAGTGCCAGAGCCCAAAATAAACCCTTTCTACCCGTTAATGGACTGTCTCTCTTTCTGTCCCAGGTGGCAGGTACACACATGGGCAACGAGAGTCAGTAACGCAGCTCAGTTTCTAAAGCGAACTAATCTAAACGTTATTTTATTTGATATTGTGGCCCTAAAAGGAGAGAGAAGATGTAATAAGGCAACTGTTGACTTACACAAATACTACTTTAATAATTGATACATTATTATAATAAAAATTCTTGTAGTTTCCTCCTCGTCATTTCACACACAAAACAATAAAGTTTTTACCAGCCTAGTTAGTCTCGAGCTCAAACTAAACGTCTCAACACTTTGGAAGCAAATAGAATCACGCATTTGAAAACAAACTGTGTCGAATGCTGCGCAAAGCATACTGGGGGCTGGTTTGACGGGTGTTATTTCTCTGCCTTCAGGCAGCCTTTTCATGTTTGTGCTGCATGTAAATCAGCTTACAGAGTCTTGAAAACTTGAATGAGATGCATAATACATGTTTTCACCTTCCAGCTCTACTACACTGTACAGTGTTGATGAGAAGTGACACAGTTGAAGGTAACATCTGGTTGGAAAAAGAAAAACCCGTCTTTTGTTATAAAATGCATAAGGAAGTTTTGTAAAAACAAATGTATGAAATTAACGTTATATTCTAAATTACTTGAACAGAAAGATCTAGAATTAAATATGTATAGATATATATTTATATCTATATCTATAGATATATGTATATATGTCATTATGACATCATCCACTGGTTTGTGAAAAGCCACTTTAAAGCCTTGAGTTTGACTTCTTGGCCGTCGCCATCTTGGCAGAAAGGCCACGAGAGGGTGAAATTAAGTAACAGTGAACACTGAATAAAACATTTTTAAAAGGCCACAACTGTCGCACACAAACGTAACACACAATGAAAGGGTGGAAGTTCTGAGAGGAAATCGTGGACAACTACCACACCCAACGATGGCGACACCACGCTGCATTGATGACTAGAAACTAGCACATGTTTAGTAAACAGTAATGAATCAAGTGAGAAGCACAGGTCCCTTTCCCCGGATGCAACCTGGCTTATTTTTACAACCAGAGGAGTCGTTTCTTATGCCTGCAAAAGACAACGCAAGTTTAAGGCCGCTGCGCATCGGCTTCACTTTTTAGAGCCGCGGGTCGCCGCCTGATCCCGACTCACCCACAACTACGCGTCCTTGTCTGCCTCGTGGGAGCTTATCAGAGGACAGGCTGGTTTTCTTACGTGCTTATGTCTGAATATCAGTTCTCACTATCTAAGTTGGGGGGAAAAAAATGAACGGGTACAAAAGACTCCCGGAGCATAGAATACTTTTGTCCATCCTGTTGCAGTGGGAATAAAACCGGTCACGTATTTTACATTGTTGTCCAGAGTAGCCTGGGGCGGAAAATTCCATTTGTCACACTCTCCGATAAAACTGCAGGTGATTGAATATTCTTTCATTGTTGCAGCGCTCTATTGTGTTCAGTCGGAAGAAAAGGAGAAGATCACATCCTTTTAATCTGTCGAGAGAGTGAAAAGTCCAACGGGAACACCTTCACCAACGGTGTGAAACTCTTATAAATCAAACTGTTGTCGCTTCCTGGGGAATAGAACAAATGTTTCTTTTTCCTGCTGCGTCCCGGAGATAAGGCTGGACTCAAGCAGGACGCGTGCGTGTGTGTGTGTGTGTGTGTGTGTGTGTGTGTGTCTGGGTCGATGGAAAGCAATGCACACAATGCTTTCGGACGTCTAATGTGAATCGTGAATGTGAATTGGATTTCGACACAAAGGACCAATAACCTCTCAGCCACCTTGGTGGATCACTGACAAGCTTCCAGGAAAACACTCACACGTGCACAAGCACACGTACGACAACGCACACTTACACACGGAGGAATCGTTTCACAGACTTTGGACCGAGTGCACTTAACAGCTTGATTCTGCCTAATAATTGTAGTCATTCGGCCATTGTGGAGCACGTTGTTAGAAGCTATTGACGCTTTTGTGTTTTCTTCTTACTGTCCAGAAATAACGTGAGTGATGACTTGTGCTGCTGGTTGTGAAAACAGTGAAAAGTGTGATGAAAAATGCCACAATAATGGAAATTATGTCCCGATCAAAAGCAGCAATCACAAGCTACGCAGGTTGTGTGTATAAAAACTTGTTTGTTGGTGGCACAAAACAAATGCCTTTGTTCACCTTCATACATTTTAATTCATAATAATTGGAGGAATGTTTTATTTTCAAAATTGCAATAATAGCAGACTTATTCTTTATCGTGTGCCTTCTGGAGGATTTCCATCAGACTGATAGGGAGCAAACCAACTACAAATAAAAAAAGGCTACACCGAGCTTTAAAATGCCAGCAGTGAAATCTATTTCAAAGTTATCAGTCACCCAGTGAAGGGCAGCAAGGACGTAAAAAACCACATCACTCTAGGTTCCACATAAAGTCTGTGTTTGGGAGGAGGCCATTATCTCGGATACTATTTGAGTAGATGCAAAAGGGCTTATTAGGGCACCATCCTTACTATATTTGCTCTGTCCGGGCTCCAGATACATTTGACATGCTACCAAAGCAGATAGTATAATTCCGTGTTGAGATCAACAATTATTTCCTAAGTTGAGACCAGCTGTGGATGACTTTAAATCTACAGAAACTGCTTGTACATAGTGTAAATAATCAGTTTGTTTACCCACTCAATGTTTACTACTTGTATTATTAACAATACACAGAACACTTGACTTGAATATAGACATTTCTTTGTAATATATATACATGTACATCTACCTATAACAGTCCTGTCCCTGCTTTGACTTTCTTCGTCCAGCCTTGGTGTCCTTGTCCCCAGCTGTTATTTCTGGTACTTTTGTACTTTTCAATACCTTATGTTGGTCATTTAATATGATCTGTTTTAGCAAAGGAAAGTGTGAAAGTGTGCAAATGTTTGACATAGTTGGAAAATAATCGTTCCTAATGGTTAAACGGATAAATTGTAAATAAATAGATAGTTGTTTACACAGTCTGTATACCATTTCCTTATTTTCATTGTACTTCTTTTCTTTTTATTCTTTTTTTATTTAGTGTTAGTTTGGCTTAGTTTGAGGCTGGAAACTCTTTACAAAAGGATTTTCTGAAAATGACAGTGGAGTAACTGAAGTTCAATTTTGATGTTCAAAAGGTTGGCAATCACTATTGAGCTCAGTTTACAAGCACTTTTAATAATTTCTCCTCCGTTTTACTTTTACCTCTCTGTACACTTCTGACTCTCTCTCGCTGCACTCTGCAGGTTCACTCTGGTGCCGGGCCTTCACCCCGACTGGATGCTCATGTTGTTCTTTGCTCACACTCACCTGACTGTGACTGTGACCCTCGGCCTGCTGCTTGTTCCAAAGGTAACGCCCCGTGAACAGGTTTTAGTGTACTGGGTTGTGGGTGAGTGGTTGGAAGGAACTCTTACTACAGTACGTTGATTTGGCGTGTATAGTATTCTTTCATTGGGATTTTATATACAAAAACATGTGATGAGCCCATGAAACAAGCAAAGCCTAGATTCTTCTTCATGAGATGTCAATGAGAAAAATTCCTTGTTAAAAACCCATTTTTGAGATAGCAATGCAAATGCATCCTCATGCAAATTGTGATAAGATTTTGGCAAACAAAAATCTATTTGTTATGCTGTTAAATGTTTTCTAATATCTGCAAAGCACACGTTACATTGAGTGCAGGCAGATATCCATGATGGCTTGTTCTGTACTGTAGCTTGTGTGTCCATTAGTCATCTTAAGTTGATTTGATCTTACTGCTTGCCTCTGTGCGTGTGTGTGTGTGTGTGTGTGTGTGTGTGTGTGTGTGTGTGTGTGTGTGTGTGTGTGTGTGTGTGTGTGTGTGCGTGTGTTGTACACACAGAGGCAAGCAGGCACAATTGCTGCCATTAAACTCCTTCAGATTGCATTAGTAGTTACTGTAATTTAGCTAAGCACTCTTGTGGGTGTCTTTATCTCTGAAGTCTGATGGAAAACATTTAATTATCCTGCTGTGTAAAAAATGCAATACACCTTCAGCGCTCTCTGTTCCTTCATCGCTTCATAATTAGTCACCTCAGAAGTGCAAGTCAGTTAACTACACAAGGATAATTAAGCACAAGGGAAGGAAGTTATTCTTACACTGCTTCTGTTCCTGAATCTCCGCTAAATATTTGCCTTCGTTTCGTTTCCCAGATTTGTTTTTTAAGCAAACATGAATAAGTGGGCCATGAAAAGTCAAAACCAACAGATCATTAGTGCTCATTCCCTCCTCTCAATTGAATGTGTTATTTGAATGGAGGAGACTAGTGCCTAGTGAGATGCATTAAATAGATATACACGATTTGCATAGTACTATGTACACAGAGTAAATTATATAGGAATGTACTTGCTCTGCTTCTAACTCACACTTGCATTATTTAAAAGAATAAAACTTGTTGATATTGTTGTGTTTCAGCTCATTTGCTCCAGCAGTCAACAGAAGCTGAAATTAGAGTTAAACGTTTATTTAGTTGGAGGCATTTATTGAAATGCAGATAAAGAACGCAGTAAATGTTCAGTGTTCAAGAAATAGATTTTTTCCATAACATAAGATCCATATATTTGTGTTATTCATTTCAATTGAATCATAGACACCACATTACCAATTAGACATCTCTTTCTCAGCGGCAGGCTCAGTGATGCCATTATTGGTTCTTGCTCTCCATTTGTCGTAGTTCTTCTCCAAAGGGACTCAGGCCAGGGACGATATTGCCACTGAGCCCTATGAGGAGGAGCTGGACATGGGAAGGTCTGGCTCTTACCCCAATAACAGCATTACCTCGGCCTGGAGTGAGCACAGCTTGGACCCTGAGGATATACGGGTAAAGTAGCATTGAGGATCATAGCGTCATGACAATATGAATCAAACAGTACTAATGTAATCACTCAAAAGACACCCGACGTGTACGGTCTGAATCCCGTTTTTTCAGGATGAGTTGAAGAAGCTGTATGCCCAGCTGGAGGTCTACAAGCATAAGAAGATGCTAGCCAACAACCCTCACCTCCAAAAGAAACGCAACTCAAAGAAGGGGCTGGGACGCACTTTGATGAAACGGATAACGGAGATCCCAGAGAGCATGCACATACACCGCCAGTGCAGCCGCGAGGACGGCAGTGAACACGGCAGCAATCGCAGCACCTTGAGGAGAAACCCATTCGAACCGAGTCATCACGGTGAGATCACGGCTCCACCTTTTTTTGGGGGAAATTGTAGAATTTAGTGTGAAAGTATCCGTTTGGCTGCAACTTTTCCATTTACTGTTTTAATCTTTCCTCAGGTAAACCTCGGGACGACTCCCAGAAGAACAAAGTCATAAGCCTGAAGAAGTCCCTCAGCTACGACCATGTTTGTGACCAGGAGGAAGAAACCGAGCGCCAAACCGACTCGACAGCAGGAGACAACGTGACTCCCGTTGGAGGTGGCGGGGAAGGATCTCTTCTGGGTTCTCTGATTGGCCGGAAAAACACCAAGAAGCAGCTGGAACCATCCGCCACCCCGCCGAGGCTGGAACCGGCCGAGTCCACCGAGTCGGTTCCACTGTTCTGGAAATCGGCCAGCGCCCACAACCTGACGCACGAGAAAAAGCCCGTCCACCTGCGGACCTCCATCATGCAGAAGTCTCTGAGTGTGATTGCGAGTGCCAAGGAGAAGATGCCGGGGATGACCAACAAGACGCAAGCCGGGGAGGACGCCAATAAGAAGAGTCAAAAGGGACAGGACGAGAGGACGCTGTCCGAGGTGGATGAGACGCCTGAGCATTACCCCAAGATGATCATCAGCCAGTCGGTGGAGTACTCCAAGACGCCTATGAAGATGGGAATCATGAAACAACAGGTACGGTCAACATTTACATTCCAAATCCAAATTGATTGAGTTTCAGCTCTGGTGTTTACTTCAGTTATCAATTAGTCCATCAACAGAAAATGGGGGGATAGGTAACGATTATTGGGTTATATTTTATTCTTACATCGCAAGTCAAATTCTTCTATGTGTAACATGTGTGGCAATAAATGGCTTCTGATTCTTATTCTGATTCACCTTTTAATTTATCAGCAGGCCTGAGGCATTCCCTTTCCTGTCATTTGTGACTATATACATATAATATATATATATATATATATATATATATATATATATATATATATATATATATATATACATTCTGTTTAACCAGCTCTTCAAATCTAAGGTTTTGTTGTTTTTATGTTTGGAATAAAATAAATAAAATACCCTTTGACCAAAGATATTTTGAAAATAGTATTCCTTAACTCAAAATTGCACCTCAACCTCAACTTACTACCTTTTTCCAGAGATTTTAATATATTTTTAGAGGGTGGAAACCCTCATACACAGATTAGAGAGGAGGTTGAGGAGGGGGGGCAGAGAGGTTGAGTTGGGGCGTCTTTCTTTTGTTTGTTTCATGACGTGCGTCATGAAAAGACCCTGTTGGATATGTTACTGTTTACCTTTAACAGGTGAGTGGCAGCCAGCCATCCATTTGCTCCGAGACGGGGAGGAACCTCTACGACGTGTCCGAGGTTTGTCCCTGGGATCTGGAAGAACCTCAGACTCCCACAGAAGCCAAGACCCAGAAACACGTTTCCATCGCTCCCGGAGAAACCACGGCGGACCGGAGAGGCAGCAGCAGCAGCAGCGCTGGAATAAGCAAAGGTAGCCGTTCCCAGCAGAGGCAGAAGGCGGGGCAGTCCCCTGCCAACAGACGCCGCTCCAAAGATAAAGGAGCAGAGAGGGAGGAGGCGGGGCGGGAGGTGCGGAAACCCCGACCGCCCAGGTCACCTCTCCCTCTCAAGCCAGACATCTGTCCCTGGGACTTTGATGAGCAGCCCGCGCTCGGAGGAGACTCAGAGTCCATCTCGCCGGACAGGATCAGGCGTAAGAGGAGCGTCACGCCCACCGACGGGAAGCCCAAGGGGCTTCACTCAGACCACTCCAAGTCCACGGGGAGCCTTTTGCAGCCCCCCTCCCTGATGGTGGAGATCTGCCCGTGGGATTACACCAGCCCGCCTTCGCCCAAGCAGGAAAGGGCCTGCAAAAGCCCCACCACCACACACAAGAAGAAACGGAAAGGCTCCTGCTCGTCCAACCACAAGGCCGAGAGGGAGAAAGCGAGGGAGAAGAGCAGAGAGAGACGGAGCTCCTCCAGCAAGCCGCCGGCGCCCGAGAAGAGACGCGTCAGCCAGTCGTCAGAGTGCAGCGGGCCGGCGTCCGAGCGGCGGAGGAGCTCGACCAGAGACCCAGAGGTGACGGAGGTCAGGAGGGCGGAGGTTCCCTCCCGGGAGACGGAGCAGCCCTCGCACGGCGGCTTTGTTCAGACTAAAAAACCCACAGAGAAGAAAAGGGAGAACTCTGTGAGAGCCGTCAGCGGGGCGAAAGCGGCCGACGTTTGCCCCTGGGACTTCGAGGAGCAAGACTCTGGAGAGAGGGCATGATGACTGTTGTGATGATCCTTGATTATTTTGTATTCACAGACTGACGGCGCCGAGGACAGAGGCCTCTGAATGACCAATATGACACGTTGCATTGGACAAAAACATTGTTCTCCGGATGACATAGATGAGGGAAAAAAGGTTTTGCGAGAAGAATAAGAATATTCATTCTGCTGTCCATCAATGCAGTACGAACATAAATGCTGAATAGCAAACGCATTGTTGTAACCTCGAGGTCACTTTCGCTTGCACATTCATCAAACTTACATTTTAACTATGTTTTATTACGTTGAGTTTCTAAATGAAAACAAAGCTGTATTTTACGAGCAAGTCGGACAATCGTTTTTAGCAATGACAGTACGCCTATCGAGCTTACTGTTTCCTGTTACGTTGAGGAAGTTCCACGTTGGGTATCAGGCCAGTGGAGATTGTTGCATCAGATGGTGATGATGAAAACCAGCAGGTGGCAGAGAAACACGAGCCCTAAAGAAGCGAATGGGATATGAGCCCCAGACACAGCTATGATGCCTCAGCTTCAGGCCAGATACATAATGAATGGCATGAAAATTATGTTTGATTAGTGAAACGTGGGAATAACATTGGGTTGTGGTACTGGATTTTTTTAAAAGGAGCCAAACTGTATGTTTCAGCAAAGTATACAGTCGTTGTTTTTTTTGTCTAATTAAAAAAAAGCAATCGCATGTGGCACACTAGCATCAAAAATGACGATGTTAATAATGTTCATCGGTTAACGTGCACACGGTCATTTTGGATCGTGTCGCTGCTTATGGTATGCGTCTGCTCACGTACCACACGGCTTCTGAAACGATGTGCATCGCTCCCTTTGGTTGATTTTTGTTTAAAGTTTACGCGCTACCCGAGCCCTGGATGTCGCTTCTCAAAAGAGGCTGTAGTATCTACACAGCTCTAAATAATGTGATGGTCTTTCAGTGACGAGTGAAGACGGACGAGGGAGGAAGCTGTGAATAATGCATTTTTTTCCTGTCACTTGGTGGTCCATTTTACACTTTCTTACAGCGTTTCACATATTCAATCGCTAGAACAACAACTATGCATGGCCAAAGCTTTTTTGTCACTTTGTCATGAGCATACGAATAGTCATTTTAACATTCACCAAAAAAAAAAAAACATAGCCCCTTTCTGTCCTGTAATAAGCCACCAAATTACACCTGAAATACAACCACACAATAGTCGGTTAAGCTTCTTTACATTTACGCGTGCATGACACTGAAAGTACCAGAGTAATGAGCAAATCCACCAGAGAATAAAAAAAATGATTGCATTCATTATGAAATACTTAATACGTAATTAACAGCACATCAGATAGAGATGTCAGACATCGTGTGGTTATCAAGACCTTCCTGTATCAGATGACTTTATAAAGATGCCATGAAGTAAAAGGCTCGATAAATAAACATGAATAATCACTATCAATCAATCATCTCTCTAACTTTCACACGTTTTTTTTCTATCGGATGGTTTGAAAATGCAATGTTGTATCTTGCCCACTAAATGTATTCGATGCTTGTTATCCTGTAAAGTGTTTCTCCAAAATCTTACAAAATGTTGTAGCGTCCACATGGGAGTATTTATATGGTACATTCATAATGTGTTGCATGTACATTCAGTAAATACCGCGTTCTCAGTTCTGGATTAAATATTTCTATAAATATAAAGTTTGCTTTTCATATCATTGATTTTGTCAAGATCAGTCAATAATAGATCACCATGGATACCAATCATAAACAAATCTTTAATTTACTAAAGCAATGCACATCACAACCAGCTTTAATAATAAATCAAAGGGTAAAAAAGGTTGAACAAAGGAATACAAATAAAAATCAACGCAATCCTTTATGCTTTCAACCGTAAAATACCCGCTTGTGTTTGCCACATCGCAAATGCAACCAAACAAGTTCTAGTGATCTGTTAGTGGTGGCTGCCTGCGCAACACTGCCACCACGAGGAGAATAAGGCTTTGTTTCGTCAGGCGTGGAAGGGAACTACTTACTCAAATAGTGCAAGTGAAATACGCACAATTATGCACAATGATTTCATATTTTTGCAAAAGGACTTACCTTAAAGTAAAGGTCTATTGCTAATTATAAGTAAATATTTAATACTTTTGCCACCTCTCAAATTCAAAGCATGACAATGACCTAATAACAGGTGATCATGCTGACTGGGACTCAACCACTGAGTGGATTCATTTGAATTAATCCTAATCTAGTGCAGAGATCAGACTCAATGACGGCTACATTTCAGGGGTCAAGTGCAAGTAACATATATTTAAACACAACATGACACCTTTTAAGTATTACATTACGAGTCATGCTTTCACAACTATTTAGTAATGATGGATTATGTTGTAATGTTTCACCTGATTTATTGCGAGATTAGGCTAATCTAATGGTTGCTGTTGTATTTGTTCAAGAAAAAGTACTAGCACAAATAAAGTGTGTAACTTAACAACATACTTTACATAAGTAAAATAAATTGTGTGCCATGACGCAGCGAGCCACGACTGGACAGGTGGTGCATTTATTCGGGCATTGATTAAGATGGATTCAAGCATTTATTGCAAGAATGCCAGGTGATATAATGCTGATTATAATAACAACCAGTGGCGGTGGACTCAACAAAAGCAAGCATCAATAGGTATCATCTTCCTCCCGCCATGGAGCTCTGCCCCCCTGCGACCACAAACACACCTGCTGCTCTGAATCTGCTTTCGGCTTTTGTTTTGACTGAAAGGAGTTATAATATTGTATTGATAGCAGATTAGAGGCCACTTAAGTCAAGCATGACGCCATGCTAGTGGCTTCTCTGGAAACAAAGGCAGGAGGGTCAAAAGTAATAGATGCATCTGGAAACGTTTCAAGCAGCATTATATTTCATTAACAGTCAAGTCCTGGTTAAAGCTTTTCCAGAACTTTAATCAATTTAACCAATTAGCCATCATTTAAGGTTAAGGTTTAGAGTCGTTTCGCATCGCTCTTCTTTTACATCATCAACAATGGGGAGACGTGTGGCCTGGCTGCCAACATAAACAGTATTTATTGGGTGGAACATCACTGATGAGCGGCTCAGGTGTGGCTCATCCAGCCGGCGATCCCTCCAATCAGCACCTGCAACAGGTAACCGCCAACACCAGGGACACCTGATGATCGGGAGGAGGAGGGTCAACAACACTGCTTCTGCGACTGTCAATGGGCCTTAAAAAAAATAAAATCACACATATCATGTGTAGAGTACCAATAGGCTTCCCAATTAGACTACTTGACACGAACAAGTGCACAAGTCAGCTTCCGGTAAAAGATTTGTTTTTGTACGTAGTTAAAATGATTCACTGGAACCAATCCGGCAACTGGGTGTTGTTTACCTCGAGGAATCATGTATAATACCCCTCCTATCCTCCCTCCCTCCCTCCCTTCCTTCCTTCCTTCCCCCCTTCCCCAGCGCAAATGAATAAACGGCAGTGACGTCACCCCTGCGGCACCGGACAGAGCTGAGTCCTTTCAGGAGAGAAGCCGACCCGACGTGACACATCACGTCCAGAGCAGCACAAACGAACAGCTCCCGTCTGGACGCAGTGGTCCGGAACAAAGATGGGAAACGTGCAGGTAGGAACACCGGATGGCCTATTTGCAGCTTTTAAAAAAAAAATAATTTCTAACTCCTAATCCGAGTGAAATAAAACTGCGACGCGGGGGAAGAGATCGTGTTTTATTCAATCATGGCAAACAAAAAACTAAACTCAGCCATGAGTTAACCAGATTTAATGAGACCCTTTTTTTTTACAATCAGTGCTGAGAAGTGGAGACCTGCGCAGTTTAGTTGAGCAGAGGCGCTGAGTTCAGCAGCAGGGAGGAATTTTTTCCCCCGAAAAGCTGATCAATAAGGCCGCATTGTGTGAAACGGAGGGTGGGCGAGGAGAGGAGGAGAGGAGACGAGGAGACGAGACTCCATGCTGCTGCTGCCCAGTGACTCAGCGATCACACACAGGCTGCGCCCTGTTCCTGCGGCCTGCGTGTGCTGCAACACCGCACAGCCTCCACATGCGCACTCTAATCCGAGTGGATCCATGTGTGAACGTTTGCGGAAATAAAGTTTAAAATGGTACATATTTAGGTGATCCGAAATATAGAAGACTTTTGCAGGCTGTGAAGTTTTAATCCCAAATAGTGCATGGCTCGGGTAGACATAATGATTTGTTGATTTAATCTAAGTGTGCATTTTATAAATGTATGTTTCCAATAATACATCCACTTCTCACTCTCTAGCCCACCATAGTCCCGTATGAGGACTTCGATGTCACTGCTGATATCAAGGCCATCAGACAGGCATGTAAGGGTTTTGGTAAGTGACTCCTCCTACGTGTAGTTTTGTAATTGGTTCAGTTTTTTTTTAGTCATGTATTGGCTATTTTTGTGAGATGATTGCATCCATTATCACCCAATTAGAATGTGTTTACAATGCCTACATATTTCCTTAATCAGAAAGGAGCAATAACAACAAACAAATTGTGCAGACTGATACCAGAGACCATGCAGACCATTTTCAGGCAATCTGTCGATGCATAAAAACACTAATTTCTCCCCATTTTTACCGGCTGACACTTTACTAAAAGGCCTGCCTAACGACTTCAACCTGCTTGATGTGTGTAGATGAATGTGTTAAGCCCTTGCGTTGATGTGCGTCTGTGTGCGCGCTGTATATCCTCCAGGCACCGATGAAGAGGCCATTATTCAGATCTTGGCCAATCGCTCTGCGGCTCAGCGTGTGGAAATCAAACAGGCGTACTTTGAGAAGTACGACGACGTAAGTACCTGCCGACACCTTCTTCTCCGTCGCTCCCAGATACGCTCGCACGTACGTGCAGTTGATTCTGTCTTTGTTCAGGAGTTGGAGGAGGTCCTGAAGAAGGAGCTGACGGGTAGTTTTGAGAAGGCCACCATGGCCATGTTGGAGCCGCCTCACATTTACTTTGCCAAGGAGCTGAGGAAGGCCATGAAGGGGGCGGGGACGGACGAAGACGTGCTGGTGGAGATCCTGTGCACAGCTACCAATGAGGTCGGTCAACAAGGGATGCAGTTATACTAATAATAATACTGCCGGTTACTCTTCTAATGCCTTAGTTACTACACGGTGGCTGCCGGTTGAGTTTGTATTCAAAGAAAACCTCATGCTGCATTTTGGCTCATACATACAAGTGAGGTATTCGTGTACCGGGTTTGTGATAGTTTCTTTTTTTTGCCAGCAGAATTAATTTAAAAAAAAAACATGTAAATGTTGTGACTGATCTGAATCACAGGACGAATACATACATTTTTTTTTTACTGCTGACTGTCTTATTTCTTTTTGACAGGACATCTTGAGCTACAAGGACACGTATGCAAAGGGTGAGTTTGCTTCCATTCAGTCATGTAGCCTCTTGGCTGTTTAAAATCTGATGTTCCACTTGAAAAGACCCATAATTCAACCAGTGTGTGGAACGGACACACATCAAGTTTTACATTTGTCATAATGTTGTGGGTGTTTTAGGAATGAATCACGCGAGTTATGTGCCATGTTTTCTTCTCTTGCTGGCTATGAGTACAGTTTCATTGTATCGTTGTTTCAGCTAGATGAAAAATGGGTTGTAAGCACTCCGCTTTTAGGAATTTATAACAGATTTTGTGCGTTTGCTGATGTGCCTCACAGTGCATGAGCGTGACCTGGAGGCAGACATTGAGGATGACACCAGTGGAGACGTGAGGAACTTGCTGACGTCGCTGCTGCAGGTAAAGACCATTGACTACACTGCTAACATTGAAATATTTATGTATGTATGTATGTATGTTGCACAACAAAAAAGTCAAAATTTTAGGGGCAATTTGGTAAAAGTCTGAATAAAAAGCCATGAATCGAAGACTGATCCTTCTTTTATAACCTTGATTCTGGCGCTATGAATGATTGTTCGCCCACGGAGACATGCGTCACGCGTCACATCATCGGCATGCTTCGTCCTCCGTGCCAACTGCTTCAGCGCTTCCAGACCGCTTCTGCCTATTTTCCCCCGGAGAGAAAAGACGAGCTCTGTGACTCATGTTGTCGAGGGGCGTCTTTCCAAAGAGGCCTCCAAATGTTTCCAATTGAGCCGATCACGTTTTCCCGTTTAATGCCTGAGATTATTTTGTAATCCGTCCTCTTGACCTTTCCTCCCCTCCACATGTCTGTGTCTCGCTCTCCTCGTGTCCCTTTGCATCTGCAGGCCAGCAGGGACGAGGGCTATGAGGTGGATGAGGGTTTAGCCGAGCAGGATGCCACGTCTCTGATTGAGGTACGTTCCCGAATCACACCACCGTTTGGAAGGGAAATGTGATCCTAGATTTAGTTGTTTGAGCGTGTGAGCCGAGAGTGACTGGCAAATCCCAAGTACAGATCCTATTAAATCAAAGATGTGGTTTTATTACATAAAAGGATTGTGGGAAATTCACAACTACGGTGTGAAGCTTCATCTCAAATTTCACGCCAACAAAGTTAACTGTTGTGAGAATGTAAATATCCTCCGGTTCCTCTCATCTCACATGCTGCATTATTGTCATGAAATAAATAAGCGTGTCCATAATGCTCCCCGATGTTGCCGCATACATTTCCCTCTCTTGTCACGGTCAGGCAGGAGAAGGCAGATTTGGCACCGATGAGTCCACCTTCAACTTCATCCTGACACGCAGAAACTACCTGCAGCTTCAGGCCACCTTCAAGATCTACGAGTCGGTAATGATAACTTCTTATCTGCCCCATTTTGATATTCTAAATGTTGAGTTATGATGTTAACTTTTCGTCTTGCAGCTTTCAGGAACAGACATTTTGGACACCATTGACTCCGAAGCAACAGGAACTCTGAAGGACTGCTACATAACGCTGGGTTGGTTTTACTGTAATTCTTAGACAGAACTTATCAAATATCAGTTATTGTAATAAACCCGCTGCCTTTTTTGGGGTTTTGTTGTAAAGTCCGGTGCGCTAAGAACCCGCAGCTGTATTTCGCCCGGCGCCTTAATGCCGCCATGAAGGGTCTGGGCACCGATGAAGACACGCTCATTCGGTTGATCGTAGGCCGCTCTGAGGTGAGTCTAGTGTCTACATTTATTTCCAGATGACCGAAACGTTACTTTGGTCTTAAAGGTGCTGTAAAAGTATGTTTGGGGTGTGCTAATGTTTTTTTTTTTTTAAACCAAAAAGGCCAGAGGATTTAGTTGTGTCAGCAGTATTCTCTTGTGAACCCACAGATCGACCTGGAGACGGTGAAGGACATGTACCTGGAGAAGTACGACGTCACCCTTAAGGACGCCCTGGATTCAGAGTGTGGTGGAGATTTCAAGCGCCTCCTCATCCAGATCCTGCGCTAAAACTTCCTCCTGCAGGCCGCATTTAACCAATGTGACGCAGAAGTTCCTCTCATCCTTCCTCCTCTTATTTATACTTTATATTACTCATTCCCTTTCGTGGACGTCTTTCTGACGGTTCCCACTGCAGCACGGACCAAAAAAAACCCAATTCATTGTTATATCATACAGCGTTTGACAAACGCATTCATAGTCGTTAACCATTCAGCGGGAATTGTCATATTTCTGTTCCAACATACAATGAATGTGTGTGAAATTCCCTTTAACAATATTATGGCCGCGTTGTTAAATGTGTGGAAGTTGTGCAGATGAGCACTGTGTTTATGTATTTATCCAAATTAACCAAAGCTGCAAACATTAAGAGGCTGCTGCTGCTCAACATAGATTATGTGGCCGCTTATCTTGGACACCTTGCTAATTTCTCTGCCCATGACCGACAATTAACTACCATTATCCTCCAATATGCCTTTGATAAGATGAACGCAATGCAAGTTTACTTTATGCCTCAACACTTAAGTGCCGAATTATGTTTGATCTTATATCTCTATACTAAATATATTACCACCTGCATATCAAAAGCTTACTCTTTTTAAGTACTTGGGATTTTGTAAATGTCCCTAAATGTTGTGTGGGATTTTTAACTGTTTGTAATGTTATTAGTCACAGCTAACACGCTGTCTCTCGTATCTACACACTTTATCACAGTTGCCTTTTTCCTAATAGTTGTAGTCCTACATATGAGTGTGCAATCAGCATTGTAAGCTGATAATTCTATTATAGAATGGATTTCCTCGTAGCACGACCGCTGATACCGTGTATGTAATTAGAGCATCATTGCTTTTATTTAAACCTCAGATTACAGAAGTGTATAAGACTAATATATACAATTGTGTTGTCATTCTGAAAGAAGTAACTGTCAACCTTATCTAATGTTAAAAATGTGAAGTCATAATAAATATTAATTCCACAAAAACGATTGTCTCTGTCCTTTGGGGGGCAGTATTTCACCATAAGCAGTATGTTGCATTCCAGGAAGAAATCACCGTTATCAAATCGTAAGGACATTAATTCTTTAATATTCAGTATAATTGCACAACCTCATTTAGCCTTTAACCCAAACACAAGTTATCAGCTCAGTTAAAACCTTTAGAAGTACCAGACAGCACAGGAACAGTGGGACGCCTTTGGGTGCTTTATAAGCAGATGGAGTCAAAACGAGGCAGGACTGCTTCCAGATGCAGATTTCTCACCATATTTCCAGTTCTCTCATACCTCCGCTGTATCTTTCCATTGAAGTAATTGTTGTTTGAGCATTGAGGGCAAAGTTTTGAGAATAATTGCTTTCTGTACATTTTTGCTGTCTGCGCACCACATGCAGCCCGGTAGCCTTTACAGCTTCCTGATGCTACGCTTTGGCAGACTTCCTGTGTCACACATGCCCGTTAATGTAAGGCAAAGGTGGACAGTGTTAAAAAAAAAAAAATTAAAACCTGCAATATCCACGGTCAAATGACAAACTTTAATTTACCATTTACCTAATATCTCAAAAGAAAATCAATGATTAGCGGCCTATAACTAATGCAAGACTTAACAGCTTGATGGACGACACTGTCATGCATTCGTCCAAGTATCACCCAAAAGTGTTACGACACGACATTTTATTTCTTTTGCATTTTTGAGAGCATGAAAATCTGCACAGACTCGTAAAAACTTCTAAAAAGTCATGTGATGGTGTTTCTAGGTAGGAACTGATCACTAACATCTGTTTTTCCGTCATGCAAAATAACTTATATCCTGCCTAAATAAACCCATACCAGCTCGACACACCCATACGTTTGTCTTTCCCTTCATCTGTGCTCTATTACCCAGAGTGCTAATGTGTGAGGGCAACTAGCCGTGGCAGACAGCGCCCCGCTCTCTATCCTGTGGGACTCTGCCCTTTTTCCTTCAACGTTTATCATCGTCAGACCACCATAACTCACCCAGCAAGTCAGCCGTAGGCCTGGAGGTGGTTTTCATTTGTCTCATGAATCTTCTTGTTATCTTGCGTTACTTGATTTAGGTCTTCTTATTGTCTTTTCACTAGTTTCTGACAAGTGTTTTTCCTCAAGATGCAGGCTTGGTCTATAAACTGGGATGCTCGTGCTTTATTCGTGGCTAATTCTGGTCAAGCAACCTTGAACTGAATCAGACGACCGGAGCAGGAAATGTCGGCACTCTTTTGATCCCAGAGACTTGCAGCACCTTCGAGACACAAAAGCTGCATGACAATGACACTAATTCCTCTAAAAATCACGATTTACTGAATAATCCACAGCACACACTAACCTGGGGGCCACAGCTTCAAAGGATGAAACAACAACATCAACTGGTCTACTGGTTTTCATAGAGCATATGTTCAGGGCTGTTATGTGCTTTTTGATCTTGTGCCAAAGCAGAGCAGCAGCTCTTAAAGAAGGACGTCGGTGGACGTGCGTAGGAAGGCCATCAAGAGGTTAACTACCCGGCCAATATCATTTATACTGTTTAAATTCATGATGACGAACCGGTGTTCTTTGATGTGCAATAAAAAACACCTGGCAGCTTCTGCTTGTACTGAGGCAGATATGGAAAGTCTCATAATAGGTTTAGTACATGCACGATTATGGCTTCCAACACACTATTCCTACTTTGTATGGCAAAGTGGATGTAGCTTCCATGACGTTCTGATCTACTTCTCTTTTGAACGCTAACATTTTGGATTTTGGCCTTGTCATCTTGTTTTGGCAATCAGAAAGCTGAATAGGACATGAGACATTTTTATTATAAACATATTTTACTCTTAGAGACTTCTTTATCTAGCACACTTGATTTTATATTTCGCAGTACGTTCGCAATTTCAAGCACAATCTGTAGTGTCTAAATGGGAGATTTAGGAGAACGTCCCCGTCACTGTACAAGTTTACATTACTGACTGCACTCCATTTCTCACCAGGCATTGTCCTTACATACAGGCAGCAGCACAATAATCCAGCAAAACATTTGAATTTTTAATTGGATTTAATATAAAACATCAAATATACATTTAGTTACAGTCTAATTTGAGTAAACAGTAACCATATCTTAAGGTGTTAATATATCGGTGTAGCACAGAAACACATGACTCTCTTTTAGTACATGAAATGCAGAAATGGGTCATTAAACTGCGCATGCACTGCAGCAGATATTCACAATAGAAGAGCGGCGGCTAACATGAAACACATGCTCTTAAAAAACGAGCTGAATGAAAACAGCACCAGTCAACCGCTCATGGAGAGAGAAGAAACCGCTCTAGTCACAGCGGAGATAAGCTGAAGGGTCCTCTGGCGTCAACAGAATAACTGAATTACACAAATAAAAGACAGAAGTGCAGCACATGAACAAACAGAAAGAATAAAGCCTGAGAAACAGGTTAGAGACATCATTTAGTTAGCTCAAATAGTTATACTCGCACTGATATAAATACAGTGATTGAAGCGTGATGATACTTTTTAAATAAGTCATATTGAGTTTTTCTTCCACAAAATATTTTAAAAAATCAAATTAGCCATAGGCTAGTAATAGTTTCAACTTGGGCAGTCAGTCTACCTCCAGAGTTTTCCAGGTTAAATTGTAAGACTAAATACGTTAATATCACTTCAACTTATTGACATATTACTATAGTCCAGTTAAAAGGTCACAACATTATCAAGGAAAGTAGCCTACTGTTAATCTTTATTTGATTAAGTACACTACTATATTAGTCTTTCTAGAGTAAATGTAATTGGTTACTTTCCATCAGATAATGCTAACTAGCGTAGCTAACCGTACATGAAGGTGGTTTTAGTTGAAATTCTGAAACTGTTCATTACTGAAACTACAGAAACACAGTAATCATTCTTTATTCATGCACTTGGGGGGTAACCTTTAAACATGGTTACTAACTTTCTCTATGCTAAGCTAAGCTAAAAGGCTGCAGTGAGAATGGTTTTAATAATCTCTTAACATGGACTAAACTCCAATACGAAACAGCAATAACCATATTTTCTATTCCTCCAAAATCAAACCATCAAAATCTACATTGCTTAACATCTGGTCTATCTTTTTAGAAACACAAAAACCACGGTTGAGTTTCTTATTCTATACTGCAACCCAGAGGATTGACACTCCGCTTCCTGATTGGTAGCTGATCTGGTTGATTCGTCCACGCACGCAATCCAGTGTGAAGAACGCCGCTGTGCCGTTACGGACCTGGAAAGACGCTCGCAGGCCAACAGTGGCCCAGTTGCTTCCCTCGGGCATCTGACCACCAACCTGCTGGGCCAGAGTGACGGGTCGCGAGCCCTCTGCCTCCCGGCCTCCCGCCGACCCCTCTGCGTCACCTCGCCTGAGAAGAGTCACCTTGATGAGGTTGCAGGAGTGAATAAGCTTGAGATCCAGAGCCACGCTGGCGGTTCCGCCCTCCCTGAAGACAAAGTCCTGCCTCTGACCTGTGGACGCCTTCACTAGCAGCCCCATCTGGGGCACCTGAGCGCTGGTCTGGCGGAAGAACAGCGGCTTGTTTCGAACTGCTCCCGAGGGAAGGCCGGCGTCAGACACGGAGGCAGACAGGGAGGAGGAGAGAGCGGCGGGGACCCAAACCAAGCTGAGGATGCTGATGCCCGTCTCGTCGCCAAAGAATCTGACGTTGCACTGGGCGGGAGAGAGGATCTCGAAGCCCAGCGTGTCCCCGGGCTCGACTCTTGCCGCCCCCGACAAAGACAGGGAGGTGTCCCGATAGTGGACGCCGGGTTTGAAGGTGCGACACAGCTCGGCGCCCGTTCCGTTGTGGTTGAGGTACGCCAACGTTTGGAAGCCCTCGCTCACGCAGGCCTGGCCCATTGAGTACAGCGCCTGCTGGAACACAAAGCGCACGGTACCGCTTTCGGCAAAGCGGATCCCGCGGCCATCGTGGGTCAGGCCCACTACGTACGGGTCAGAGGTGGAGGAGGTGCGGAAGACCGGCCGATAGTTTGTGTGGTAGTGCGCGGACACAATAGCCTGTGCTGTCATGGCGACGGCCCCCGTGTCGTGGGAGAGCCAGAAGAGGCTGAGCGGAGCTGCTAAAGGGTCGTACAGCTGCAGGCCTTCGCTGCTTTCGTTACAGTGCCGGCTGGCGCTCCGGAGGAAGAGGGAAATCGTGTTCCCCGGGGCGACTTCTGCCACGCCGCTGATGCTGACGCTCTGGAGCGACCTTCCCTCCTGCTGCTCAACCCTTAGGCCGCTGAGGTCGCGGCCTTCCGAGCCGTCCGTGTTGTTGATACGGAGACACAACTGGATGAAGCTCCGGCAGCCGTGGCTCACAGACAGATTCTCATCCAGCCAGACCAGGCCGTGCTGCCTGAGCGTCAGGCGGCCGTCCTCAGCGGACAGCAGACCTGCGTCGCCTCTGCCCTGGATGCGAAGCTGCACGCCAGGAAAGGCGTGAGCCAGGATTTGGCCTTTGGTGCCGGACAGCCTCACATCTCCGGACCAGGACAAAGAAAGGGCGCTTTCACCACCAGCAGCAGCATGGCCAGAGCAGATGGTATCTTTGGTAAAGGTACAAGGTGAAGCCACGGGCTCGCCATCACACTCATTACAGGCCTGACACTCGTCCATGTCCAAGACGTAGAAGTAGCCGTGGCCACACATTCCTGAATTGGCTTCACGCTCTGTCATGCCCTGGCACCTGAATCCACCTGATGATAGAGAAACAAGGAGCGAAGTCTAAAACCAAAAAGTGTTCAGCAAATTCAAGAAAGACCAAATGAAACGTCACGGTTCTAAACACATGCCGGCAATATTGACAAACGTTCTCAGTAACTCAGGTTACCTGGAGTATTGAGACACTTCTGTTGGTCTCTGCACGAATCAGCTATTTCAAGGCATTCATCTCTGTCCTGTAACGATGAACACATTGACACTTCAATCCATTTTTAAGAAGCTTTGATTGCTTTGGTTTTCCGGCCACAAATGTATTTTTGGCTACACCCCCCCCCTCCTTCCCCCCAAATAACTTAATGAGAAGGCAGCCCAGTATCCTGTTTGCATGTTTCTGTCCGTCTATCTTCTCTGTCATGGCTGCTCTGGATCCTTTCTGATCTAGTATTCTGTGGGGAAACATGCTGTAACCCAAGAACCCTCCACCACAGGCGTTGCTTTGTCTCGCACGTTTTAAGCAAATTTTTCACATCCCATGACTTTTGTTTACGAGCGTGAGTGCAACAGTCTGTAATGTTCAAATGATTGTGGTGCTACCTGGCAGATCCTGTCTGCGTGGACTGAACACTGGGCGACAAGGAAGAAGCCGGCAGGACACACGGTACATTTCTCACAGCGAGGATGACCGCTGCTGAAGCCACAGTACTCCTCAGGGCCGCAGCTCCCACAAGCCAACAGGGAGCGCCCCACCTGGAGCCATCAAACAGGTCACACAGCGTCAGTCAGGTCTGTACAGCACATGAAGATACTTTGCAAAATAAGAAGAAATCAGAGCAAGTTTTGTGCATGACTCCAGGAACAAACAACTGTTATCCAACGAGTTAGTTCGCTCTCTGTTGATGGAAACCTGAAATCACATTGACTGTCACTATGTGGCTCTCATACACTATAATCACCTCCATCACGCTGGCCTCCATGTCCACCTTGTGCAGCGAGAGAGCCTGCTGTGCTTGGTGAGCTCTAACCTGCCCACTCGCGGTCTCCATGTGACGGTCTAGCCCCCCCTGGAGGTTCTGGAGTGATGTTTGTTTGAGGCTGTCCATCATTGTGATGTACTGGGCTTTGACCTGGGTGTAGTAAATAAAAAGACACTGAGAGGTCAGTGGTCAGTCTGATCTAACACATAAAACTTCCGTGGGTCCGATGTTTTCTATCCACCTCTCCAAAATAAACGTTCAATGCTTCTCAAAGGCCCTCAAACCATCGACTACCAAGATCTCCCGCGTCGTCAAACCCCAAGAACCTTACTTGCTCCATCTGGTCATACATCTTCCTCTGTTGTTCCAGTATCTCTCTCTGCTGGCTCACCAGCGTCCCCTGCTGCTCACCGAGGAGCCTCTGCAGCTCCTGGACCTCGTCCTGCTGGCCCCTGAGGGCCTCAACCAGCTTCTCCTGGCTCTTAGACAACTGCAGCTGCAGCACAAGCGCGTCCTCCGAAGGGAGGTCATTCGTCCCTGAGGAAAAGGAAGAAAACGGTTACAATTTAAGAGATCATGTTCTCACTTAGAAGGCTGTCGTTTAAAGTTGTTTCGTATATCTTTTTACATTTTATGTTTTCGAGCACGTCAACACTTATATTGACCTGGTTTCATGTCACATGTCAACTGTATCCAGGCGCCACGTTCCGACGCCAAGTCTGGAAACTCATCCAGAAATTGCGCCGCTGTGTCGGTCACGTGCACAGGTGAAGAGGGTCCCCTCCCGTCGTCTCCTGCATGCGCGCCGCAACCGTCTCCGACGCACGGCTTCGGCTTCTGGCGCATCCGAGGAGGCAGCTTACATCCGATCCCTTTGCACTCGCGCGTTGCGCCGTCATCACTTGTCGGGCGTTGAGCCACGGTGGTCGGGCAGGTCCCCCCGGCGCAGCCAGGGTGGAACACCTCCGCCGTGATGGTTCTCGCATTCGTCCTCCTGTTGGCGTTAGTTCCCGCGGTTTGCACATAGCCTCCCTGCTGCGGTTGGATGACGGTGTACGGCGCCAGCGGCGCGCTTTGAGCTTGGTGGTGACTGAAATGAGCGTCGTGTTGGTAACTCGGGTAGACTTGTCCTTGTCTGGATTGTGCAGAGCTGGGAAACTGTCGCCGGGACGCGGCTGCCTCCGTGCGCCCGTGGCACTGCGCTCCGACGCACGGTCTCCATTCCTGTCCAGAGAAGCAGCGCGTCCCGCGGCACACATCAGGCGCGCCTTTGGCCCCACCGAACAGAGAGGCTACGCAGAGTAAAAATATGCCAGAGATACCTGCCATGTTGTGATGCTGAAAGGTACAAACGAACCCAGGCCACGGGCGAATGGTGACCCAATCCTTCAGTCCTGTAGATCTTGTTTTATCATGTCTAAAAAAATCCAGTAATTACAAGTAAATGCAGGTTGATCTTGAACAAACGGTTGCACAGATATTTAGGTTGTCTCCATTGCGCACACCGCGGTTCCCGCCTCCTTTTGCTCCTTCTAGAGATGGCTCCGTCTATCCCACATGTGGCGCTCACTGCTCCTAATTGGCAACAGGCTTTGCGCCTAGTCTTAAATTAACCCGTAGCGTTCCCGGACATACCACTCTGCAGAGTCACCCCATTCCCATTAAAGCTGTGCCAGTGGTATTTGGACTATTTTATTTGTTATTTTTCTTTTCACAGTCCCGTGGGTCATTAATGAGATTTGTATGCAGTGAGCCGAACTACAGAATAAAGCTTCAAGTAGTCCAACTTTCAGATATGTTTTTTAATTTCTAGTTACATGTTTTTGCTTTCTTTTGCTCTTCATTTTGATGATCGGAACATTTTTTACAAGCCCTTTTGGAATCAGAGTCTCTGCTTTATATGGCACCCAATCTTTGATCTCTTCTGTAGAACCAGGAACGGGTGCAGAGGAAGGACTCTGGGACATTTTTGAAGACCTCTCTGCCTGTAAAATCTCAACTTTACTACAGTTTATTGCCAGTCTCACATCCCCCCCCTGAGCCCAACGGTGTTGATTAAAGCCTTAAACCCACATTAGAAACTCTTAAATGTTTCTTGCTATTCTCATTTTCTTGGCAAAATAGATCTTACTCTCTCTCTCTCACACACTGTAAGTAGGTACACACACATACACACACAATGTGTAGAGTGCACGTCAGTGGAGGAAACCTCCACCTTTTGGTTATGAATCTTCTGCTTATAAACAGTCAAATAAATAGTTGTTAAATAATTAGTCGTTAAAAGTTGTTTTTTGTAAGGGCCGCTAAAGAACGGATGTACATTCTACACATAGCAGGGTCACACTCAGTTACTCATTTACTCCCTCGAGTGGGACCACACACGATTCTGACACTGTCAAAAACTATGTGTTAAAAAAAGACACGAAAAAAATTGTTGTCGAACGGTCACAACGTCGGAGGCTTTTAATGTCTGTATGAGAATTCACACATTTCTCTCACCATCTGCACTGTTCACAGTGACGCTGTTGTCACATGGGCTCATTCTGCTGCTCAACTTCTCTGAGTTGCAGGTTTATTGTGGACGCCTACCCAAAACATGCTGTAACGTCTCAGAATGCATCTTCGATATGCGTTTTTCTCCAAACTGTTTTAGAGAGAAGCTGAGTCGACTTTATGATCACTGTGGTTGGCTGCGGCTTGAGGTGCAATATGCACAGTTGTTTCTATTTTTCAGCCTGCCCTTGTTGATGCAAATAAGGTACAATAATAGCAACACTAGTGAGTACAAAAAATAACGTCTAAAAGTTTACTTACGTCTTTTATCAGACCCTCCAAGTCGTGTTGCTGCACTAACTCAAGTCACACAGCTTTTATTTGTGTAGCTCCTTTAAATGAAATGACAATGCATCTGTTACGAAGGACGCTCCCGCACCGCCTCTCTCTCGCCATCGGAGGGACCCCTCTCCCGAGTACTAACTGGTTTCGAACTCCATCTCCCATCATGCTTCACACCTGGGACTGATTCCACAACACCACTGATGACACACACACCTGCACCTCATTGACACACACACCTGCACCTCATTTACACACACACAAAAGCCACTGACACCCACACACTCACTGCGAAGTCTTGATTCTGCCCCGGCTGTCATTTCTGAGCGTTTCCTCCTAGTCTTGATCCCTGTTTAGTGACCCCGGACCGTACTGCTGATTGCTCTCTGCCTGCCCCGACCCCTGCCTGCCCGTTGACTACGATCCTGTCTGCTCTACGTTGCCCTGTCTGCTGTCATTGACTCTGCCTGTCTGATGCTCTAATAAAAACCTGCGAATGGATCCCTCCGAATCCGGCGTCTCCTTACAGCATCAGGGTTTTTTTTGCATCAGGCGTGAAAAACACCTCTGTGCAAAAGAAAGAATAAGCAAAATGACAGACACGAGAAATGTAATTTAATAAAGATAAGTAGCACAGTTGCAATGCAGGGGACACGTGGTTTTAAAGTATTAGTTTAAAGAATTGCAAAGGAGAAATGTTTCTGAGAACCGGGGCAGACCTCAAGTGCTAAGCAGGAAGTTGGTGGATACCACCAAACTACTTATATTTCACAAAAAGCTGTAATGAATCCCCCTCCTGAAACATGTATCGCAAAACTGAAAGAGTAAGAGACATTTTAATCAATTATGCTCCATAACCAGGCCAAATAGGTGGACACTTTCATGGCTCGACCAAGGACCGGGTAGGACTTAAGAAATTAAGAGAAGAGGCGAGTAGATCATGGTCTTAGCTGTGGCACACACTCAAAAAATACATTTATTTGTGTGCAGGATTTCCATCCAATACATATGTGTAGTCAGATGAATAGATAACATTAATCAAATATAAAAAAAATGTTGTTCGTTCAACTCAATCTGCAGTGCTGCGAAACAATTAGAGAAGAAAACCTCACGGTTTAATGTACTTCCTGATATTACAGGAAGTTTAATATCTGCGGCGGCTGTGCATGCAAAGTCACATGTTCTTAGTGGTTTTTTATGGACTGACCTTTGAGCGCTTTAGCACTCACACACACTCTATGATGCTGCCCCGTGTGAACGAGACAGACAAGGTAAGAACTTTAAAATGAAAGTTCTTTATGAATGATATATACTCTCTTGTGTTCGTCCCTTTGAGGGTTAAATACTTGAGCAGCAACATCAGCTTTGTTTGGGACAAGCACATGTCCTCCCCACGGCAGCCAATGAATAGTTGTGCAACTAATTAGGAAATAGCAAAAAGCTTTCAACCACAAGAGTAGAGAGGACATGGTGGTTTGCTGTCGACGGGCAAAGCTGTTGTCAAATTGCATTTAAGTCTCAATAAATCACCGTTTTGGCCCGTCGGCCGGTTGCTTAGCTGTTCCCTGTTTTGTTGATGTGAGAGACCACGGTGGCAGACGGCAGGAACAATCGGACCTGCCCGATGGGAGCATGGCCCGTGCAAACAAATGGTGGTTTTGGAATACGTTGCTTTGATGAGCACATACCGGGCATCGCTGAAAAGCACCGGGAATTGAATAAACACACCTCTGTATAATAGAGAAGAAAAGTCCGGTTCGACGTTTTCACATGTGGGAGAAAGTCCACAAAGGTGGAGTTCACTTTGTTGATTAACAAAATACAATTTCATATGGAAGCGATACTTAATCCACTACCTTCCTCTCAACTTCCCCCTCCGTATCATTGCAGTTTAATGGATGGTCTGTTTATTGTTCAGCATAAACACAGAATGAGAGTGAACAGCGCAGGAAGAGCTGTATCCTGTACGTGTTTTCGGGCACATGTGTGTGTGTGTGTGCATAAATACAGTAACTGTGTATGAGCAAGAACAAGTTTGCATACTTCCAGCATTCTTCCAGCAACACCTAAAATGTGTGCAATGTATCAGCGTGAAGTTAAACAAAGCCAAACAAACGTATCCGCTATAAGCCCGTCGCATATTTGAGTCCCGCAAATCTTTACTGCTGAGAATGCATTCACTCTTTCTGAGATTAAACATGTGGTCCAACCTGTGTCTCAGCAACCATTAACACAAACGAATAAAGATTTATATTAACGATGGAGCATGTGACTACTTGCGTTTGAGAGGAGTCAAAGCGTCCTGCTGTGGCTTTAGAATATATTATTGATGACCAGCATCGGTCTGAAATAGTTGTCACGATGCACTGAGCTCATTCTTCAATTTGCCGCTTCACATGCTGCTTCTAAAAAGATGTATTATTGACCCTAAAGCTGGTGAGGTCCCCATGAAAATCGTTACTCTCAGTGGAGCCCTCTCTTTTCACAGAAACTATCCATTTTTTATTTGATGTACTTTTCTGCTTTCTCCACGACAAGCTGTCGAAAGTTGTGTGCGTTAGAAACTGAGTTAAACTGAACTGAAATGATCCAACGGTTTTTCAGTTCCTGATGCGACTGCTTTAGTCACTTACTACACCGCACACTGTGCTGTCCTAAAATCTCTCCCACATAATGCTTTACCATCCTCAGATGGACGACATAGACACCATGTTCAGTCACCTGCTTGGAGAGATGGATACTCTCAGTCAGGTGAGTTCTACAGCAACACAACATGCTCACGGTGACTAAGGCTGGCAGGAATGTGTTTGTCTAAACAAAGACACTTGAAGGGCCTACAACGGAATGTGGAGCTATTTAGTCAGAAACCTGATGATGGTGCTTTGACAAGTAAAGGGGTCACACACATAATACCGTTCATCCTTGTGACGGTGTTAGCAGAGTCGAGGGATTGTAATAGTTATGGGGATTCATCCTCCAAGAACCATTACTGACATTTCCCTCCAATCATCAAACAGTAGTCGAGCCGAACTGACTGTGATCGCATTGTTTCTCGAAACATGACCGAATGAGTTGAGACTCTTTCGCTCCAGCCGACTGTTCCCTCGGGTGCCTTTGAAGCCGGAACAGGTTACAAGAAGTGAATCAGAACAAATCCCTCAATGTTTACCTCACTAATCTGGACATTACCTGATTACACGCGGCTGTCTTTGTTTGAAACTGAAGCATCAGACAGGAGGACGCTAAGGAGTGATGTCATCGCATCTGGATTGGGCCGCAGGTGATCGCTGCTGAGTCCCTTAAGCGTCCATAAGCTGCTCATCACATAACTGCAATTCTAACTGATTCATTATTGATGCATATGTAAGCTAAATTACAGCCATGATAACGCGATCAGTCTGGAACATTACATAAGCTGCTATATAATAGAATATTGGCTCAATTGAATGCACGATGTTGATAAAAGCATTGATGCTCCCAGAGTGTTTTAAACAAAAGGATTTAAAGGGATTCCACTCACCGTCACAATACGGCTTATTCTCTGATTTACTGCCTTGAAGCCAGAAGACAAATAATATCATTTTATACCCTTGACATTAAGGATTCCGGTGTAATTTAAGCAACAGCTCCACCATTGCAAGTTGCAGCTTTAAGAGAGATTGAAAAAACTGGCTTACGATGTAACATTAAAACATTCACAGCAGTTCAGGGCCACAAATGAAGGGCATGACGTCTGCTTAAAATCCATTTCAAAACAACAAATGGAGTGAAATAAAATAATTGACTTTATAACACTGTCATTCGTGGATGCTGGGGAGGTGTTGTTAATTCACCGTCTCAATGCTTCACTGCAGAGTTTGATGCCTGCAGCGGACTCACCTGAAGTGGACGCCGGCTCACAGGGAAACTGCCCCATTTCCATCGGCTTTTCAGACCTAAACGGTACAGTGAGTGTTTGTTCAGAGGGGACGCTCTCATCCAAAGCAAGAAGGGCAGATGAAGCTTGAACGTCCAGATCCAGAATGAGGCTGGGATTTGTATACACCATATTTCCTGTTAAATAATTAAATTAAATGACCAAGCCAGTCCGTTGCTTCAACAAAAGTAAAGCAATATTCATCTTTGATCTGTCAGAGAGTTGTCTTCTTTCCTAGAGTTGGACGAGAAGATCGTTGCATTGAGGAAGGAGGCAATTAGCTTAGCTTAGCATAAAACCCTGAAAAACTGTCTCTGGGGATCTCTTCCTCAGTGCGATGCTGTGGGATTGAACCTGAACCGTTACCTTTATGAGGCCTCTTCTCTAACACAGAGCCTCAACTGTTCCCCTCTCTCCTCACAGAGTCTCTTAATGAAATGGAGGACCAGGACCTGGATGCTCTGGTGGCTGACCTTGAATCCACCTCAGATGGGCACGACCCCGGGGATCAAGGCGCCGGCAGCTTGGCGGCAGCCTCGGCAACGCTTGGTCCGGCTTGGGAACCTAAGGCAGCAGCTACCCTTCCTCCACCGTCAAACTCCGTGGAGTCCTCTGAAGAGATGGTAAACTGAATACGTCACTGATCACGAAAAAATAAAGATGTAGAGTCATGAAAATAATGCCCAGATTACGTCAGCTTGTTGTTCTTCCAGGTCGAACCCCAGACGAAGGCAGATAGAATTCACCTGGCTCTGGAGAAGCTGAAGGAAGCCAAAGTCAGAAAGGTACGTCTGCGTTTTTGGTGTTTGCAGGCTAATCAGCCCTCCAGATAAAGTTCAACCCAGCCAGCCGCCTCTCCTAGTTGATAGTCAAGCTGCTGATGAGTGACGGCAGCTCCAAGACGCTGATGGTGGACGAGAGACAGACCGTACGAGAGGTTTTGGACAAACTCTTTGAGAAGACACACTGTGACTGCGGCATCGACTGGAGCCTGTGCGAGACCAACTCCGAGCTGCAGATCGGTGAGGCGAACGCTTCCCATGCGGGCAATACGGCGAGTGTCCAAAAGGACGAGCCGCACTGCTTTCAGCCCACGTGTCTTCTCGGCATTTCAGAGAGAGGATTCGAGGACCATGAGCACTTAGTGGAGCTCCTGTCTGCGTGGACTCGCTTCAGTGAGAACAAAATCTATTTCCTGTCAAGACCTCAGAGGTATTTGATGTTCACTGAGCCTCAGGTGAGTTTGACTTGTTTTTTTCCTCGCCAAAGTATTATCCCAATTATTGCTTAGTCAGAAAACTGAACTTTTTCTGACCCTGCAGCTCTTTTACATGTGGAAAAAGAAGACCGCATGTTTGAGTGGGATTAAAGAGGAAGCCAAACAGCTCTTAATCAAGGTCAGTTACATTACTATAATACTTTAGCGCAAGTTGGATGTCATTTAACAAAGTGGAAATCACTGCAAGTTGATTCTTCCACAAATTGAAAAGTATCTTGTTCTTAAAGTTTCTCATGTAATCTTTGAACCTGCAGGAACATTTTGGAGGTTCCACTGTGATTGTTCCTGATCTGGAGGGCAAGCTGTACCTAAAGGAGGATGGGAAGAAGCTTTGGAAACCTCATTACTTCATGCTCAGGGCCTCGGGCCTTTACTATGTACCCAAAGGAAAGACAAGGGTAAAAGAATTTCAAAAAAAAAGAAATACAACAAATTAGCACTAACCACACAGAGCTAACCCACTTTAACTATTCTTAGATAGCTGCAACTGAGAGAACTGTGAATAAACGTTACAGCATTATCTTTCTTCTGAGAACATCAGAGAAGTGCGTACATTTTGGCAGTGCAATGATGTACAACTATAGCAGCAGTACTTTTACAGGGAGAAGTCAAATGTTTTCCCCTCGTAAAGTCTGTAATGTCTTAACTCTGAGCGCCCAAGAAGAGGCAGGAGAGAGCGACGGAGGGATGAGGATGGACGTGAATTGAGGCCTCGCCAGTCGTTCTTTTACTGAGCGGAAAAACGCCGCCCAAAGAAAAATCATACAAGAAGAAAAAAATAGATGGAGGGCAAACTCTGTGAAGCAGATGTGCAAATCAAAAACATAAGAGATGCAGGAATCCTCTGAGGTCAGGACACAAGAACAAAGCAGAACACGACCCACAACGGAGAGTTCATTGGGCAGCGGAAAAGAGAGAAAACAAAAAACACTGTACAATAAGGCCAACGTGTATTCCATCTTCACAATGCGAAAACAAAATAGTGGAACCGCATTTAGACCACTGCAATTTATGCTAGATTTAAAATACCATTGTTTAGCTAATCTTGATTAACAGCTTTTTTTTATTTAAAAAATGCTAGAAAGTTGTTTACCATGTTTATAATTGTGTATAAATTACATTCCATCCTGTGATGCCCATGCACATTTTCCACTATTCCTTCCAAACACATTTTGATGATGTTTCAGATATAAACATATGTATAGTGTATAATATTTTCCACATAATAAGATTTTATTTTTCTCTCTGTCCGGCAGGCCATAAGTGATCTCGTCTGCTTTGTTCGTTTTGAAAAGGTCAACATCTACACCACCAAAAACTACAAACATAAATACAAAGCTCCCTCCGACTTCTGCTTTGTGCTGAAGGTAAGCTCAAAATATCTTTTGTCAAGAGAAGTGAGAAGTGAGAAGAATTAAGACTTCTCAAACTATAAATAACAAGCGCCACCTATTTTTAGTGGTGTGGACTACTTCTTTTTTTTTTTTTAAATAACCGTACGATCTTAAAAAAAAATCACAAATTGATGTTCAAATTGAGCTTGTGCACTTTCAGACAACTTATTTTTAGAATATGACTAAAGTTGTTTGTATGGCGAGTTTCGTTAAACCCCCACTGAAGCCCTTCTCTGTTCTCCTTGCAAATCACTTCCAACGTGAGAAAATTTCCCATTTGACAAAAACATTAACAAAAAAAGGCTACAATTCACACAGCAGAGCAGAGAAGCTGTGTTTTTTGTTGGGCAATGTGGGCCTTTTGCAGTATGTTTAATTAGAGGAAAAGGATAGTAAGCGGAACAACATGTAGGCAGGTATGCGTGTGTGTGTGTGTGTGTGTGTGTGTGTGTGTGTGTGTGTGTGTGTGTGTGTGTGTTTGTGGGTGGTTTTGTTCCATTTTAAGGGCATGCAGGTCTTATTATGACCATGTTGACCATGTTGACCTGTGTGTGAGGTGAGTGCAATGATCACATGTCACAGGTGAAGCTGATCCGGGCAGAGCAGACAATCAAAAAGGTGGGAAAACTCAATAAAAACAAGATGTCAAACCAATTTGGGTTGAACTTTAAAATAAGATTAAAAAAATGATGACATAAATCGCAGAACCATAACAATGAGCACTGGTATTTTCCACTGCATCCACCATGGTGCTCTCTGCGTCACGGCAGTTTTTCAAAACATGAGGAAAGCTTGAAGGGAGGCTGAAGATAACGAGAGGAGGACTTTAAACAAGTGGCAGATGAAGAGCGAGTTTTTAGGAGACAAAAAAGTGTTACTGGCAATTACAGGTTTGTGATGTTGACTTGTTTTAACAAAAAAACAGCAATTTTTGGTAATTTTTGCTTTTGAAAAACAATGGTCATATCTAGGACTGTCTGCTTAACATTCAATTTGACTAATCAAGCGCCCAGTGAGAACACTTGGTATCCGCTGCCCTCTGCTGACTTGTACGTGTGCTGCAAACATACCGCAGAGTTAGTTTCTATGTGTCATTTATTTTATATATAGAAATATTTAACAAATAAACATATATTTATGATGCCTCTCTCAAGCTCCATGTAGTTGCATCAAGGGAATGGACCTGCATACTGTGTCAAAGGAACAGCCCTCTGACCTCATTGTTCTCTCTGCACGTTCTCGTTCCCCAGCATCCCTGCATCCAGAGAGAGTCGCTCTACGTCAGGTTCCTGTGCTGTGACGACAAACACACACTTTCGCTTTGGGTGAACTCCATCAGAATAGCCAAGGTCAGATCCAACGGCGCCCTTATCACAAATCACTTTAATGAGAGCTGCTTAGTTGGAAATCTATTTGCAATTCAGCTACAAATTTGGGACTTTAATAGACAAATATAGACATTTGGTCTCCAGCAAAGTGTGTGTCCTCTGTCTGTGTTCAGTATGGGACCGTCCTATTTGAGAACTACCAGACCGCGGTGAAGAAAGCTTCCGGTTCGCAGCCTCTCCACTTTGCTGCAGGTGAGTCCACACCTGTAATCTCTTGGAAGCTTTGCGTGAGGAAACTTGAAAGAAGCATTTGGCAAAAGTTTGATTTTTGCAGTAATTTTAGACTGCAGTGGATCCTAATTATCGTTCGCCTTTACAGACAGATACAACAGCGCGGCGCCTAATCCGGCTCCACCCAAAACCACAAATGTGGAGGACTATCCTCACGAGCCTCCACCTGACTTCATCCCTCCTCCTCCTCCTTCTCAAAACACACACGTTTGAGACGCATCCTCTCCTCCTCCAGCCTGGATTAAGCCAAATTAGCCTCCATGAGCACAAGACCAAATGCATATTTTATAATATTTTAATAATGCACTTAGGTGTAGTAGTACCAGCGTTTCAGGAATATTTTGCAATAGATCACATTCTAAAAGACTTTATTTATTCCTAGATGAATATACTGAAATATTTAAACGTTCATTCAGCTTTACGACAAAAAAAATCACGCACTTCTGTTCATTGTTTCAATGGGCTGTTTATTGAAAAAAGACTGTACATAAATTTCAATGAACACACAATATGTACAAACTGAGAGAAGACAAATATTTGTTTCTGCTTCCGTGAACATTTAAGTTACTGATTCTTTTTTTTCCCACCAACGTTTCATCATTAAGAAAACACACATCAAAGAAAGGCGCCTTGACCTGTGATGCCCTGAAATGCAAGACGTTAAGTGGTAAACATTACAAAGTCATCAGTGGTTGTCTCATGGTTTCTCTATGAAAAAAGTATAAATTAATCCGTTACATACAAACCTCAGCAGTGTCCGACACAAAAAACATGTTGAATGCAAAGCTAGAAATACATTAGGTAGAAAAAGTTGTTTTCTCACAAAAGATCACCTCATGATGGAAAAGATACAATCAAGAATGGGATGTAGTGGCAAATCAATCGCTGTAACACTGTTTCAGACTTTTTTGCACAGCGAGCTGAATGAATACTGTCGATCTGAGTCATTTTCTTTTGTTGGTCTGTGTTAATAATAATCTGTATCCATTCCAAAATAAAAGTTTGTGTTACAATGACCGTTACTCACAAAGTATAAATGATTGTGTTAATGTGGATTGTTAAAAAAAAATAGATTCTGAGATAAACAGTGTAGCTTGATGGTATTTGACAGCGGGTTTCACTTAAACCAAACGATCACTTGTCATCTCATTTCCCTAAAAAAACGAATTGAAATCAGAGCAGAAGTCTTCACATCGGCACCGTTTGTGAGACCTGCTGATTGCAATTCATTCCTTCACTGCAGCAAGCAGGCGTCATTCATACGTCCGTGTGTCGATCGACAAAAACATCCCGTAAGTAGCCAACAGAACCTCGCACATCGCTGCTGGGTCGTCTACATTCACGGAAAAAAAAAAACCCAGAGGGGATTAAAGACAACTACAATCAGATCTGAAATAAGGTTGCTCCTCTGGAACGAAGCAGCGTGGCTTAAATCACTTCTGCAGTAGTTGGAGCAGTCTTGGCTTGAGGTTGTTTGGGTTGGTGATTATGGTTATTGAGCACCAATGTAGAGCACCACACCACTGAAAGACTGGACGAGTGTGAAGGTGAGTCCATGCTTCTGTAGATGCAACTCTTGAGTAAAAAAAAAAAAAGTCAAAAAGCAAGGAAAGGAACTCAGCGCAGCTATTCCAACACAATGGAGAACAACATGAAAACACATCTTATTCTTCCCTCCGATTCCCCTTTTGAAGCCACCTCTGCAACAGCAGCTGGACCGCATCACAGAATATAGTGACAGTGATCGTAAAATGATATAGTGGTTTGTACGCGGCCGCTTGGCTCCGATGAAGTTGAAATGGCACTGTGAGTGACGGATAAAATGAATATTCCAGTAAGAAAAACTAAAAAAAAATTGAAAACATCCAACCTTGGCATCACGCTGATGGAATCTCACAGGTGAAACACACTAACCGACAAATGCACTGTACTGGCAGCTTCTCACGTTACATTTTATATACAAGAGAACAGAAAGAAGAATCGGTTGTCTTTTTTTTAATGCATTCTATACACTCGGTTTAACCCTTTTTTTCCCTCCTCTGTAGCCCCACATCCACAGAGCACAGTGAACACACAACTCCAGGTCGCTTTAGTTCCCTTCGTAAACATCTGGCGATTCGGACATCGACGGCATCGAACATTCAGTCGTGTCCTAAATGCACTTGTTGATGTCTGTTTATCCTTTTCGGGTCGCTGTTTTTTTTTTGTGTGTGTGTGTGTGTGTGTGTGTGTGTGTGTGTGTGGCAGGTTTTAGAAAGGAGGGGAAAGGTCGGTCTGCCTCATCTTTACTGTCTGGATGAACTGCGTATCGGAAACACTGGTTGCAAATACACTGAATCCAGATGTGCTTGTTTAAAATTACTCTGCAATGTCTTTCGAGAAAAAAATGACACCTACACGGGTGTAACAGCTGCAGGTGAAAGGCTTTATCTTTGTCTCCTCCCTTTCGTCCACAGTGTAAACTAACAGACCCCAGTCTGAAGCGTCACCACCCTCCTTCCCTGTTTATTTTTTTGAGGGGGGGAGGGGGGGCGAGGGGGGTTGGGGTGCATTACAAAACCGTGCAAGCACAAGCTCCCTAAAAGAAGAAAAGCATCTGAAAAATCCACCATGGCACTTCATTCAAAAACGGGAGCTCGTATGAACTGCAGTCAATGGCAAACATCTGTACATCTTCACGGTTTTACCTTCGCTCAAAACTAGCAGTGCCACTTTGGGTGTGTTTTTGTTTCGTCTGTCCGCTAGTCAGCATAGTGCATGATCGACTCCACGTAGTTTCCCGGGAAGAGTCCGGTGACGCCGTTAGCGACCCCTTCGAACCAGCCGTCGTCGTTTTTCTTGATTATGTAGATGATGGCTCCTTCGTTGAAGGACAGCTCATCCTCCTTGTCCTTGCTGTAGTCGTAGATGGCCACCACTGTGGAGCAAAGTTATCGTTATATTATAGTCTTTTTTTTTCTTCTCCAGAAGACACGTAGAAAGATGTCACTAACCTTTCTCTAAATAAACCTTGGGGGCCCAGAGGGGGTCTCCGTCTGCGTAGGGATCGCTGTAATGAACCACCGCGGCTTCCTCTTCCTCATAGTCCACAGGTGGGGGAGGAGGAGGGGGAGAGCCCTCCTCAAAGACGCCCATGTCCTCTGGCGGGGGCGGCGGAGGCGGGGCGGGGCTGTCTGTTACTGAAAGAGGACGTGGAGGATCAGAAAGAAGAGGAGTGCCGGTCTGCTCTCCTCACCTCGTGCTCTTGCAGCGATTCGTTCTTTGACACCCTCTTTTTATTTATTCTACTTTTGCATTCAGTGTCTGACAACGCAAGGATTTGATTTCAAAAACTGTCCCTGTGAGGAGGGACAAAGTTGGGATGATGTTCTACACTTAACACACGTGAATATTGTCAAATTAATTTTCCCATATTGATAACCATCATATAGACTTTTATCAACCCGGTCAGTGTGGAGCCATTTAAGTGTTCACTAGAGGGCAGCTTGGGGTCATTGCTTCTCTTTATTATGGCATCTTACAGCTTCCACTACTACGACTCACACCACCAACACTCCTCTGTTGGGATAACATTTAGTGTATCTTTTTCTTGCCCTAAATAAAATTGTATCCTATTTAGTCTAAAGTACCAGGAAACACCTCCAGACTGCTGCAACAGCTACAACCCTGCTAGTATTGCGGTTAAGAAATACCTACGCTAATAGCAATTTAAACCAACAGTTTTATTCTTATTTTTACTTATTGTGAGTAAGTTTTCAAGATACAAAGCTGTAGATTTTGTATTTTAACCCCCCCGAGTTTTGAAATGTTAACAGAAAAGGATCTGTCATCTCCATCTGCATGTACAAGGTGCTATATTGGGCAGATATGCATTTTACTGGCTTAATAATAATGAGAAAAGGTCGACTCGGTCTTCACGCTCTTCCACCGGTGCTACAGTCTTTTAAACGCATTCATGTCCAGAGATGAGAGAACAATGGCACATCCGTGCCGCACTAATTCATAAGCCTGCATATGAGTTACACAAACTGGTAAAAAGTCACCAGAAATCTGCTCAATCAGCTGATTCTCCAATGGTCTAATGACTGATCTTTAATCGCATTAGGAGCTGAAAATGCTTCAAAATATAACAGATGTTGTCTTTCTTTCTATTAGTGCAGGCAGTTACCTGTCTAAGGACAATAACTGACTGACTACCTCCAACACAAGAACTGTATCAATAGTAAGTCACAATTCGGGAAGACGTCAATTCAGTACTACTATTTGATAAGTAATGTGTATAAAGTGGTTATACATATATCATTTTTAATGTTTAAACAAGTTACAGGGAGATGACTTCTGTTTAAACATAATTACTGAGGCCCTCTTTGTCTATTCAGCCCCGAAGGGGGCGGTGTGGGGGGGGCTGTGTATCGCTGGTCATACTAACTAGTCGCTGCTTCTCCTATTCACATATGACTCCCTGTTTCTGGTGTGCGCCTCTGTGTGCTTAGACAAATAAAAAAGCAAACGTTGAATGGATAGAGGTTCAACAGCCCATAATATCAAAATGTTTAATTTCCTGAGACCATACATTTGTTTAACCCGGCCTTTGTTTGACTTTGTGACTCGTATCCACCAGTGCAGCGCGCCAGCAGTCTGCACTACGTTTGAGACGGACGCCGACAGACAGTTGCAGATCGCTACACAGCTGCATTTCTGCACACAGGCGGCGGAAGGTGTGGGGGGGTGGGGGGGGGGGGGTGGAAGGACACGGCATCGGGTGCATTTTCTCAGGAAGGATGGGACGCGCGCTTTTTTTCGTGATCCATCACCATGGCAACAGGCAGTCAGCCGAGGGGCGTGCGCTCGACCCCGAACGCGGCGCAAGGAAAAGGTGTGGCGAGTGTAGCGAGCGACAGAGAGGAGTGTAGAAGTGAGGCTGCGTGTGGATGCTGAGATAGTGAAAAGTGTCTCTCTATACGCTTGCATTTATGGAGAGCTGAAATACGGTCGATATATGACAAATCTGTATTAAGGTAGAGTTTACAGATACGCATTTATTGCCTCGTCATTTCTCACGCTCTGGACAATTGAGTGTGCACAAGTGAGTGTGTGTGCATGATATAATGTATAAACTCACACAGGTATATCTGCTTGACTGATTTTGGAATAGATTTTCTACTTACTGCTCTCCTGCATTCTGGCAACAAAGCCGGTCAGAGGGATCTGTGGGGTCAGCTGGACCATTGGAGGAGGAGGCGGAGGAGCCACAGACACTGGAGCAGCAACACCCAGAGAGGCAGACGTGGCAGCAGAGAGACAGAGAGAGACGGAGGTGGCGGAAAGGGAGACAGACGATGGCGAGGGAAGAGCCGATGGACACAACAGAGGAGGCGGAGAGGTGAATTTGAGAAAACAAAAAGCTTGTGATACAGGGCAGAAAGCAGAGCTGAGCAACTCATTTACACATTTGCAATCGTTGTTCTTTCGGGATGCCTTTTTCCAGCTCAGCTAACGAGACATTCATCTCATCTGAGTACGGAAAACCAACCTCATCAGCATCTGTTTTACTTCAAGAGCAAAAGGCTGCGGGTAACGAGCGCACTACACAGACCTGAAGACATGAGGTGGCAGCTGAGGAGCTGTGTGGAATAGCAAGGCAGCCATATGTGTCTTCTCAAGAAAAGAGCCCTCCCAGGTAGCGCTGCAGCATCTTTATCTGATCTGAATAAATGCTAAATTAGAGCGGTATGTCTGGATCAAATGCTACATTTAGTCCACCCTTTAATGAAAAGCGCCTGCATCCAAACCATCTTCTGCCTCTGGAATGAGGCTTTTTGCTGCAATTTTTAAACGAAAAGGAGAAAAAAACGGAACAGACAAACAAACAAACGCAGCTTTCCTCGCCGATAAAGACATGATGTCACACGAGCGCACGCCAGGTGTGACTCATAAATCACACGTAATGGAAAGGCCTCTGTGAGCTCACAGTAATGTCTTATTATTCCACCCTGCTCTCAGCGCAGCGCCATATGCCTCCACAGCTACACCCTGAAAGATCGATGAACTCCCCCGGGCTCCCTCGTGCACGGGAGCCGGCCTCCTTTTACTGCAATAAGGCTTTTATTACATCCACCAAATATTCCAAAAATATATTTTCAATTTCAATGAGTAGACATGACAGAGAACATACGTTGATGTGGCTCTGCATCATTGTCTCTCTCCTCCCAGACAAGACAAACAGCCTCCTCCGTGCCAAGGAGGATGCCTGTCCTTTGAGGGAGAGACGCCATTAGCAGAGAACGGATTAGAGTGATGCTCCTTCTAAAGGGAAGACACGCACGTGTCCCTGGCTTCCCCTTGTCTTATCGGCTCGTTATGTGCGTACGGAGATGAGATGCCTCCTGGCAGCCCGCCCTGCCGCTCCTGAACAAGAAGGCCTCTCGAGCGGACTGAAGTGATAATGTCATAACTCATTCACGAATGGTAATGGAAGAGAGGTGGGAAGGTTTCAACAAGCATGACTTCAGTAATTATGGTTCATTATTCATTTTCATTAGCCGCTGGAAGGGCTAGCCCCGGCATATCTTCTAGACCCAGGGGATCCTTTTTAGGAGGAGGCGATGCTTTAGTCTGACCACATCAGATAAGTCTATTACGAAGCACCGATCATCTAGTAAACTGGAGCGCTCCGAACATACGTTAAAGAGTGTTTTCTTTGTGTCACCTGAGTTCTGCGGGTAGGCCGGGCCACCGTTCATGTGGGGCTGCTGGGAGGAGACGGAGGGGGCGCGGCGGTAGGTTCCAGTGGCCGACACCATGGAGGCCGAGGAGGTGGTGGAAGAGTTGTGACGGGAGATCTGGCGGGAGATGGTGCCAAACTGGGACATGGGTATCGGACCCAGGCCGGGGCCCTGGGGCACCGAGGCAGAAGATGTCACCGCTGCGGGAAGAGGAGAGACAAGGAGACGCGAGTCTATCCTTCCATGCAGAAAGTGAGAAAAGATCTGTGTGTATATGGTAATGAGTGTGGACAAGAACAGGCCAGCGAGAGCCAAACAGAGCCTGTACAGCATTACTGTGCCCAGCAGGGACGTCTTGTGATGTGCAGTACGGGTCTGGCTGCTGAGGCTCACCTTGCCCCATGCTGGGAGGGGAGGGGGTGGGAACTGCTATTGGAATACCGACTCCACTGCCTCCGCTGTTCTCCCTGCCGCCGCTACCACCACTGCTGCCACTGCGGACGCAGTTGGAAAAGGTTTTTAGGGTGATGATTAGAGGATGTCTGCGACAAACTGCCATTGCATAACAGCATTTGACATCCCATCATTACTCTCTCATGTGTCTTTCCTGTCATGAGAAAGTCCCCGTCACCGTGGTAACATATTCACGGCTCTGTGAATGTGGGGCGGGCGCCGTCTGGCACGTTCACGCGTTCACACAGGGCACAGATTTTCGGGAGCAAGAAAAACAACACGACAGCCAGGACTCGTTTGGAAGGCAGAAAGGCACCGCGGACAAATCTCTAAAGCTGCGACTAAAGGAGTAATTACGTCTTGCTGGTAGATGCCGAATTGTCAAGTTAAAAGTGATAAAAGAGAGATATAGAGATATAAAAGTCTAACGCCATACTGACTACAATGCTATATTCTGATTTGGGCCACTGTATAAAACACTTGCTGATAGTAAAATAAAACATTTTAATTGGAAATGCAGTCTTCATTTTAGCAAAAGCTGTCACTGTGTTGTTGTGGGTGATTTAGTAGAATTGATGTTTTGGCACTCCAGCCAAATGGATCAGTACTGAGTGACGAGGATGGTGAAAGTAAAACAAGAAAACACAAGCTAAGAATATAAAGTAGAGCGCTGATGCAGCAGTGGCTCATCTAAAAGGTTCTTTCACTTCTGCTTGACGTGTACCCTTAAGACAGATCTAAAGCTGTAAATATCAAGAGAGGACAAAAAAAAGGGATTTCAATCACTTAAGCACACACTAAGGTGTGTAAATAATGACATCATAGATGGCTGAGTTTCATTTAGCTGCGTTAGTGTCCCAGTGTGAGTGCGTGTCCCTTGTTAACAAACGTGTAACTAATACGATGACTCATGGCCCCTGTTACGCCCTGCCATTGTGAGTGGTGGCTCACTGGAATGGCTGGCACACACTAAATAGAATGGGGCCATAATTTATTTTTGATCTATTTCAACCGTGATTATCCTGCTATGACAAGTCAAAATGGCTGCAGTGGTTTCAGCCTCACACATTCGCTGAATTCTAGTTTAAAGTGGATTGTAGTTCCAGTTTACTACATTCGCTCCTGTGGCTCTGCAGTCGAGCTCTATCCGAACACAGGTTGCGTGTAAGTGCCGCGGCCGTGCTACCTGTGTGTCCTGGGCCTCTGGTTGAGCGAGGCTGTGCGTGCGGGGCTGTGCTGGTTGCCCAGTCGGGCCGGGCTCGTCATGTAGTCGTTGGGCACCACGGGAGGCTTCACCGGCTCCAAGGTCTTGTAAGGAGTGTTACGCCTGGATGTGGATAAACACGGCCGAAGAGGACACAGATACTTCTCAGTGTTTTCATCAAGTGAGAGGAGGCACTCGGGGCTTTTGCAGCTATTGTTTATGGAGCCGCGGTCGGGTGGTCCTGGTGTTTACAGTAACCAACGTGTAAAGTAGGAATAGTCTCAAACTGACATAAACAAAGAAAAGGTTCAATGGTGTAACGGTCCAGAGCTTCCACCTGCACTGCAAATGCATTTAATTCAGTTTTGTACACAGACTATGTTTTAAAAGTATTTTGAAATGTACTACACAGCTGTAAGTTCTTACCCTAGGGTACCACGACCAGCCATGGGGGGGCTTGGTGGTTTCTGTGAGGGAGGGGTGGTCCTGGAAAGTGTCGCTCCCCTTCCTGCTGCATTGTTCCCATGTTGCTAGAGGAGCAAATCGAAGTTAAAGCATTGTTTTTTGTACAATCTAATCTTCTTTTTGAAGGGGGCAACACCGGGATCCAGGCTTTTTTTCTCCATATAAAGACATCGAATAGGACACGATGAGACATGAAGGAGGAGAGCAAACAGAAGGCAGCACCATGAAGGGTGTCACTCTGTACATGGATCAGGATAGGAATATGTATAAAGATGAATTACTATAAATATTAAATATAAGGTTTCAGTTATCCATTTTTCTGCATTTACTGTAACATACATAAAGAGATTTCACACCAGGTTTACACTCCCAATAGTTAAGATGAAAAAGGTAAATTAAGTTCATCAAATCTATCACCAGTGGTGACAGGAAGAGACACAGTCGGTTTAATTATGCTGCTTTGCACCATAGTAATAAATCAGCGTTTTCATGGAATCCTATTTGTACAATGAGAAAGTAATTCAAAGTTGCCTGAAATGAATGTGAATGTTTTTTACAAAGTGAAAGAAAAATAAAGAGAAAGACACCCATCTCTTACCTTGGCCTTAAGCCACTGAGCGCAAGCAGGCAAAAAGGAGGAGAGAAAACCAGATATGCCCATTGGTTAAAGGTTAATATGAGTTTAAATAGTTATATACAGAATATCAAATTTCAATCACAAATCGAACGATCACAAATCATAAATAAGGACAGAAGAGAAGGAGATTGTAATGGAACACGTTAGTGTGAAATAACCAGCTTGCCAACTAAACACATACAGAAAATATGAGGGGCTGAAAATCTGTGTTCCTTTCTAACATGTGATGTTTGTGCCAGTTGCCAGTATGTGTGAATGTGTGCATATGTGTGTGTGAAAAGCTGCAAATATTACAGCTTTTCATGATACCGACATGATCTTTTAATCCTCAGCACCAGAATGATTGCTCTAATATGTAATTCACTTCTATTTAGACTCAGGCTCCTTTCCTGCTGCAAAATGAATCACCTAAAATAGGTTTCAAGCAACAAAAAGAAAGAAATAACCGGGTTTGAGAAAAAAGGAGCAAAAAAGAGGCAAAACCACCACTGGCCTCCAGATCAAATACACAGATGAAACTACTGACTAACCCTGTGTGTGTGTAGACGTGTTGTAGACTGTAATCAGAATGAGAATCACTTTAACGGGTAGATAGACTAGAAATAATGAGCCCTGCCTGAGCTATATGCTACTGTGCTGACGTTTTAAGTGTTGCAGGAATCAAAGAAATAAGAAAACCTGGGCAGTAAAGGTCATCAATAACGTCTGTGAGGTGTTCAGGCCGTCGGAGTGGCTGTAATGTAGTCGAAACGATGTCACCCTGGTAACTGCTGGTAATGCCAGTGAAGGCTGCTAAGGAGTGTGGGGCGGGGGGGACACAGTCATCCGTACATGTGGGAATGGGTCTAATGCTCAAGCCTGACTTCCAATCCGTCCACGGGTGACTTCCCACAGTTATGTGGATGACGGATTTTTACAGGCGATCACGACTCGGATGCTCCAAGGGAAGCCGCCACTACGCGGAAGGACGAGGCTGTAATGTTGGAGTGCTAATAAGCTGCCAGTGTGAACACACCGACAAACAAGGACATTCATTAATGTACTTCTCAGCATCATTTTCATTTCTATCTATCTATCTGTGGTGCAGAAGTGACTTTTAAATTATCTCATGATATATATATATAATACATTTAGGTCTGCAGCCGAATGCATATCCATGGACAAAAGCACACACACAGAAATGAACCAGTAGCCAGGGAGTCTTATTGCTCCAGTTTGCTTCCAGCCCAAAATGATGATCTGACCCTCATCCAAATTGAACTTGAATAAATCAAAGATCCTCCCCCAAATGTTGACTCCCGAGATGAGTCACTCTACTCACGTCTGGATCCTCTTTTAGTGCTGGCAGGGTAAACAGTTTTTCCCTACACAGGTATAACTAGAAAGAAAAAACTGGCACATCTTCTAACATATGCAGTGATTTCTGCAGAGATCCGTCATTTGTAGCATTCACGAGTGATGCTCCATTTGCATAGCCGGCCGTGCCAAATCTGTGTCAGCGTGCGCCAGCTCTCACAGGAGGGAACACTGGCTTTTGAGTTCGAAGCGGCGGATGTTTGAATATCAGCGGGCAGCCACTATCTCCACAGAGACAGACGAGGGGGGGGAGGGATGAAGAGGGCAACTCAAACAAGCTGCGGAAATGTGACACCAGCAATCAATGCCCATAAACTGTGTGTGTGTGTACCTCACACACACACACACACTCGAGACAAAACACACAGAACTTTATATAAAAGCAGGGAAGAAGGGGTCGGGGTTGGGGGGTGGAGAGACGGATCATGGGGGAGAGGATAACAAAAAAAACGGAAGAATGAGCCGGAAGAGCATTGAAAGAATATTTTCGCACAGTTCAGTAGAGGATGTGATGGTGTGTAGCACTTGGTCAATGTGTCTCACACTGCGGGTTCTTCACACACACTTATCCTTTAACTTCCACATTCGGTCCATGTTAATTGGCACGAGAGAAACCTCTCAAAAAAATATTCATTTTGCCGCAGACCGCCGCACACTTCCCGAAGGCGAGCGGTTGATACTTTTCTCAGTGTGTCTTGACGTAATAAACTGAAAGGCCGGCGTATTGATCGGCTCGCAGCGTGAGTGAAGGAGACCATCGGCTCGTCCACGTGCACGTGGGAAGTGTGAACTCCACTGAGCATGTGTTTTCCTGTCTCGTTAAATTGATTAGCAATGGAAATCGAGATGAAACATTAAAGTAATGACGTTGGGATTCTGCCGCAACACTGGTTGTGGTGAAGCGAGGAAAGTGCTTTTTCGAAAACCGTGTACAGACATCAGGGTCAATGTGCGAGCTAGTCTGATGTGACAGATATCTTACTTTGACGCCGTGTCCCACGTCGTCCAGCAGCGTGTAGTCGATGGGCTTCCGGATGTAGCGCACTGGCCGCTCCATGTTGCCAGGGGCGATGATCTTGTGGGTGCGCGCGGTGTTCTTATTTGTGGTCAGGATGCCGATCTCTCGACGCGCCACCTTCTCCTTGTGGATGTCCACGGTCTGCAGCAGAGAGAAACGAAGGACAGAATGAAGGGGGGGGGGATACAAATGCTCAGATTGATGCAATTGCATTGGCTTATTTTTAGACAGGTCATAATAACAGACATAGAGGATTTCATTTAGGACATATAGGAGAGAGAGAGAGAGAGAGAGAGAGAGAGAGAGAGAGAATGAATCCTATTTTATTAAGAGGCTTCTTACTTGCTTTTAATGCAAACACAATACTTCCTCCATCTGTTTCACGTTAAAAGCCTCCCAGGAGCTCAAGGGCACAATCACCTCACTTCCCCGGTGAGATATGTTCTAAAAACATGTTTTAAATATATAATTCCAAAAATACTAACTAAACTAATAAAAAGACAGGAATCACTCCAGTCTTTTTATTTAAAGGTATTTATTATTACTATATCCAGCATCTATGTAAGCATATTTAATGTTAATATACATATCATTTTGTGAGGCACAGTCAATAGTTGAGAATATATTTTAAATCAAACTGTGAATCAAACTAATTTGTTCCTTTGCGTTTCTCATAAATCCTCCAACCTCCCAGCGAGTCCTTTGAACTCCCACTGACCCACGATCCTGCTCAGCTGGCCCACACCCCGGGGCCCATTGGAAGGGGCTGTCCTTTAACCCCTCGCACCGGGACACTCGGACAATACCAGTGACCTCCATGTCTTCAGCGATTACAGTCATTATGGCTCACTGCTGCGCCGCCTTCGCACAGGCCTTCAATTTATGAATGATGGATGAAACTTGAAAAGATTGAGGGATTAAGTGAGGGAGGGGAAGCCAAAGGAGGAGAAACGTGGGGGAGGACGGAGGGCTTAATTTCAGGGGGAGAATGCTGACGAGTGTATAAAAAGGACATAAATTATTCCATTAATGTTGTTAATCATTCTCTGCAGTGCACCTGCCTCTGTGCACACGAGATTGTCGAGGAGACTCATTTGATATTAAATTAAAACATGTATTTTTAAACATGAAAGCGTGTATTTATTCAGGTATTAGTCAGTTTTCTTTAGGATAGGTGCAGAACCGCCTCCGACGCCACGAAGCCTGCATCTGCTGCTCATGAGATATATATAGAAAACATGCTCGCCCCTCTTTTAGGAGCGGAAACTGAGGCGACACGCCCAGCTTCAGCTGGGAAGTTGCAAGAAGAAAAAAGAAACGCCTATTTCCTGCCGGTGAGAGGCGAGCAGAGGTGGAGCGCAGATTAGAGAGAGAGACAAACTCCGAAGGACAGGAAGGGCGAGGCGATTTGAGATCCACGAGATAGAGAGGGTCAATAATAGAAGCTGATTCTGGTGGTGATCAAAGAGAGATGCATGTGGGGATGGGATAGCAGAGATGATGAGAACATTTTTACTATCTAGATTTTGAAATGGCCCCTTTTTGACTAAACTGTCACCACCCACCTGGTGATCACACTAAAGCAGCTTCCAGAGGCACTCTTCAACAGGAGGAAGAGCTTGCAGCGGTGCGGCAAAAGCGGCGCACATCTGCACGTGATGGCTGAACTGTCAACCTTATGTCAGCATTTCCTCTAAACATACATTGTGAAACCAAAGTTAGGTCATCTTTAAGAAATGTTACAACACTCTGTGTTTCTTTCTGCTGCACGGTCAATCTAATTTATTTTAATATCTTCACTCCAATAAACATCTGGCTGCAGTGCCTTTCTGTGAGCAGATGCCACCCCTTTAACTTTCACTACTGGCTGTACATTATAGTTTCAGCCGAATAAATCTGTGTTTTAGCAAATGATTGGTTAGTGCAGTTTAACCAACTTGTACATTTTTGTTCAGTCTAGTTTATTGGCTCTAAGAAAATATGATGCCGTCTGTATTGAAACTACAATACATTATACATCAATGATCTCACACATGGCTTTAGTAAGACATCCAATCAACATAATCTACATAATATTTCAGGATTTAAGAAGGAAACCTATCAATTGCCAGCAGCCAGTCAGAGATATTGTGATCGAATGAATTAGAAAAAAATGACATTCAGCAGGACTCAAGGAAATGGAAAAGAGGAGCAAAGACACTACTGGGATGGCCCTTGTGTTTATGTGTCACAACAGCTCTGCTTTTATTAAACCTGCTTTAGTTTTGCATTTAGTGGCATTTCGGATATAACTTTGTGACAGCCACCTCTGCAGCTTTAAATCCTACACACAGGGGGCTTTGGATTTGGCAGCTCGGCAACCTTCATTTTCTATTCCCATTTTAACTATTTATGCAAAAACATAAACACAACAAAAACACCTGGCACAAGACAAAATGTCATTTCTTTATGAGTTATGATGAACCAAAGCCCTACGGCTTGTGATGAAATGCTTCTAAAGTGAATAGACCTTTCTCCACCTGTGAAAGATATCAACATTGAGATTTGATAGACTCTACATACAAATGGTCATGTACCTGTGTTGGTTGGATAACCTTCCGTCCAGTTAACCTTTTATGAGAAGTACAGCTGTAAATAAATTACTTTAATGAGGGCTGGACGTGGGGAGCTTCACCTGTTCTACAGGTCCAGTGTTTTGCATATCAATCGAAGGGACCGCTGTGAGAGAGCAGTATTTTAAACCATATGGATAGACTGGGGCTGAAGAAAGTCCCACGATTGACTCGAGACGAATGCATTCAGTACCAACGACAGTGACCAGCCAGGCTCAATGGTTTCCATGACCACACCGGTGAGGTGACGTGTCTCTGCAGAACTATTGTGACCGAGGCACAAATATCCATCGAGCGTCTCCAAGAACAATAAAAGACTCTCGTTGTTCTTCGTTAGAACTTCCCCTGACTGTACTCCGTCCTGCAGCCTGTCAAAGGGAACGGACGCTGAGAAAATGCCACCCGGGCGCAGGGAGCTGGTGTCAGGATTTCACTTCATCCCTGACAGGCTTAATGAAGCACACAGGGAGGAGACCGGGACATTCACTGGCTGACAGGCAGGGTGGCAGTGTGAAGCGCACACACAGAGGGAAACAGAGAGAGGGGATTGAAAGAGAGAGAGAGAGAGAGAGGACTGCTGATGAAGCAAGAGGGACTGAAGAGGGGCTGTGGTGGTTGGGCAGCTCCAGCATGAACTGTGTGTCTGTGCCATTCACACAAAGGATAATTCCAGCAGGTTTGGGCTTAATTGTGCTCGAATAGATTTTCAGATAAAGATCTTGAAAAAAAAAACAGTTTGATTCATTTGACATCATTTTGTAAGTTAAAAAAACGTTTTTCTGTTGAACAGATGGGAGTGTGGGTGACAATTCTCGTGGGAAAATGTAGATCACACTGTATTCATGCAATTTAAAACAGCGGAACACCCCGAAATTAGGGAGGACCTTGACATTACGCATTTCCTGCCACCGGAGTGTCTTCCGGCGCTATGATGTGAACCTGACCTGGGAGATGTGGTTGATGGAGGACTCCATGCGTCGCAGTTGCGAGGCCTGGATGTCCAGCAGCTGCAGCACATTGTTCGCTAAGGCGTTGATCTGGTAGGCCACGCTGGCCAGGGACTGGGTGGTGTAGGCCTTGGTCTCCTCCAGGGCCTTCTTCTTGTCTTGAGCCTGGCAGGAAGAGGAGAGGAAAAGAGGAAACGAGAAGGAGAGAAAACACAAGTCGGTCAGAATCTGTGGCCAGATGTGTGGTTGGAAGGAATAGAGAAGCTGGCAGAGGGAAGTAAAGAGCGCAAGTCAAATAAAAAACAAACGCTGCACTCTTATTGCTACTCGGATCAGCTGTGTGAGCGAGGAGAGGGCAGCTTTTCCACAAGGGGTCCGCGTTTGACAGGACCCTTTGTTCTCGACTGTTTCCACGCTGCAAAGCCCCGTTAAGATCTGTAGGGAAGCGAACACGGGTCGATAATTCTCAGAGGGAATGACTACGTGGATACAAAGCAGCCAGGAATTGTACAATTATCAACAACCCAGATGGACAACATGGGACAGGTGCACGGTGGGAGCGGAGCCAAGGGAGCGGGGAATGCCAAGACACTTCCTGGGATCCCAAATATCCAGCCGGCTGCCCAAACCATCTGTTTCTGCGGGCCTTTAAATAGCGAAGGGACTGGGTGGACATATTTAGAATTTGGAAACGAAAAACAGGGGTGCAGCCACTCAGGGCCAGTCCAACTGGGGACTGCCAGTCTTCTGCAGGAAACGGGAAGCAGGAGTACAACTTGCTAATTACTGTAAATGCAACTGATCCCATTGTTTTTTTTGTTTTTTTCCATTAAGAAATTCCTTAACTGTGTATACGATGATGAACGACTGCCCGTTGCTTCGCTAATGAGTGTCACCGAAAGGCCAAAATAAAACAAATTGACACACTTACAGTGTGACGTGGGGCATCATATGCCATCACATGCAGATGTTTGATGTGTGACAGAAGCTGTTCATGATCAACATAGTACATATAGCTATAACCCAGATTCAAACAATTCAAAAATCCCACTGATCTGGAAAGTGGAGTTAGTAAAAATAACAGTGCACGACTTACGACCTATAATGAAAAGGTGAATATTTGGTGCTACGATGCTAAAGGCCAGAAAACCGGCGTTCCTAAGAACAGGTAGCACAAAGGAAATTCACAGTTTCACAGGAAGTTGACTAATGAAACCTTTTGCCTGTTTGCTACACCCCTACACCGCAAAAAAAAGGAAACCCCTGCCCACACGCTACTGAGCAAACCACCAATATCTGTTGGAAGATGTCTGGTGGAACAAACCGGTCAGCAGATCTCTGTCCGAAGACTGGAACAGGTTCGTCACACCCGAGCTTATAGGAAAACGCTGACATGTGTTTCCAAGCACATGTGCAGACTAATAAAACACCTTGCATTCTACTATTCTCGCGGAGCCAATTCCAAAAAGAAAAGGAAAAGGGAATAAGTCGCATTATCTACCCAGCGCTATCTTTAACAAAGAGCAATGCTCGCATTAAAGGGAGAAAATGTGTGAACTGGGATCTAAAAGAGTGGTTTAAACTCAAATACAATATCCCGCGTAGAAGAGCCTTTGTAATAATTAACGACATCTTTCTAATACACATTTTTCATTATGATTCTCTCCCTCTCTTTCTCTCTCTAACTCACTCTCTTCTGCTTTCACTTATATTCTCTTATATTCCGCTTACAAAAGGCTTTTTTTAAACATTTTTCATTAACTTCCATTTTTAACTGTTAAGCACCCGACTCCACCTTAACAACGCGTAGCGCAGAACGGTTTGTACGTTACAGCGTACTGAGCACCGGGTCTGATGCTGGAATGACATGAAGCCCGTGAGTCACTAACACCAGTGAGTCAGAGGGGTCTTGTGTTTAACATTGGGGACATTTAAAGTAGGGTGTTTTTCCATCTGACACAATGTGTCATGCCACAAATATTTCTCAAAAACTGATACCTCAATTAAAAGTGAAACTCAAACGTATTCATTGCCACATTGTTCAATAAGCCCATTCAAAGAGTGGCTATTTTTGTATAAAAGGCATTGAGAAAGGTACCAACCAAGCAGTGTTCTGCTTTCATGCCACCCGTCACTTTGTAGTGGCAGCTTTTCATTGGCCAATTTAAAAGAAAAATCACCTCCAAGAATAAAACTATTTTTTCCACTGCAGAATAAGAATGGATTTGCATATCAGGGCGTATCAGTGGCCGTGTGGTATTTCGAGAAACTATGCTGTTCTGGTGGATACTGTGAATGTATTTATGAGATGTTGCATTAGAAAGCGTATTACAGAAACATATTGCATGTCTAATATTACTGCTCACAGCCTGAGCATATACGCTATAATAGCAGGCACAGCTTATCCTTAATTCCCTGTTGTGTTTGTCAAGTGGATTCACACACATGCAGGATTCCAGATAACGATTTTAACGTCCCCGAAGAAATCACTATTCGGGAGAAGCGGCACACGTGCACCTTCATATTTCAGGAAAGATTTGAGCTATTGAAGCTGAAGGTGACACTGTAGTGCAGAGCTCGGAAATCAGCACAGATGGGGATGAGAAGGAGAATTACACCGCTGAGTTTGTCAACCACATACATTGCCGCCCAGTAGTGACACAAAAAGGGGCCATTAATACGTTCCTCACAACTGATTCCATGTCCACAAGATAATCCAAATTCAGAAAATGTCCAAAAAGATCCATAAATGAACATGTGGAAGTCTATGATGAGTCCAACCCTGCTTCTAATAATAGACACATTTACCAACAGTAGCATGACATTACTTCTCAAAAATCAATGAAAATCTTGACCGTATGTGGCTTGTGATAACAGCACCACCTTTAAGCGGTGTCAGGCCGCTCTGCGTGATGCTACTGGGCCGAGCAACTGTAGGAACTATAACCTACATTGCCTTTCTGACGACAAGCGAGGCTTATTACTGCAAAACTTGAATGCTCTCTGAGCAGCGTTTTACCACAGCGGGGGAAAGCCGGGTTTCATGTGTGTGCTGGTCTGTCGGTACTCTGTTCACACCAGACCATCGAAACCTGCCGACGGTCTATGACGTGAAACAAGCAAATCAATACATTCTCACTGTGCACAAGTAGCCGGGTGATGAAATGTAACGGGAGAGAACACTCCCAACAAATGTTTTAATATTTCAACACATGCCTCTCCGCGGATATACACTCAAAATAATACAATAATAAAATAATAAGTCAAACTTGTAAGGTACCAGCGGGGCCACACGTTCGGGCCCCCTCTGGTTTGGGAGCCACTGTTTTCCTGTTGGACACTGATTTAAAATTCAGTCTGTGTGTGTGTGTGTGTGTGTGTGTGTGTGTGTGTGTGTGTGTGTGTGTGTGTGTATGAAAAGCATCACACACACCTGTCACCCTGTGCTGCACCATGCATTTGATTACAGGCAAATGATCCACGGGCCCAACACTGTGCGCCAACACGTCCTGCATCACCACACATCTCGAGTCCTCCACGACTTCTCTCCCCACTCTCTAAAGGAGTCGGCCTACGCGATGATATTCACCAATAAGCCAACGCGCCAGCTGGGGGATGCTCGGCGCTTGTGTGAACACATGTTACAGTGAGTATAGGGGGCTTCACTCAACGCGTGAAACTCGTTACAACGTGGGAATAAGCACGCGCAGCTCTGCGGTTATTCACCCCAAACGCGCGGCGCCTCTGTTGGTTCGGGTCCAATGCGGAGGGGTCACTATACGGCTCCGTGTGAGCATGTGAACGTGAGAACAAACTGGGCCCGACATCATGTTCCGTGACACGGGTTCCTCTCACAGAACGCAGCCCGGGACTAAAACCACTCGTTCATAACAACGACACACCCTCTTCATGCCCCCCTTTACCCCCTTTATCCCCCCCCCAGCAGCGTCCAACACTAACGGGAGCCCTTTAAACGAGAACACGGCTCCGGTAAAATGTTGGAGGGGGGGGGGGGGGGTACATTTAAAAACGGGCCACTACGGTATTCGCGGTTTGAAGGTTCCCCTTCGTTCCTATCAGCATTTCCTGTGGTTTCCCTCACTTCCAACGCGACTACAACCGCACTCGGCGGAGATCGATTCAAATCCAGCCGAATGTAACGGCCGTCGGGCACCTCTTACCTGGACATAATTGTTTTCACAGTATTCCGCTACCCGGGTCAGGTTCTGGTAGCTTTCGACGAGGGCTCTTTTACCGGCGGGGATTTCCTCCTCTAACAGCATTTGTAGCTCTGCCATCTTACATCCCTTAGCATTGCTCTCCTCTCTCTGGGCTTTTTTCTTTTTTTTTTTTTCTTCAGCGAGGCGAGGCGGTGATGCTGTGGCGTGTAGCTGAGAGTGGGGCTCCCCCGCCTGGCATTGTGGGGCCGCTGGCCTCCGGTTTCACAATAGCCCGTGACGAATGGCGGCTACGCTGTGAACGGCGCCCGTGATTGGCTGAGTGGCCGAGGGAGAAGAGCAGTGGACCAATGGGGTTTCGCTGTGATGACGTTTGGTGCAATCGGTAAAAATGTTAGCCAAAAAAATTATTACGGTTATTATTATGTTAATACACTATTTGTTTTTCCAATAGTTCGTAAAATAGTGGATTGCCATTATTCTAATCAACAGTATGAACAATATATTGGAGGTTTAATGACACTGCACCATCATAAAATAGGATTAGTGTATAAAAGCAACAAATTACAAGAAAGGGTCAAATATTCTTACCGTTAAAGTAACAACCAACATTAACATGTTCCTCTCATTTATCACTTTATAATCATAAATGTAATATTATAGAGCCATAAACGATTATTGGTAGCAACAGGGTAGTATGGACTACATTAACACATTTGGAAGCTTAGAAAGATACATACAATATGAAACTTGGCCTATGCTTTTGACAGTAACGATTAAAAACGCAGTGAAAATCTGTGTTACTCTACGATTTCCTCAAATCTTAAATCGATTGTTTCTTTTTTAAGGGCACTTAAAAACTCCCGGTGCTCCTTTGCATTATAAGGTTTGGCTCCACAACACTACACTTCCCATGAACCACCGCGGTTTAATGCCCGGCTGAGGTGGGCTTCTGGGGCTTGGAGTAATAAACGTTTACGCTTTGACCCTCTACGACACGAAGCTTGTTCGGTAAAAAACTACATTTCCCAGACTTAGGATTTAGGAACCAGACGTTCGGCTCATCCTTGACGGGACTCACCGGAGTGGAAATTAGCTTTCTGCTGCATATTGCTGACAAACACCGGACTAATGAAATCATTATTGCCCCGGTGAAAGTGAAGTTTTGGGTGAGTTTCTAACAAATCGGCCGTAGAAACAATCAAAGAATGCAAGTGTATTGGCGCTAAATCGACAATGTATCTCATTGAGCCCCAGGTTTAGATTTAAGACAGAAGAGGAAACAGCAATGTGCCATCCTTAGATAAGACAAGTGACAACCAGCAGCAGTGACCACATTGTTTTCAACTTTCCTCTGCTGTTCTAATTTGCTTTTACGTGTAATCTTTTCATATATTTGTTCAAGATGTGACGACTGCTTCCACTTCACCCTTGTTGCGATTCGGCATGGCGCAGGAGGAGGACACACACAGCCTGGAGGCGAAATTTGATGCTGCAGTTAAAGTGATCCAGAGTTTTCCTGAAGAAGGTGATGCTGCTCTTTCCGAGTGTGAAGGAGATGGGACAGTTTGTGCATGTTTGTGTGTAAACACTGCAGGTGGTCGACCTACATGCAGAGCTGTCACTTAGCTACCCCTCTATTGATAAAGCTGCTATAATGAAAAGAGCTGATTAACAAGATCAGTCATATCTTAAGTCTAACCACTCCTGTGGCTCACATAGAACAGGGCGTATATGTATGAAGGTGTATACAAAAAAATGCATGTATTAATTGCTTCTTTCATTTCTCAGGTCCTTTTCAGCCATCTGATGACATGATGCTGATGTTCGATGGTTACTACAAGCAGGCCACTTTGGGGCCTTGCAACGTTCCGAGACCCAATGGCTTCTGGGACCCGAGTGGAAAGGCTATATGGTATAATGGTATATGGGTTGTCTTAATACGCAGGCGATTGTGTTGTTCCACAGCAAAATTCTGAGTTGTTGCTAATAGCAACACAGGATGCAGACAGCTGGCGCATTTCCACGTTTCAGACAAACTAAGTTAACAAATATTCATGCTGTCAGAGTCCATTCAGAGCCTATTTTAGTCACTTCCCATAAATAGCCTTCGTACATAATCCGCAACTTATTTTATTAATGTAATACCCAAATATTAAGGCACAATACCGCAGGTATGAATAATCCTGCAATAATACAGAAGATATCAACATTGGGGACATTTCTCTATCCGCTTTTTTAAAGCTATTCAGTGAGGGGAAGTGTTGAACTGAGACTTTGTGTTACCAGGGAAGCGTGGAGCTCTTTGGGAAGTATGACAAAGAAGGAAGCCATGGAGAATTATGTTGAGGACATCCAGCGGGTAAGTCCTTTCAAGGACAACTAAAGCTGAATACAGGCGGTATGCATAATGATAAAAAGTAGACAAACAGACATTGATGTTTTTTTTTGCTTGATGAGATACTTCTGTGGCATATTGAAGAGTAAATATTTATGTATATACAATATGTGCTCATGGAGGCCGACCATCTACTAAGACTCAATTGCAGTTTGTGTTTATTGCTAATTAGAAAATGCCAACATGCTAAACCTTGGTAGTGTATGGTAAAAAATATACTTGCTTAACATCTGGATTAGCATTGTTATTGTGAGCACCTTATCGTGAAGATGTGTTAATCTTGTTGATAACGATTCACTTCGTGAATTTGAAAAATGTTTTAAACGGTGACATCTAGTTTGAAATAACATCAAACTGCTTTAACAAATTGTATTTTCAGGTCCTTCAATATTAAGCTGTTTTTAATCAGCTTTAATTATACGGTGCAGCGGATGAATCAGTCAGCCTTTGCTATATGAAATGATGAATTCCATTTTTTTTCTGGTGACTTGTTGAAAGTTGTACTGCACTGTACAAAGCGAACGCCATTCCGTAGCCATTTCTAAAGAATATGCATAAACATGTATTATTTATGTGTTCTCAGATTTTGGAAACCATTCCGATGTCCGACGAAGTGTCCGATCTGGTAAAGAAGCTTGGCAACTTCTACGCAGAGTCAGACAGAGAAGAAGATGAAGATGAAGAGAATGAGGTGGACAGGAGACCCTTCACCAGGCCTTTTGCAAACAATGCAGGTAATGCATGTGACCAGTGATGCTATTTTACAAGCAGAATACAATCCAAGGTGAGCGCTGCTGCTCGAGCGGGATGAAGTGCTGCTGTTACCCACCTTTGTTAGTCACACAGAAGGCATTTTTTTGTAATACTGAGCCTGTCTTACTTGTGTCTTCATCACTAGATGGGCTGATAAAACAATTTGTCAAGCCGACAATGGAAGGCAAGTCTTTATTGTTCTCTGTGGCTGTATAACTTCATTTCAACTGAGTATAATTTGCTTTCAACACAGCTTTATTTGACAAAAGAGTGATGAGTGTTGTCCCTTGCTTACACCGCCGGAACATTACGAGATCGTTGGAGGAAACGTGCTTGTGTGCTGCCATGTGTGCTGTAGTTAGTCCGTGTGTTATTAGTGTCACCTGCACTTTGTGGTATTGACGTAGTGCACGGAGGGTTTCTTTGCTTTGTGTAGATGTGCACTGCGCAACGTGCACTTAGATAGAGAGCTGATGAAGAGTGTTTCCCTCGTCGCTCAGGCTACGGGGATCTGTGGGACGATGTTCAAAATCTCGGAGAACATGTCAGCAGTGTTGCAAGCGGCGAGGAGGCAGAGGGAAGCAATGAAAATAGTGAATTTGAGAGAAAAGAGGAAAGTTGTGATTGGGGGAAAAGTGAGGAAGAGGAGAACGGGGATGAAGAAGACAACGCATACGATGAAGACAAGGAGGAGGAAGAGGATGAGGAAGAAGGTACTATCCGATAGCCTAATCGCATTTCGTTGCCTCAGTACTTGTACTGACAATAAAATTGAATCCAATCAAATTTCTGCATGATTCATAGAGTAATGCAGGTGTTATATATTATTCTATATTTATTATTATATGTACACATTTCAGAAATTTAACTACAGAGGCGAAAACCATATTTTGTAGCAGGCTCTAGTCATGTTTATATCTGATGTAAATTTGGGCATTCACTGAGTCTGAGGGGGCCTCAAGTGGTCATTTGAGTAACTGCAGTTTTCGGCTTCATAGTTCCGCTTCGGTAGGTTTGGGAGTCACACTTTTGTTTTGTCTTTAAGATTAAAGTTTTTTCTCTTGAGGCCATTTTAAGGGTATAGGATCCACATCATTTCCATTGAAATTAGATTAACATAAGTCATTTTCCTTTCCAAATACTGTAAATGGGAACAGAAGTGAGATAAAGGAAAAAGTAATTTGCACTTTTTTATATGCAAAGCGAGATATGACCGAACATTTTGTTATTCTATCTCGCTCTCTCTTTCTTTTGTGCCGTCTCAGAGTGGAGGCCTGAGCCGAGGCTGCTGATGGTGGACAAGAGGGTGCGGTCTGAGACCAGGGGGTCCGGCAGCAGCATAGAGCCCAGCATGTACTCCTTCACCAACGGGACACACAGCTCACTCAACAGCGAGGTGGAGGAGGAGGAGCTGGCCTTTTGCATGGAGCCCAGTGTCCAGTGTAACCCCAATATGCACTTTAATGGACATCTGAGTGGTAAGAATACACCATTTTGCATTATACCCGTAGTGTATACCTCAAAATAGTTGCAGATTGCTCTTGTGTAAAACCTTTGCTGTACTATAAGAATAATTTAAGCCTAAAAAAAAATGAATCCTCGCACACTGAAAATGATATTGGTGCATAAAAAAAATAATAGAAAGACTCAAAGATACAAAGTGTCTTGAAAGACAATATAACTGTTGTATAATATATATAATATATACATTTTGTTTTTCTTCAGGTCATATCGATGCTTTTCCTGAAGTAAAACATCGTTCAGACTCCGACAATGAGGAATTCTGTGACTCAATAGATCATCTGGCCGTGGAAGAGGTTTGGTGTCCCTCCACCACACAAATATCTTTATTTACATTCTTTCTGAGAGTTAGAAGAGCTTATTTTCTCATAACCCCCTGCAAGAAAGTTAATAACAAAAAAATCATAAATACAATAAATTTAATTTCTTTTGACCTAATGATGTTCATTACAATTGAGGTTGACACTTTTCCAATCAAGGCGATGTCCACATCAAAGACACATTCACCTGGATCAGGAGCTGCCTCGGTGAGGCAAAGGGATCTTTGGTTTGAGAGCAGCACTACCCTTAAGGGAGGAGAGGATCAAGTACTCGTGGGAGCTTCTTACCTTCAAGAAGGGATTAGTTCAAGCCAGCACAACAGCTCCGCGTCAAGTAGAGGGAGAGGTGACGACTTGGATTTACACTGACACCGTTTGCCTAACTTTCCTTGCTTCTAGGATGTGTACTTATCTCATCCGCCAATAGCATTTAAAGGCAGCTCACTGCCAAATCCCTCACACCAGACCTTTCAAGCGGCCTTATTCTGACTCGCGTTTCAGGTTCGCAGTCGACAAGGACCACCTGCAGCTCTCATCGGTGTACCAGTGTCGATGTCGCCCGTCGCGATGCGTCGCAGAGCGGACAACCAACCGGCTCTGCCAGAGGAGACGTCAATGAGCAAATAGCCGCAGCTCTGCTGCGGCTGCAGCGTGACATGGCGTCGGTGTTGCAGAGGCTGCGGGCGCTGGAGGAGCTTTCGGGGTCACAGGTGAAACGGCCCACAGTGTGTTTACAGAAACGTACAATTGTTGGTCACAGTATACATACATTTTATTATATATTTATTGATAGTGATCTATATTTTCTTATTTCATTTTTCAGTCAAGATCCTCTTCACCAAGGCAGGAGGACTCCCTACCTGTTGCACAAATGGTCTTTTAGAGCTCCTTTTTATTTAAAAATGAATATTTTTGTGTTAATTTCAGGACCAAGTTGAAGTAATTAAGAAAAAACACTTTAATGTGAGTTATTTTTTTATAGTTCCTGAGACCATCTTGGTGGCCTTTTGACTTTTCTCCACTCACTGCCGTGTTGACCGCACTCTGGCCTCCGATCGCCCATTGGCTTGTGCAGCTTTATTTACAGCGGAGGAGAAGGTGAGATAAATGTTGAGCAAGAATGTCCTGGTGTATTATAACAAATTACTTTTGCTTTTATAGCCACATTGCAAACTTAAAAATCAAAACTTTAATGTATCCCCCCTCAGGAAAATCACCTGAATCATCTGTCAAACATCAGCATCAACCAAAGGACATGAAGCTGGGATGGAATCGTTGCACATTTGTTGCTCTGTGGCTTTCTCAAGCCCCTTCAGAGACAGAGTTTAATGAGGCTCCAGTAGAGATGGAGAGTTTACTTTAGATAAATGAATGGTCAGAAAGGTGTGTAAGACTCTGCAATATAGTGTAGCATCCATACAAACATGTGCATTATAAATGCTTGCACATTTTCTTTGTTATAGTATGCTTAGCATTAGGTGGGGGTCTAATTTATGTCTCACTGACCCCCAGAAACTCTATATACCCAAAACTACATCAACTATTTATTGAAATGAATTTATCATTATGCAGTAGCTGTTAACTGTAAGTGGTTCCCCATCGTTATCAACATATTATATTATTTAATGTACATTTCATTGTTTATTTCGGTTTACACAATTTGTTAATAATATTTGTTTCTGATTATGGAGGACTTTTGTATTTATTGTTGAAAACATAGACATGTGAGGTTAATTTTCTTTCGGAGATGGGGAGCAATATTATATTTATATCTCAAAGAATGAACTTTATGGCTTCTGTGCAATAGTATCATAGATGGAAAATTAAGAAACGGTCTGGGGATTTCAAATATGCAGTTATTAAATCTAACAAGGTGAAGCACACGGTGACATCCAATAAATGCATTATTTGGACAAATACATTTATTGCAGTGTTCCTTTTTATTTTTTTTTATTTAAAGATTGAGATAATAGGCCACTAACTGTATATTAGAAATATGACATGGAAAATAGAGGTGTTTAGTGCATTTAATTTATCACAGTTTACACTGTGGCAAATATGCTGAATGATAATGTTAAAGTTTTACATTAACTGCAGACAAGTCAGCTGAAGTGGGTCAGAGCAGGAGAGCGTTAAACGGGAGTTACGAAAGAGGTCACATCCGGGTTATTTTCAGCCGAGGCTGAAGTTAGCAGTTTCACTTTCAATGACAGCTACGGCGAGACACACATTTGAAGAAATACAGACTCCCAACTCTCAAGGACGGATGCTCAATTCGTGCGGCTTAACGGCTGTTGTGTGCCTGTGAGACTTCAACATGTTTTCTCTGTCAATGACAGTCCAACCGCAGGTAAGTGAGCAGGAGCAGCTAGGCCGAGCTAACATTAGCACCGCTGTTGCTGTGGCTCTCCACTCCAGTTGACTGGCGCCTGCTAGCATGTGCAGCTAACCGCAGCTTGTTTGCTAAAGTGACCCATAATGCTGTCAACAGTTTGTTGTAGTCTGGTGATTTAAAAGCCCTTCATATTCACGTCAGCAGGCATAGTCAGTATTGTTGTTATTGTTGTCTTTATTTAATATCTGGACGTTGGGGCTTTTCAGCTAACGCTAACTTAGCCGACGTTAACGTTATTAAACGTTAGCTACCTAACAAGTTAACGTTACGTCATCTGGTAAATGATACGTGGTTGTGCTCTTGCACTTTTTACATTTTTTTTAATTTCAGAAATAACTGACGTGCACGCTTGCTTAACATCTTGCCGACTTTGAAACAGCAACTTTGAACTGTTTGATTTCACGTGATCACAGGTGACCGTGCCTCTCAGCCACCTCATCAATGTCCTGCACTCCATGAAGAGCTCAGTGGGAAGCAGCAGCAGTCCCCCCCCCTGCAAGTCAGGAACACACAAGGAGCATGCTGCAGACCCAGAACTTCACTGCACGGAGGTATAACATCAACCGGAGAGAATCTGTGATCAGCAAGACACGCGTGTTATTCCAAGTCCACGTGTGCAACGAAAACGTATTCCACAATAACTTTTGCGAGGACTGTAAATCAATTCTCGATTACAAAGTGGTGTGATGTAACTATGTGTGCAGCCACCGTGGAGTCTGCGTGAGCTCGGCTTGTCGGATCTGGGTGCACAGCAGCTGGATGAGCTGGTGAGCCGTGTGTTACCACGCTGGAGTCCACCTGAGACACTACGTCCCCCGGGGCGACAGACCACCTGGAGGACCTCACATCTGTCTACACACTCCTTTTACTACAATAAGAATGGTGAGAATGTACTACGTTGTTATAAACGGCTCTACCATACTGGAAATAAGACCACTGTGGCTCATCATTTTATCTTAGGGATGAACACAGCATGTCCGGACTTCAAAGCGCGCAAAAATAATCAAATATTGTTTTACCCAACTCCCTTTTTAAGGCATTACTTAATTGTTTCAACATGTTTAATGTAGGTTCCCTCATTTAATGCATCAGTCTTTTGTCAATGATTGATCGTGAATGAAAGACTGCATCATCCGATGTCTGTCAGGAAAATAGTAAGGGAGGAGTGAAAGCAATATATGAGGGTTAAGTTCTGTTGGTAAAAGAATTCGATTCCAACAAGGTCCTGTTAAAGTGGACAGAGAGTTTACGAGCTTTTGCATTGGCAAATAGTGCTTTGGGTTAAAACATTAGTTAGTGAAGCAGAGTCTTGATATTTTCCCAAGGAGCTCGCATTGTAAAGTTTTATTGCCTAGGGGTAAACAAATCTTCCATCTCCTTCAATCAGAAATGACAATGCTATTTCTCTCTCTCTTTTGATGCGGAGGTGACCAGTGGGAGCTGATCCAGCACAGATGTTTGTCACCGTAGACTATATAACTCAAAGCTGCATATAAATGTCCTGTTCAATGATTTTTACATCGGTGTCGAGTACAATTCTTCAAACGAACCTTCTTAACCAGCAATCAGGGCCTCTGCTACCACTTTCTCCGCAGGTTATCTGAGGGTCAACAGTTGAGCCTTGTTCTCTGTTCCCAGGCTTCTCGAGTGGTGCACTGGCCATGTCGTACTCTAGCAGGCACCCCTCGCCTCTTCAGTCCGTCTGCACAGAGCTCCAGCAGTGGCCCGGTAACTATAGATTACTCAATAGTATGTTCGCAGTCATCCAGGGCTTTGCATTCGGTTGTTACTAATGAATTACTAGAGCTGCAAACCGTATGTTACTTGACAACATCATACATGATGTTACAGAGAACTAATATTCAAGTTGATCTGTCAGTATTATATTTCTTAGCCTATTTGTACGTTTACTTTTACACTGCTTATGTTAACCTTGTTAAAACTTATGCGGTGGTCTATTTAACATCTTATATTTGCTTCCTATTTCAAGCGTGGGTTCCAAACAGAAGTTTTAAAACTTTAAAGAGCAAAACCAGACGACTGCAATCAGTTGCTGACCGCTCCCTGGACTCTGAAGGATTCACACCGTCTTTTATGAAGGTAACTACTTCAAGATGCTGAAATGCTTAAGTAAGTCCTTAAGTGCTTATTATATTAAGCACACCCTTTAAATATTTAATGTAATAAGCATCTTAAGATCTATGTGGCCTTCACAACAACAACAACAACAACAACATCTGACTAGGCTACTCCATTTATTTGGAGTAGAAAAGCTCTTAATTGCTGAGGGAGGGGTTGCTGCCGTTAATGGGCCTGTTTGGATTGTCTGCTCACAAGAAAAACACTTGGTTGACAGCAGCTGCCTTTGCACCATGCTGTGAATAAAGGCCATCTAATGTTTTCAGGCCTACACGGCTCGTCCGGTCTGATGGCCTTGTCAGGGAATACGATGCTAAAATGTAGGCATGTTGTTGCTTCGCTAGTACCGATGGCAATTCTTAACTTGTACTGCAGGGTTTTCTAACGCGTGACAAGGGGTTGGAAGTTGAAAATCTAGACAGTCTGGTTAAGGACAAGAGCGTCCCCGAGGGGCAGCAGGATTCTTTCAAGAGGGGCTTCGCTGAGGGTTTCCTGAAAGCCCAAGCCTTGACACGACGCACGCAAGGCAGGTTGCAATGCAAACAAACTCAAATTAAGTCACGCTACCTTCATTCCACTCTAAGCGGTAAACATGGCTGATGTCTAGTTTCCGTGCTTCAGACTCCCTCAGGAGGACTCGTCTAATCCTGCTGGTGCTGCTTCTTGTTGGGCTCTACGGTCTCTCCAAGACCCCCTTCATATCGGGTAAAGGCTCCTCATCTACTCTAAAGCTGCGTTTTACTTTCATATAACACCTAAAATCAAAGTGTGAATGTGAATAATAATAAAGCCCAGCGTTTGCCTGCTGAACTAATCCACGCGTCTTGAACATGTATTAATCCATTAAACCAAAGAACTTCAATTAACCTACAACAGCAGCGTATTCTAGCCTGCATATATTGACCCACTATTACAGTATATGCAATCTGACAATGTGGCTTTGGATCCCAGAGTAACAAGCAGTGTTAACCGTGCCTTGCAGTGTGATTTCGAACTTTAATCTAACCATTTTGAATAGTACGGTTCCGAACCACATCAGGCCTGGACTCTGCAGTGGACCCGGTCCAGGTGAAAAATGTGACATTCGAGCACGTCAAAGGGGTGGAAGAAGCTAAAAACGAGCTGCAGGAAGTAGTGGAGTTCCTGAAAAACCCGGAGAAGTTCACAGTCTTGGGAGGAAAGCTGCCAAAAGGTATCGGTATCTCTCCCACTACGTTTTCCTCCGTTACGTTCTGGGATGTTTTTTTTTGTCTCTCTATTTCTTCCTCAACGCTTTTCCTCTCGCCTCTCTCTACTTTAGGTGTTCTACTGATTGGTCCTCCAGGGACCGGGAAGACTCTACTGGCCAGAGCGGTGGCAGGGGAGGCAGATGTGCCGTTCTACTACGCCTCCGGGTCCGAATTTGACGAGATGTTTGTTGGAGTGGGAGCCAGCCGCATCCGGAACCTTTTCAGTGGGATATTTCAAATTATTTGAATTAATCCTTTATCCTTTACCTCTACTTATACGATAGCTATAGGGTTATGGCAACAAAAGTAATTGGCGTGAATCTTTAGCTATTATTCCGCCCTATTTTTATCAAAATAGTCTTTTCCTCAATCTTTTATACATATTTTTCAATTTTTTAATCCGATCAAAATATTCAACCTTCTCTGAAACTTTGCAAAAGATATCGTTTCCAGATTAAGACAATAGTACCAGTACTGGACAGAATGTCATCACATCACATATCTTTCATACTTTCGGAGTACAACTTTGAAACATTATTATATAATTATATTATATAACATGTATTTTCGCTGAATGTTGTGCTACATAAGTAAATATGTGTATTTGTCCTGCTGTTTTCTAGGGGAGGCTAAAAGCAATGCTCCGTGTGTGATCTTCATCGACGAACTAGACAGTGTGGGCGGAAAGAGGATCGAGTCTCCCATGCACCCGTACTCCAGACAGACTATCAACCAACTACTTGCAGAGATGGATGGGTAATCTCTAAATGTATATTTTGCATTTTTACAGTTTATGAATGCATTAACTGGGTGGGTTGTTTTAATTCATATTAAAAGGACATTTGCCAATATGGTGGGTGGGGATGTTGCAATAATCTGGTAATGACCATAGAAATATCTTTAGAACATGTGATATTAATATAGTGCAGGACTTGAGTTATTCAACTACACATAATGATAACAAAAACTTCTTTTAATCGCAAGTGCATACTATACAGTACAGCGTTGGTGGAAACAAGATTAAACAAAGCACTGCATGTGACTTGAAGTATGAGTTGCTCATTGTTGAAATCCGGAGGAGAGCTGCTGACTAGCATCAACCCTGTGCCATCATTTTGTAGGTTTAAACCTAATGAAGGCGTGATCATCATTGGAGCAACCAACTTCCCGGAAGCTTTGGATAAGTACGTTTGCCTCTGTGTCTCTCGCTTGAAAATGTCCGAGCTCACCGTGCACATTCACGCCCAGCTTTCACTAATAGACTCCCACCCTGAGGCTGTTTTTGGATGCAGTGACCCAGATCGGGACACAGTATCAGACCCTTTATAACAAGCGGATCTCCTTCTTTTTAGTGCCCTGATCCGCCCAGGAAGATTTGACATGCAGGTGACTGTACCCAAACCAGACGTGAAGGGACGCACCGAGATTATCAACTGGTATCTGAAGAAGATTAAAGTGGATCCAGGTGTGATCCTAAACAATAATAGCAATATTCTTCTTCTCTCAATTTTATTGCTCTGGCAAATGACATTTAGTCAGATCTGAGAATTCTGTTTATTTTTCATAAACTGTATAGTTTGATACCCGGAAGATCTTTGTTGATGCGTGTTATCTTTGCAGCTATTGAGGCCAATATCATTGCCCGGGGCACCGTGGGCTTCTCTGGCGCTGACCTGGAAAATCTGGTCAACCAGGCTGCCCTGAAGGCAGCAGTTGACGGCAAAGACATGGTCACCCTGAAGGAGCTGGAGTTCGCGAAAGACAAAATCCTCATGGGTGAGTGATTGGGAAGATGGTCCCCTTACTTGTTTCCCTGCAGTTGTTGAGATATAATTAATCTTCCTGCAAAACCACCTTCATATTTTCTATCTTTATCTCCCCTGGCAACAGTTTATACTTTATACATTCATTTTGAGAATGTTGCCATAAAATAATTTTTCTCACGCCGTCTTTTCTTTTAAGGCCCTGAGAGAAAAAGTGCAGAAATAGATGAGAAAAACAAGCGCATCACAGCGTACCACGAGTCCGGCCATGCGATCGTGGCTTACTACACCAAAGACGCCATGCCGATTAACAAAGCTACCATCATGCCCAGAGGACACAGTTTGGGACATGTAAGGAGACCTTGAGCTTCTAAACCAAATGGTTGAACTCCTCATGTAAAGTTTTGAAACCAGGTCCGGGGCAAACTGTCATTACTCTAAACTGCATAAATCCCCTCGTTCCTTTTTCATTCCATCTCCTTCATTGTATCTCGTCAGGTGTCCATGCTCCCAGAGAGCGATCGCTGGAGTGAGACCCGCTCACAGCTGCTGGCCCAGATGGACGTCAGTATGGGCGGCCGTGTTGCAGAGGAGATCATGTTTGGCCAAGAGTTCATAACAACCGGTGAGGCCGAGTTCCCATTATGTGTTCCGTTATAAGTGGTCAAATGTAGGAAACTCTTTATTCTCTAACATGAGGAAATGTGGTTACGGCCTAATTTCTTCTTCTTCTCCAGGTGCATCAAGTGACTTTGACAGTGCCACAAAGATTGCCAAGATGATGGTGACCAGATATGGAATGTGTGATAAGGTATGCTAACATATGGGAATCCACTATTGGTCGACCTCTAGTTGGAAGTATTCGTACAGCGCACCAATCACAGTCCGCACTTTGGCTATAATTGTATGTACTTTCATGTATTTGTTTCCCGTCTCCCAGCTGGGTGTGATGACTTACACTGACATGACAGCCCAGAGCCCCGAGGCACAAGCAGCTGTGGAGCGTGAAGTGCGACTCTTATTGAAGGTCTGTGTGACGTTGTGGATTCTGAAACAAAACAACCCTAACCCCACCAGCCTCGTAAAAAAATGTTTTTTTCTCGCCATCTCTACTCTTGCTCGTCACCAGGAGTCTTATGAGCGTGCCAAAGCCCTGCTGAAGACTCACACCAAAGAGCACAAAAACCTGGCGGACGCTCTGCTCACGTATGAGACTCTGGATGCCAAAGAGATTCGGCTGGTCCTGGAGGGCAAGGCCCTGGAGACCAAGTGAAACCCCCCAAGCACAGCAACAAATCGAGAGGGTAGCAACAGGGGGGGAGGGAACATTTGTAGAGTTGGGGGGGGGGGGTCATGGAAGGAGGGGCGGACTCAATGAGCAGTGAGTTAGAGAAGTCTTGGTCTGTGTTTTTCAAAGTGGGACTACGTCGCATCCTCACGCTGTCCCCGTTCTGTGATCTCACCAACATTCCCTCGATCTGTCATGTGACTCTTGAACGTAGCTTTTCCTGTTTTAACTGCTTCACCGATTAAATGTTGAGAATGTTATTCAGGTCAATCAGTTGCAGGGAGGAAATAATACATGAATGTATTTAGGCACCTCAAACAGATTAGCAGCATGTTAAATAATGTTAATGTCGAAAAAAAGGTTTTACTTTTCTCTTTTTTTGCTGATCCTTAGCCCAAAGAGCAAATGTGCAATCGTAATAAAACTTCAGCTTAATTTCAACTCCTATTTGTCACTTATCCTGCAGGGTTTGTGTTTTTGTTATTTGTGTAGTATATTTTCAAGGCCGTGCGGCACTCTACTTCTAGCTTGCGTGTGTTTTAATCAAACACCAGGAAGTGGATGTGCAGCTCTTTGACTTCCCATCAGATTCTTTGTATCTGAGATGGTGGGAGGGTCATATATATGTATGTATTTACACTTGCCTGTCCACCACTGCATATGTCCCTGGTACTTATTTGTAATGGTGGCCTTTTGGGGAATGTTGAGTGGTTTAGGAGGAGGAGCAGGTTGAACTGATCACCATCACTCATGCTGTATAAATTGAAAATGCTCACTTCATGTAATTTATTGCGCTTATGCTGCGTGTACAGACAGACTATTTACTGATGCTCAGCCTCAAAAAGCATGCATAAAAGTATATATATTTATATGTATATACATATAAAGCTGTGTTTATCTTGTGCTATATACCTTTTCTGTTTCAACACATTTTGTGCAGTGGATGAAAGGCCTACTGGCACTGCTCTCTCTATAAAGGCACTTAGGATGTCTTTGTGTAAAGTGAAATTCTTCAGTCCAAATATGACATTTCTTAAACATAGATTATTGGTAGAAACATGCAGTTATGCCTCCTAAAATGTTGTTCCAATTTTAAAGTGAATAGTTATGGATGCAGCAGCCCATGTGATCTCTATTTTAGCATTTTATATATAGTACAAATATCAAGATCGCTATCGGCCTACGTACTTTAGGTTGATAACCTTTTCGGTGTTTTGCTTTGAATTGAGACACTTTTTAGGAGAGTTTTATCTGTTTAGCTGTACATGCGATTGGGATGTAATGGGGACATCGTGTATATAGATGTATAGTTATGTTTTTACGAGAACACATGGAATGAATGTCTCTCAACAACGCCATGGATGTGGTAAATGAATGTTTGTGCATTTGACAAATAAAAAGAAACCCAAAGAAATGTTTTGTGTTTTTGATCTGAAACGGAATATAAGATTTATATGGCCTCTTTGGTAGAGGCGGACCAATTTGCCTGGTGGAAGTCACTGAGGTAGTCAAACAACTGGTTATGCAGTCTGTGTGTCTGGCCATGACTGCAAAAAAACTACTTTGGGAAAAATTTACAGGGTTGTCTACTCTGCAATGAGACTGATGAGGTATGCGGACGGCCTCAGTTAAACAGTCTATTGCAGAACAGGTACTGTTGTATGTTTCACTAATTACATTTTAATGGTTACTGTCAAGGGTTTTACTTGCTCCAACCCTCAGGTGATTCCTTCTCACAGGTGTGGTAACAGTAGTCACGGGATCTTGAAGATTGATGAAACCTAGCAAAAGACCTAAGGTAATGTGGACCTTTACTTACTTTGTTTTCCACAAGTCAGCTGAAGGTAATTTTCTATGGTAGACTTCACTCTAATCCCTCGTCCGCCATCTGCTTCAGGGTAAACTGGCCCACAATGGCAACGGGGGATGTAGCCTTATATAAAATATACAAGCCATGAACACAAAACAAGGACAAACTACAAGCCACATAAAAGCTTATTTTTTTTACTTACATACCTTTCTAAATTCACAACGAAACCTTCTAACAAATAAAACACATTAAATTATTGGAAAACAGTAGTGAACCTTTTTTATTTAACACATTATCTGGTACATTTTTCATTATTCAATTTGTATTTTTTATTTTAACAAAACTCTATTCATCTTCAAGTGCACAACAATACAATTGGGTTAAAATACTGACGACGAATTCATATCTTGTTTTCTTTTCACTTTCAACCATCGTGGCTCTGCGTGACGTCACGCGTCGAAGGCGGAAGTTGCGTGACCAGCAGGCTGTCAGCGGAGCTGTTAGCCGAAAGCTGTTTTGAAAAAAGATAAGTGCAATTCACCGTGAAAAGCCGTCGACAACTGCAAGTGAGAGCAGCTTCCACAAGGAATATGGACGACGACGTGTTGACGACCCTCAAGCTGTTGATAATCGGGGAAAGCGGAGTCGGAAAGTCCAGGTGTGTGTGTGTCGCGCTACTAGCTAGCATCGCGTGAATGTTGACATTCTCTGACAAGTTTATTCCCCCCATTGCCCAGCAGTTGTTGCTACAGCTAGCCGCTAATGTTGTCGATGTCCCTCTTCTGCCGGCCATTGTTATCAGTCATTAGGTGACCGATGACGTCAACCTCACGTAACGTTAGTCAGTTTAGAAACTTTTCTCAGGTATTTTGTGTTCTTACAAGAGATGCTGCTGCTCAGCATCAGCTAATGATTAACGTACCATATATACTAAAGGTTTTACGAGCCTTTAAGCAACCCACAAAAAACTATTCTACTGTATCTTATTTCAGTATGTACCTTTTCATTTCCCTAAACAGTCTCCTCCTGAGGTTCACAGAAGACACCTTCGATCCAGAGCAGCCTGCGACTATAGGTTTATGACTCACTCACATACACCGATAAAAGCCACACACAGACATAAACATGTACGACGCTTTGGATCTCTAAAAATGCTTCCTTTCTTTCTCCTTTCTTTGTCTCATCGCTGATCAGGTGTGGATTTTAAAGTAAAGACACTCTCAATAGATGGGAACAAAGCCAAACTCGCCATATGGGTAAGACTGGAGTCATCTGGTGTGTTTTTTTCTTTTATAGTTTATTTGTGTTTGGGATAAAAACATTGTGAAGTTCAGGGTTTCTCCACAAGGTGGCGCACATTGCACAGACAGAATCACTGAAGGAAGCTGAAAAACAAGATTCAACTTTCCGCTATGAGGCTTAAAGTCATAAACTCCACGACGAGGCCATAAACTACAGCCAAACGCCCCTCACGATTGAGGAAAACAGCTCTCAAAATACTTGGGAATACTACTAGTAAATAACTACAAATAATAACTAGTAGATACATTTGAAAAGGTTCTGTGTAATTGAAAAGTTTTTTTCTTTTTCATATAAAATTAAAATACTAAAACCAATAATTTCCCTAAGAAAAACATCCGTAAGGATTTCTACACCAAAGGCCAATTTCCCTGCCCGAAACATTGCACATTGTCACAGTCTGAGTGGGGACGCTGGCCAGCGTACCTGTTGCTCCGAAGTTTGGAGTCAGGGATTCTTCTGCTGCCGTTGATTTAAAGTGTCTTTTTCTTTTTGCAGGACACGGCGGGGCAGGAAAGGTTTCGCACCCTGACACCCAGCTACTACCGCGGTGCACAGGGAGTTATACTTGGTAAACAGCAAAAAACATAAAGCACAATATCATGATAAACATCCCCCATCTGGTAAAAGAATCTTATCTGCTCTTTGCTTCCCGTCGCACTTACTCAAAAAGACATTATCTTATAATTGAGTTTGGATAAATACTGTGAATCGACGGTCATTGGGATGCTGCACTGTCCTGTTAAGACGTGTTGGTAATAAAAGCAAAAGATGTCATCGTACTCGGGTGAAACATTCCCACTCACTCCTTTCCTCTTTTTGATTGGTTTTGACAGTTTATGACGTCACAAAGCGCGAGACCTTCACGAAGCTTGAAAATTGGCTGAATGAACTGGAAACCTACACAACACGCAATGACCTTGTGAAGATGCTCGTTGGGAACAAAATAGATCGGGTGAGTGCTGCTAACGCCAGTTTGAGTCCTACAATACAAGCTTTAGTTGTCGCTGTCTCATCGTGACATTTCTTGGAATGCGGTCCTTAATATAAGAATATAGGCTCAAAGTTGGCCTTAATGTGATTATTGGTTTTCTACCTTCTGCTTGCATTTATTATATTAAAATATAAAAACGCATACACCAGAAATCCTGTAAGTGTTGAATAATGAAATGTGTATTCCACACGGAGTAAAATCCCATTGGATCTTTTCTCTGGTTTCAGGATGACCATGAGGTGGACAGAAATGAGGGACTGAAATTTGCTCGGAAACACTCCATGCTTTTTATTGGTAAGTGTCCAACTGAGAAATCAAAATCAAACATTCGTCTCTTAAACTAATAGAGCCAAAACATGGAACCTCCTGTGTAGCACCACTAAAAATGTGCCGTACTGTACTAGAGAGTCAGACCCTTTTTTTTCTCCGAGACATTCCTCAGTAAGCAATGCATTTAGTTTGGTTTTGTTGCGTTCTTTTTGCTGCTTTGGCGTTTCGCGCTGAGAGATGCGGCCACTTCAAAATAACCGCGTTACGATTAAAACCTTGCAGGCTTTCACTTATCTGATTCCCGTCTGCATGTGTTCCTGATTGTCATCTCTAATCTGCCCCTCTCTGGGAAATTGTGTCAACATTTATGGAGTTTTCATTTTATTACTAAATTACGGGGTTTTTAAAAAGCGCCGGGCAGGAAGATGTCGCAGACTTAATCCACTGCGGGATGTCTTCATTCCTCTTCACTCCTTTTATATGAATTCATTTCAAACTTTCAACATCATGTTTATAAACGGATGGACATTTAGAAATCTTTGTCATCAGTTACTATATTACAAAAAGATAGCTGTGATTTTAAAAGTGACATGTTTTAAAAGGGGTTGTACCAGTTTTCTGTTGCTGATCTCAGTGACCCGCTCCTCCTTTGTCCAGAGGCCAGTGCGAAGACAAAGGACGGCGTCCAGTGTGCCTTCGAGGAGCTTGTGGAGAAGATCCTCCAAACTCCGGGGCTTTGGCAGAGCGAGAGCCACAGTCAGGGGGTCCGTCTGGACGACCAGGAGCAGGGCGGCAGGCGCGCATGTGGAGGATACTGTTCCGTACCCTGAAACCGGACCCAAGCAAACAAGCACTAAAGTAATAGGAACGACTACAGAGCAGGAGCAGAGAGAAAAGGGAGTCCGTCGAATGGACTCTGCTGTTTGCACACCTTTTTGGCCATCATCTGTTACTGCTTTCTGTTTAGATCATGAATGAATGAAAGGATCATGCGAAAATACCCTCTTGCCTGAGGAGGTGTAGTGTTTTAAATCGACATAACAACACCAGGCGTGCGTCATACGAGTGCACGTCTGGTTCAAATTGCACTTATTGGCAGCAGTGATTCTGTTGTGCATTAAGGCATCAGGGTAATAGAATAGCAGTGCCTAATTACATAAACCAATTTGTAGGTTACAGTACACAGCTTTACAATTTTACCCCAAATAGTTCGTTATAATCAAGACCGAAGTCCCCAGAAGAGCTCTGCTTAAACTTGTAAATGTCTAATTCTAATGTTAAAATGTTCTAGACATGCGTTTTTAAACATGCATATATAACACATCACTCGTGGTGGGAGAGGCTTGTTTTCATGTGTGAGTTTGAGTACTATCTGTCATAATGCACCACGGCACTGTGAATGCTACCACATAAGACCTTTCACAATGGACCCCGGTGACCCATACCACTTTATTTTTACTGTTAAAGCTTCAAAATGTAGAGAGGCTTTCAAATTAAACCATGTCCTTATTTTTGTTTTTCCTCTCCTCTCTTCTTATTTACATCAAAATATGTAAGACAAGTAGCCGCCTTGAACTTTAAGATTTCTTGCAACTAAACCCTTCTTTGTCTTTGCATGTCTCACCTGGACCATAACTTCTGCGAGCAAAAGTATGAGGTTTACAGAAGTAGGAGCTCCTGCAATAAAATCTGCTCTTTTACTCACTTTACTTCACAGCTTTCTGTTGCCTAAAAAAGCAAGTGGTTTGCACATTTAGTCTCAGCTCTGCTCTCTGAGCTGGTTTTCTTCCTGCGTTTAGCGGTTTCTGTGTGCTGCTGTGGTCCATGTGATGTCCCCGTTGGCTCATTGAGGGCATTTATCTCACATTGTAGCAGGAGAGCATTCCTAAGAGCTTCCCGAGCTTTGAGTTGTTGTGTTGTTGCAATCTGTTTGAATTCCTTTTTCTCGTTTGAAATGACCTTGTTATTCCTTAACTTCTTTCTGTTGCTTTTGCTGTGCGCCCAGTTGAATCATATTCAGCGAATTGTTAAATTGATATCTGCCTTAAGATTGAATGATATAGGCTGGAGTTACGGTGCAGTGACCGTTGTATCATTTCAAACTGAAATAAACGGAAACCTGAAGATGCCGACTAATTATTGCCGAACTGCAGTTTGAACTCCGCCGTAACGCGTCCATCTTATGAAGAAACCCGGCGAATCAAAAAGAGGATTTACAGTGGAAACGGGTGAGGTGCTCTTTCCATAATAGTTTATTGATGACTGGCCGGTTGCACATGCAAGACTGAAAACATTCTGTGAACAAAATGTAAAAAAATAAAAACGAACAAAACCCGGAGTGGAAAGAATCTTGGCAACCTTGTTTTGTAAATGATTCCCAGAGGACTGAGTGTGCTTACAAGCTGACGTTTGGTGTCAGGATGTCCCCAGATGTGGGACGCTCACCGCAGGTCCACCAGGTCTCCCTCAACTCAATTTGGTCTCTTATCTTAACAATAACATGCGTTTTTGGCAGATGACCCCATGTTGAGGTCAGACGATTCCTGAGCTGTCATTTAATATCTGACGTTATGTTTTAACATGAAAAGCCGTTGACAGTTGTGTGCCTCCATAATCATAATGTTGTTTCCTGTGATTTTGTTCCCCAGACAGACATCGGCTGTACTCATTAAAATACGTTCAGAACTTTATGAGGTTTCTTCGAAAAAAACCTGCATTAACAAGACTTTTAGGAACCATTTGTTGGACACAGTTAGATGAGAATTACCAGAAGCCTATCAACAAATACAGAAGACATGGGAGTCGGTTTTCCCAAATATGTGTTGGTTTCCTAACTATTGGAATAGTTTGATCGGGTGGAGAAAAATAGTGTTGGATCTGTAGATTTCACATTGGCTTTATTCAAATAGCTGCTGTCAAACTTCAGCATTGGATGACAATCCAGTCTCATGGAAGTTAATATAACTTACGGCAACAGACAGACAATAGGAAGACATTCAAAAAATGGCAACAACACTAGAAAATATTAAAGTTAGGTTTTTTTTTTTTCTATTTAAACTTTGATATTTCAAATCATTTTTATCAGCAATACAAAATAACTGAGGCTGCAAGGCACCCAAGCACGTGGTATCATACGGAAGGACAGAGCAGATGCTCTGATCGCATGCCTACACGCTGCTGGCGTTAACAGTCTGGACCTCGGATATATGAGAAGACTTCTGGATGATGCGGCTGGTGGGAGCGGGCCCCGCGGCGCAGCTCTGCCTCGGAGGGACGGTGGGTCCCTCGGCGAACGTCCCGTCCGTGACAGTGGTCCTCGCGACTGAGAAGGGCCCTCGGGTGCAGCCGATCTGGTCCGCTTTGCGGCTCTGCCCCTGGGCCAGGCTGGTGAGGGCCACGGCGGCGTGGATCTCCCTCCAGCCCTGATCGCTTCCTTTGTGCTGCTGCTGCTCCCTGGGAATAATGTGAAAAATCACAAAAGGGCTCAAATCAGCCCGAGAGCAATTTTTTGAAATCCAAACCAGGATTTGTGGATTTGCTTCTCCTGAGATACAGCCAGAATGATGTGGATGAATTAGAGGTGGTGATTCAGTTTCAAGAGAGGGGATTACACAGAGTATCGTTTTTTAAGCTGGTGAAAGTTGAAAAATGCAAACAGCTGATTCGATTGCAGATGGAGCGGTTGATAATTGCACATACCTTTCGCATACAGCTGAAGCGTAGTCCACTGTGTCTGAAAAGAGAAGAAAAGGACTCACCGAAATGTAACTTTAATCACCTTACTTCATGGCATTGAAATTGCAAACCGAGAATGTTCGCAGGGCAATCAATGTTGATATTCTGACTGTATTTTAAATGATCAGCATGTGTGGGAGTATCTATGCGTGTGTGTTCATGGATTAATCTGCATCTGCATTAGTTTAGTGTGTGTGTTTTTTTTCAGTTCATGTCACGGTGTTCGCAAATAGTCTCAGGACCGGTGAGTTTGCATCACTTGCTACTTGTCCAGTGTGTCTCTCTGCATACGTTTTACAGTGCAGGAAAGGTTTCACTCACTCAAATGCACCAGTCAGCCGTTGCTCAGCTACTCTGGCCAAGACAAACGCAATGTAGTGTTTCTCTTTTTTTTTTCTCCTAAAATAAACGATATCTGCAATGTGTCATGGGCCCTGACCGTGTTTTGGGTTTTCCAAAGCTCTGCTAGCACCTATAAAGTTGATGCCCGCATGTTATTCCTTTCCAAAGAAACTTTCCCTATTCATCTCCATCTTTTTTGCCCAAGGCCTGAGCTCAAAGTGAAATCACACCAATGTGCAGGGGACTGTTTCGAGAACCTATGAACCTCATCTGTAGGAGAAGAAAGGGTCTTTCACTTAAACTACAGTTCATCCGGCATTAAAAAAATAAATAAATAGCACTATGCGGTTGTATTACAGTATATTGGATGCACACTCTGTTTGATGTCTGTGCATTTAACATATTTTCCATTTCAGTTGTGGAATATTGCCTTTTTTCATTGAAGCAAAAGAGAAGCTGGTCAGACGCAATTTTTCTTCAGAGAGAAACAGACATTAGAGGCCCAATGTGACGCACTCTCTTTCAACACTAACGGGCGACACATCCCCGTTTCTAATTTCTGTAGCCAGGCTGGAGCCAAGAGCAACTCCTTGTCGATAGTAAATCATTTTGCTGTTTTATTTTTTTTAGCTACTGAACATCCTTGAGTATCTTCCTCTATAGCTGTTTCGCTATCCTTTGCCAAGAAAGTTATTTAATGCCTCTGGTGTATTCATTACCACGAAAAAACATTGTTTTACCTCTGGTGAGTCTCAAAACTATTGCAGGAATCAGTCACTACTGAATTTAACAAGTGGTAATTAAGTTGGGCTACTAACCTTTTTTTATATTAGCCTACATAGACATTCATTTCACAGTTTATCAAACCCTATTTATTAAGAAATAAGAAATAGTTAGATATTTTAAGAAATAAAAATGTAAATGTCAACAATGTCAGATGAGATGAATGATTACACTGAATATGAATGTAGCAATTAGCCGGTTAGCTTAGATTAGCATAAAGACGGCAGCAAAACAGCGTGCCTCCCTGTTTTGAATGTACAAAGCTAAATTCACATACTGCACCTCTAATGCTAATAGTTTAATGGGTTATCTCATTTGTTTCATCTGTACAAAGACTCAAATGTCAAAACAACAACAACAAGTTGAGGGTGTTTAGCTATAAATTAGCCTAAAACAGTTAGGCTAGCCGTCGCTCCCCGATAGCACTCTTTTTACTAAGCTAATGGTAACAGACTGCTGGCTCCAGCTTTGTACTTAGTTGACAGTAATGTGGGAGAAAAATGTGTGTTTAAATGTTTACATCTCAAAGGTGTGTCGTTGGGATCAACAATGCAAAACAAAACAGCCGCGTGCAGAGAAAATATCGTTACACTGTGCTTCCGCAATTCCGATTCAACGTTACTGCATATTCACTACTAAGAGACCCCTCTCTCGATGCATGTTTTCATTTGAAAGAAAATGGGTGGAAAACCCAGCAGGGCATGTGTGCAGATACTGTACAAGTCAAAAGTTTGGACGCATTTTCTCAGTCAATTCAATGAGAAAGCGTGTCCAAACTTCTGACTGGTGCTGTATGTTTTTCGTCGCTCTGTTTCCAATAAAACACAAGTGTGGTCACATTTATGGCTCTCCAGGCTTTTAAGTGAAACACTGGAGTTGATGCGAGTACCACACTAAACGCCCTGAAATTCCTGCAGGCTACAGCGAATCGTAACATCCCTGACGTACAGGCCGCGATTCCACGGTACTTCACCGCCTTTGGTACTCGGACTGATACGTGTAAAGCGCCCTTTTGAAACGCCGTGTAGCGGCATCACTTAGTAGCCCATCAGTCGAGGTTTACGTTTGACCGTCTTCCAGGTGGCGTATAAACGTGTTAATGGTGTCATGAATCTGGCAGCTGTACTTTCCACTTCACTTTTCACAGGGGGAGTTGTACATGGTTGCAAACACCGTTAGCACGACCAGCAGGGATGCATTAAAAGTTTTCAAAAACATTTCAAGAGCGCTGATGGCCACATAGTTTATGACAACATCAAGAAACCCCCAAGAAACTCTGTAGTAAAAGTGCAATGATACTTTCAAAGGAATAGTTTCTGGGAAATACGCTTATTTGCTTTCTTGATTTGAGCCAGATCGGAAAAGACTGATACCTCTCAAATATCCGTACGCTCAGATATTCAGCTTAGCTTAGCACGAAGAAAGAAAACAAGACAAAATAACACACACTCACTCTCTAATTAGCTGTTTTGTCTGGTCCGTTCAAACCAACCGGCCACGAAGACAATAGATAGGCTCTCAATTTTAAATTTAGCATGTTCAGCATGACAGCACAATCTAAAAAAAAACAGTAAATGTACCATATCACTGTTTGAATACAATAGAAGTCTGTTAAATGATGTATCACTCTAACCAATGTCAGGGCCAAATTGAGGTTACAATGAGTTACCTCGATACAGATCCAAAGTCTAGTCACAATATCCATTAAATATTTGTCTTGAAACTGGGACCAGAATTTAATGTTGGCCTGCAAATAATAAAAAAAAGTAACTCAAATATGAATTTTTAGATGAAATATGAAACAATATAATGTCCATTGAGATTGATTTTGAGTGGAAATCAACAATTGGCAGAAGCCGCATGCCAAAGCACACATGAGGCAGGGAAGCAAAGCTACGCGCTCTGAAGGCAACGGGGAAACCCAAATGCATATTAGTGACCTCGCTCTGGCTTGTCTCAAAAATGAGTGGCGGCTGTGACAGTTACTCTGCGAGACGTCGTCAGTGCTTTCAGACTGCTCCATTTCTAGATTTGGCTGAGGTTCCCTCTTCTCACCCTGTGAAGAATAAAGTCTCAGACGTTCTGTAATTGTCCTTGTGCCTGGACTGGGCATTTCAACTATGGCGAGAAGCTGAAGCGGAACAAATGCCACATTCTAGTATATGGAAATCATACTTGCGGTGTGAAGTGGCAGCCAGCGTGTGCTCCGTCCAATTTTAAAATGAGGGATTTCAGCGTCTGCATGAGTCTTTATTAGAAATGTTTCTAAAGGTTTTGGCTCCTAACCGTTTAACGGATTCGAGTGTTGTCGGTGTGCTGGGCTCCCTCAAGGTCCGAAAGGGCACCCAGGTGTCAAACTCCCTCCCAGATTTGTTGTAACTTTATAATCGAATCCTTCAGAGCTTCTGAGGGGGAGATTTATTAATGTACATGGAGCTCTGAGGGGCCGTGTGGAAGTTTCTGTTCGGCCTGTTCTTATTTTACTGTGCGCTGTGGTGTGTTAAATACAAACCGAGGTTGTTAAAGTGCCATTTGAATTCAACATAAACTCCAAATTAACAAGGAATATGCTGTCATGGTTCCTGTCCTATTTTCCTCTCAAAGTACCTTCTAAGATTTTGTGTTCAACGCTCCTCTCTCTTAACTAACAGTGTGACAAACACTGACATCTCTCACCCATGTGGTAGACGAAGTTGGCCTCTGTTTCGTAGGACGACCCCGGAGAGACGGCGCCCCGATCGCACTCGTTGAAGTTGAAGGACTGCGAGTGGCTACTCCTCTTGTGGGCTGAGGGGACGCCGTCGGCCTTCGCCGCCATCATGTGCCGCAGGGTGTCGTTCAGATACCGGTTCAGTAAACTGCTCTTGTACTTGGACGGAGGCGACACGCCGTCGTCACTGTTGGCGGAGTCCGCCATGGCGAGGATGCTGCCGTGCTTCTCTGTTAAGGTCTTGTGGGAAGATGACCTGCCGAAGTCCGATTGGTTGATAGGAATTTGTAAGGGACAATCTTCGCCTGCGGCACAGGAAGCAAAACTCATTTTATCGAAGAAAAGAAATTCTTTCTTTCACAGTAATTCCAAAATTAACTTCAATACACTGCAAAAGGATGCTGTAGCCTGTACCATCGGAGTCGGTGTCATCGCTGCACACACTCAGCCTCTCAGCGTTTCCCTGGATGTATTTATTGTACAGTTTGATCCTCAGCGCCCAGCTCAGATCCGGCTGTCTCACTGTGTTTTTCAGCCTTCGGCGGGCGTTAGCGAACCAGTTCGAGACCTGCACAGATGCACCTTGTTATAGAACAGCACTGGCTTTGCTTTAACCCCCAAAAAAACCAAACCAACACATCCCTGAAATCAATTTGACTTAATTCGATCCATCCATGTTTTCTCGCACAAGCTCTTCTCTCACCTGCACCAGCGTCATGTGTGAGCCCAAAGCCAGCAGGACCTTCTCCGTCTTGGTCGGGTAAGGGTTGTCCCGGTGTTTGTACAGCCAGTGTTTCAACGGTCGGGCCATGTCCTGCAGCACCTGTCTCTTGTGGCGAACTTTGACCCCGTCCAGACGAGACCTGGAGGAAGTCGCCCCGTAGATTCAGAAAGACCACCCAAAAAATCCCTTCTGTTCAGTACGAAACTTACACAAGAAACAGGTAAATAACATTTCAAAAAGGATTGCAAATAACCTGGACCCCAGACGACATTTTGTCAGGTTAGAGAATTCACTTTTTTCATACCGATACACTTTTTACAGCCGCCCGTTTTGCTGTTTTAAAACATTATTTCCAACACAGACAAACAAGCCATACCCGTATCTCCTGTGCTTGGTAGGAGAACCGTCACCATTAGGGCTCTGGCATCGCAGCAGGTCTGTCTTCCGCCCGTCCGTTAAACTGCTCGGCGGCAGGTCTCCACAGTTCAGTCTGCTCCTCTCATCTGTCCTCAGGTGGTCCTCAAAATGAAGCAGAGTGTCGGACTTCATCTCAGCAACTTTGATCATGGTTGAACACACAGAGTTTTCCTTGATCAACAGGTGCATCGGTCGACTTCCAGGTGTAAACAGAAGCAGCAGGTTCCCATCCTGGATGCACCAAATGTAAAGGTAATGATAAAAAGAAAAGGGTTAAAAAAATGTTCCTTCCTCTTCTTTCTGTGCCCACGGGAGCAGTGGCTGAACAGACTGGATGATGGCAGACGCTTGTGAGAGAATGATGTTTTAAAAGTCAGAGGATGTTGTCCGGGTTTGGTTGAGTTGTGTGAGGAGAGTTCAAATAACTTGCTGCTCAGCCGCCGATTGGCTCTCCCACCATCCAATCACTTCTCTGGAGAGCTCTGCGAGGAGAAGTACAGAACGGCAGCCGTGGATCTCGGTAGCACTCCGGCTCATGAAAAATATTGCACATGAACAGAAAATTTGATTCACTAGTGACATTTTTCTCTGGTCTGTCTACAGCCTGTGCTAAGCACTCAGATTTTCTGCACAAGGCACATGAATATCTTGCGGTTTCACCAAAAATCATGTCAGCAGATATTAATGCGTGTTTTACCAGGGGACTCTGGAAATTTATGGGTGTAATTGCATGGTCGATAACAACCAGCAAAACCTCCAAACGGTGTCATGTGCCAGGCTGGGATGCCTGCTGAGATGAAGTGGATTTCACTACAAATTGTCTCATTTGTAGCTCAGAGCAGTTAACACAAACACTGGTAAATTAAATTGACCGTTTCCTATATGATCCTGTTATAATGATGCAGATTTTTTTATTCAGAATGTGAGTGAGAGTGCGCATTTGACTGTCAGAAATTTGGATCTTTTCATGCACTCTGCAGTGTGCGCAGACAAATCCGACTATACGGCTCATATTTGTCTCAATTATGGAACAAGGTCTGTAAACAATTATTCAAAAGTGGGTCTGACAGAAGCTTAGCCTTGTCATTAGTGTAACTACGTGACAACATGCTGGTACTTAACAAGTATTTGGAGACTCTGGAGTTCAACTTGAGCTCTAATCCATGCATGATCCATTCCTCTAGACATCCAAACAGTGTTATGTAAGCCTGTTTGGATATACAGCAATGAATTTGCCATGCATAATCTTATCTTGATCATAAAATTTGATTTTCCTGCCTAAAACTGAAACTTTTGAGGATTATGGCTAAATTCCGTACAGCAACCATTAAACATATGAGATGTTAGGTCTCGTTCCTGTTCGTACTGCAGATGAATTGGTGTGCAGGTTGAGTTTCAATGGATTTCAAAGCTGAAAAACACATGGACCAGAAGGATCCCCGTTAGGTGCAGTAAATTCCTGGCTCACATTCCTCAGCAGCGGTCGGAGAATGCTACATGCTATCACACACCATTTACTCCCGTCCCCCAGTGATATGTTCACCGGTTCAACTGTTGATATTAGCTGGGAACACACCTTCATTCGGCAGTCAAGAGACCTGTAAAAAGATCTGGGGAAGCACATATATCTCCTTTTGTTTGGGCAGTTTGGTAAAACTGTGTGTGCGTGTGTGTGTGTGTGTGTGTGTGTGTGTGTGTGTGTGTGTGTGTGTGTGTGTGTGTGTGTTTGTGTGTAAGGGCCAAACATCTAGCAAGTGTCAGTTGGAGAAATTGATTGTGTTGTCAAGTATCCTGAGGAATTGGCTTTGCTAAATCTAGATCTTTAATTAGTTTTAGTTTAATAAAAACCTGTTGATAAACCGGACAAAGTCAGCAACTGGCTTGAACATTTAGTGACTAAAGTTCCAGATATTTATCTCAGGATTTGGTGGAGACCAAAACAAAGCTGAAAGGTGAGGAAAGTTTATTTATAATGTGTAATAAATAGCTAATTGTCTGTTAATACCTTCCCCGTAATCACTGTGAGATGATCAAATGTTGTATAATGAACCTTGCAGGTTTCAATGCATCGCTGTTCTTCGCTAACGTCACGGATAACGTGAAGCCAAAAGCAACAAGAAGGTTTTCTGGTGAAGTCACGCGTGTTCCGTTTCTGTTTTAATTCGTAATCAAACGAATCCTTAAATGTTTCACTCTGACTTGCCAACATGTGATTTAAAAGCTAAACCACATGTTAGCATGTCAAAGCCAACTGTGTTCTAATGATAATGAACTGAGTCAGAAATGTTAGTCTAAGTTTGCTGACATTAAGCATCATAACTTTCTGGTCGTACCGGACTAAGTAAGACTGGAGCTCAGAAAGCCTTTATTGAATTGAGCAACTTTTTGTCCGTTAGAGGAAGATTGTGATGAATGTTCCATAGTCTGGCTTTAATGTGTCAATATCAGGAAATATGAACCAGTAGATGACTCCTTCAATTCGCAGGTAATGAACTAAAAACCTTTCGAATAATTAACTCCCATAAACTTCCGCCTGTGCACAACTGTGATGCTTATTTAAAAGTTATGAATATCCAATGCAAAGACAAAGACATAGTTTAAGTCAGTCATATTTATTTTCAACACATTTAAAATAAACAGTTAGGTGATTGGGCCTAATTATCCGAGACCAATTGACATCATACTTCTGCGTAATGTTTCACGTAGGAGCAGAGGTGAAAATAAAACGGCAGGTTTTCATTGGATGTCTTAAATGGCATCGTAATGATCTCAGACGGTGCCCGCGGATCCTCCGCGGTTTGGTGAAGTTATGCCGCTGCGCTTTGCCTGAGGCCCGGGAAAAGCACGTCTGTTGTTTCCTGAGAGGATCGGATGCCCCTGCGACACGCGGACGCGCCCATGTGTACATCTCTACCCATCCATCTCAGACGCTGACAAGAAGCTGGCTAAGCTTAAATAAATACTTCAGGCCAAAATGGCATGCATTTTATCCCCCGGAGCCTAATTCCCAAATTATAAAGCCTCGCCATGCTTTTACAGTAGGCTTTTATGTGCGGTCGTTACTTTCTCTGCGTACGTCTGCGAAGGCCCGCGTCCCTAGAAAGCCGTTACCGTCTGCACACATCACACCGCTCCCTCTTCCTCACAAACACGACATGACAGACACATTAACACCCCTTCACACCCAATTGAGCGCGGCATCCAAAAAGGGGAGAAGGAAACACCACGAACGTTGGAGGAATGCGGCCATTAAAAAAAGAAATTGGATTAAGTAGGTTGTGTGACGGCAAACATTTGCATGTGTCTCCAACAGGCAGCTGCGATGCTCAAACATGAGCATTTATTAATGGAGTGTCTATAATGGCGACTCTCCAATTATTCAAAACTGTCTCGAAATGACTGTCAATAAAAGTCTTCTTTACAATTTAATGTCTGTGGTGTAGATTTGCAGCACCGTGGTCATGTACACGCTCTGAAACATGCCGCTATTAAACATGCCGCTATTAAACATGCCGCTATTAAACAGCCATTTCTTCATCATCTACAGGTTTTAGATGGACTGTTATCTTGTTTGTGTCGCTATTTTGCACAGCATTTTTGGAAAAAGGCTTTCCCGACTGCTACTAATAATATTTCTCTGGTGTACATTACAGTTAATTGAAGTGCAGCAGCTGTCAGAGTAATTACATGCTGATGTTTGCGATTTGGCAGGGAGGGATTACACTCAGCCACAAGTAGAGGTTCTCTGGACAGTTTCCTTTTTTTTTTTTCTTCTACTTCTCAGCCCCGCAAGCCGACGTTATTTCAGCCAAATGCCAACAGGAAAACTGGCTCTTGGACAGACGGGGAGAGAGAGAGAGAGGGAGAGAGAGAGAGAGAGCGAGAGAGAGAGAGAGAGAGTGAGAGAGAGGGATGGATTGTGTTTGCTTAATTGGAAACACGCTACGAGACACTGTGGAAAACTGTTGTCATCACAAATCAGGACAAATATTTGAAATATGACAAAAATGAAATGGTTCATGTTGTTGAATTCTAACTAGAAGCCATTTATACCTGTTTTTAAAAAATATTTTAGTCTTTGGAAGTTCAAATCCAGCCACCCGAATGACCAACACTTCTCTGTGCGTTTGTTGGTAAAGAGCAAATCCACTTTGCAGGAATCCACTGGACTTTTGCCTCTTTCAAATTCTCAAGGTCCACCTTCAGCTCTCTAAAAGCCACGGCCACATCACCGTTGACGATCTCCTTGTCAAACAAGTGACCGCACTGACTTTCTATGGTTTCAGCCGAGTTAATCATGTCTTCAAAATCCTCCTCCTGCGAAAAGAGAAAGACTGGGTGAATTAAATGTACAATCATAGCGTTGTAATACCTCTATTCACTTATTCAGGCGTAACCCATCGTTACACGCTGAGCGAGGAGGCCTTTTCACACCAGCTGTGGAACAAGTTACACAAACTTAAATGGATATTGAACTGCTTTCTGTGTTTATTTTGACTTGGACGAGAAAAAAAAACGTCGATTGTTGTTGGTGGTTATGGTGACAAAACAGGTCAGTGGGGCCCGTGAAGTCTTGTCGCAGCTCGCCGGGAAGAGACAGTTGGACAGCTTGTCCATCTGGGAGTGAGGCGGCAACCAGTGTGGCGTTGAAGCGCGGCGAAATCGAACGAGCGAGTTAACCGGCCAGCTGTGCGCTTTGTCGGCCGCGGCCAATTCCCGCCGTGATTAAATGCTACACCGGCTACACACGATGAGGCGGTCGACGTTGTGATTTTCCCCCGACTCTCTGTTCCTTTGTGCTTTATGTGGAAGTCAGCCCACTAGAACGTTTGTAACGGCAACGGAACCCGTAAAAATGGCTGCCGCTCGGCCGGCAATCCGGCTTCGTTTATCCTGAGTGGAAAAAGTCCTCTCTGCTCGTCTACCGTTTCGACGGCCTGAACCGTCGACGTACACGGCAACGGGTTTTCCGAAGCCATGCTGCAACACACAGGTGTGTGACCTCCCGGGTTTAATAAGGGCAGCGCTGGCAGCTGGGGGTCAGACAGTGAAGGAGAAGCCAGATGGGGACTACGAGTGACCTGGCAAATTCAACCAGTAATACACATACACCTGTTTTGTAACCCTCCATCGCCCGGACGAAATGTCCCCACCTGCATGTTAGTAATGGAACAAGAAGCCACCCACCGAGCAGCCGTGTAACTCCTCCTGTCCTCTTAAATGCAAACCACGGGGTCAGCTATGTGCGAGGCAAGGTGTGTGTACGCCTGTGGGCTTGGGTGGCTGCAACGAGGCCCGGGCGTTTGACCTCAAACCGCCCTTCATGTCACCGGACAGAGAACAAGCCCCCCGAGTTCACACTTGAACCCGACGCCATGTGGTTTTTTTGTTGAGATTCTGGTTTATCTTACTGTAAAGATCCTGGCTGAGTTCTCGTCCTCCTCGTCGGAGAGGAATTTCGCTCTCCGTCGGGTGATGCGTAGCTCTTCTATAGATGGGGGCCTCACGAACACCACGTATGGCTTGAATTCAGACGTGTACACGTGCTTTATTTTCTGTGGTAGTGTAGACAAAAGAAAAGGAGGTTAGATGTCATGTCAGCATTAATATTCATGGTACACAGACGTTCTCAACCTTTTCTGTCTCGAAGATCCCTACACATACACATTACGTCGTGGTTTTTCCTTCGGGGACCCCCATCTGGAAATATTTTGATTGTTCGATATCATTAAATCCAGAATTTTCTAGTTGTCAACTGAGGTTGAGGGGATAACTGTGGAAGTGAAACCTTGGATTAGAACGGTGGTTTCCCTTCTGGATTGATTTAAATAGCGAAAATAAACTGTACCCTATTTTTCTGCCTACCCGAACTCCCTCTCAGACCCTAAGTTCCCCTGGTGACAAACACACACACACACACACACACACACACAACCATTACCGATGAGGCAATTGTCGCGATTAACATTTTGTATGAAACACCAGTCTGATTTTTTTACAAGGGACATGTACTGTTTCATTATTTTTTAAACTTCCTCACCGTCTGCCAATTTCAGATGTGGACATAAACCTCTAAAAGGACATAATACTCACATTAGGGTGCACGTCCAGCAGGCACACCTTGCCCTCAGCCATTACTCTGTGCACCGAGTCTAGACTGGTTCCATAGTAGTGTCCTTTGTACCTCCCATATTCCACAAACCTAGAGGTCGAACACAAGCAAGGACCAACAGTAAGACAGCATCAAATGCTTATTGGACCGCAGTTGACGTGGGGGGACATCACTCCCATGAAAGTGTCTTCTACAGTGAGTAGAAGACTGTTTTGTAACACCATGGGAAAGGAAACCACGAGAGCGACAGCTGTTTATGTACCTATGATTGAGAATGTCCTCTTCGAACATGTGGACTGACACAAAATGATAATCCACCCCTTCGGTCTCCAGCCTGCTCCTCTCGCGCGTGGTGTCTGAAAGAGAACAGCGCGGCGGCTGTGAGAAGATGAGAAACCATTGTGTGCGAGGGAGGCGGCGGCGCTTTTGGACGTCTGTCTTACACGGTACAGTGACGCCGAAGAGGTCGGGGTCGGAGATCAGGAGCCTCCTCTTCAGTTCATCGACGCCCACGCCGCCGGGCCCTTGAGACGGAAATGAAAAGTTCTGTATGTGGGTGTTCATTTCTCAGCATCTCAGTGTGCTAACGTTTTCCTCACGACGAGTCCGACATCAAATAGGCTCAGTGATCCGGTGACACATCTGTCCTCTTCATCAGACAAGCACAAAGGGAGCGGGAGAGACTTGAAGAGACAGAGCTCGAATTTCATGCTGATTTTAAGTCTGAAAATGAATCTCCAACCAACCTCGCTCTTTTTGCTTCCTCCTCCTGTGTCTCTCTATTGAACGTTAAATGCAGCTCTGGATAATACATAGCATCACAATTAAATGCAACATCTGCAAAAGGCCACAGTATCAGTATCATTGTAGTGTAGGATGTGCAGGAGCACACACACATTCTGCAGCATCTGGGATTTTCCTCTAAAGCAGGTTTCTGCAGCCCCACATTGCATCAGACTAATAGAGCGCAGTCTGAAAGTAGGATTTTTGACATACCTGCCCTTTCCATCGCAGCGTTGCATGAGCTTGATACATTACAAAATATCAGGTTTATAGACTGCACTGTTACAATGCTGATGTCTTTCCCTGCTGCTCCACAGAACTGAAGAGGAGCATCATTGAGCTTTGTGGATACTTTCCCCGAATCATTTTTATCAAGAGTTACGCAATATGTTGGTCTTAAAGTGCCTGGCAATCCCTTTCAGCAGCTTTCCTGGAGTATGGTGGTCTATCGTTTCATCCAAAGTGTGGATGCAATGCGTGAAACATTATCCAGCAGGTCCTGGTTTTGGGTTTGGTTTTACCGTCTATGACTCTTGTCAATGAGCTGTGTGTTCTCAATGAGGGCTTCTGGTCAATAAAGCGCCTCCACTGCAGACAGTCAAATATAATCCAGAGTTGAGGTAAACTCCCAACTCAATTAGGGAAGTCTGAATCTAAATCCAAGCTGCCTTCAGTTTGAAGATGGAGCCCTTGGCTGACATTATAAAGGATCATATTCAAAATCCACTCATCCCTTCTAACTATCAGTAATCTGGTTTTGTTTTTGCACCTCTTCAGTTCATTGTGGTTCTCTTTTCTCTGCCTCCCAATTTCCATTGTCTGTGTGCTCTTTTTGACTCTCTTCCCTTCTCTTCTTTCTTTCTTTCCCTTTCCTTTCTCTTTATGTATTTCCATTGGTCACAGATGACCTAGAGAGCCCGGCTCAATGCAGAAAGTCCCAGTGGAGAGATATTGCTCAAAAAATACAAAGAGCAGGCCTGCAGGATTGAATCAGGGGTGAGCCACTTGGTAACCTAAGAGAACACAATATATTCTGACTTGGATTTCTCTGACAGTGTTTACGTGGCACTGATGGGAAAAGATCGTTCTTGCACTCAGGACATCAATCTTCATCAATGCAATTCTTTTGATCAACAACAGCTTCAATGATATTTTCCTTTTAATAAATGAGATTGTTGTTTTTATGGTTTGCATGGAGCAAAAAAAGGCAGTGGAAATAATAACACAACTGATTGCAATGTGAAATGTTGCGCATATGTCCACTAGTTACCTTGCTTTGTGTTTATAGCACTGTTAAATGCTGAAGATGTATCACACCAGTTGCCCATGGAGCCATTCATTAGAACTTATTTTCCAAGCTTTTGACATATGCATATATACATATAATATATATACACAAAAAACTATATTTTTGGAGCTCATACCTACCAACCAGAACAACCAGACGGTGTCGGTCTTTGGGGTCTCTGTGGTAGGGGATCACTTCTTTGTAGGTAGGAGGACGGATGGAGCTGCGGGGATGGAGCCCCGCGCTCCACCTCTTGGACCGAGCCGCTTCTCCGTCCCGGCCGCTCTTTCTCCCAAGTCGGAAACTCCTTCTTAAACCAGCTGGAAAAGAAAGTGAAGGACCTAAAATCCTCTACAAGTCTATTATTCACTTTCCTTGTAGTTTGGTTTTAAGTCTCCACCAACTTTTGGAGGAATCTCTTTAGCTGCTAAATGATCCACTAAGTTTAGCAGCTACAGCTGAACTTTATCTGTCTTCCTTTAAGTGCTGGGTGAGTAAGTTTTTTCTTATTTCATTTTCTTATATTCATCTTTTTCTGAAAACAGCTACCTGCCGTAACTGGAATTGGGTTTGATGCGAGCGGTGAGAGTGACGCATCACAACAAAATTGAAGGCTGTAAAATAAAACAATAAGCTAAACAAGGCAAAAACAGTCTGTTTAGTAGAGCCGGCGGGAACAGCAGAGACACAATAAACGTTGTCATTTGATCCATTGTAGGCACAAGCATTAAGGAAACACTTTAACTTAATAATCCGATCCACATCCATAATCCATAATGACAATGTATTTGGTTAATTTCCATGTTATTTAGCTTCATTATGACCAATATTTTCCAATAACTAAGCACTCTATCACACATTAATAAACCCCAAATTATTCTTAACATACTTCCACAAATCACTTACATTGCTACATATATCTTACAAGTTTGTACATAAGAACTCTCCAACATTGTTAAAAAAGCCCAAACGGTCCTCAGATGACCACAAGGCCAATAAATGAAGGCAGAGCTAAATAAACACAGGCTCCCAACGGCACGAATCTCAGTCAACAGACGACAACTCCGACTGTCACGCGCCGCTCGCGGGGCCGTCTGACAGCCAGCGTCTGTCATGCGACGGCGGTCTGGCTTGGCAGGCGCGCTCTCTCTCTTTCATGATGTTAACTGCTGCTAAGTGATGCTGCCAGGCTTTCTTTGACGTCACGTCAGCTGCAATTTCACTTTGTAAGCATATCTGTCTATTTCCTTTCTGGGCTTCATTTTAAGAGACATGGCACCATGAGTAGAGATTTCAAACTTGTGTTTGCATTGGATTTAAACTGATGATTTCACTAACAGAGAGTAATACGTGCTGTATTAAACATATGTTATAAAGAATATGAGATATCTTGTTTCCCGTAATGAAAGAAGGTATAGAGGAAAACATATCGGAAATGTCAATCTCGAGTAATTCACCCAGGAAAATTCATCATGTGTTGCTGGAAATGCTCTCGGCTGTAAGACTGTAGTACATTTTTGGAAATGCTGGGTAGATATAAGACTGCTAGGAGAATGCAGTAACGCCGAGAGATGGACCGGAGCCCTTTTTAAGTTAAGATGATTTGATCAGAGTCTCAACCTGCACCACAAAAGAATGGACGAAACCCGTCAGTATGAAAAGTATTAAAAGCATTATCACCGTTTTCCTTCTCTTTCAGCCACTCTAGTCTGATTACTCGGCATGTTTTATTTGGTTGTGCATCATTGGTGAGGGTTTACGTGGCAGACAAAGAGGAAACACAGTCTGAACCATGTGATCAGGTGAAAGCCGGCCTGAGATAAGATGAAATGCACATCATTAAATGCACACGAGTTGTGGAACTGACACTGTGCAACATCTGTAATTACATTGCCTTGCACAGACGTAGGGAGCCTTTTTACAATCAGCACGCCCCCATGCGAACATCCTGCAGTGCTCATTTGCACTCACGGAAATACACACAAGCACATCATAACCAATCCATGAGATCCAGACAAATGGGATAAATGGCAAGGCTAAAACCGCATTTGCTGTTCTAGCCTTCTCCCTCAAATCCCCAAACCACAAAACGACATCATCATATGAATGTCTGTCGTGTAACTATAACCAGGGTCTCCCTTTGTGACTGTTTTTGCTCCATCTATTTTCATTGCTAAATGAAACATATTTTGATACGTGTGTGTGTTGTTTTGAGCTGTCAAGTCCAATTTCCATGACTTGTTCTTGTCTCGTCTCACATTCTCTAGTATCAGTGTGATTTGAGTGAAACAATTCAATGACCTCACCAATGTTGATCCCTGTTATCGCTCTGTAGTCTACATCCTCAATGACTGGAAAAAAATAGGAAGAGGGAAAAGGAAAGAGTGAGGAAATTGTGAAAACAAACCACATTTGGATGACACGTGCAATGCTCTGAAATGCTATACTCATAGCGTGTTTACTAAACCCAATAATGTTTTTTGAGAAAATCGAATAATGGTCTAATTAAGAAATGATACCCACATTTTAGAAACATTAATAACTGCCTTACTCTTACAAATTGATTATTAGCTACAAACAAGCGCTCCGCAGAAGGACAGATACCATAAACTTGCTTGGAGGAACATTAAAAAGAACTCTTTCCATGCTGGAAAGACATGCGTGGAGAATTACAGGGCTCTCCTTTTTTGGACAACACGTCTCTTTAAATCTTTGAAATACAAAAACCTAAAATAGGACACATGTATTATATTACGTAAATAACATGGCCACGCTAAGACAGTAGAACAGACAGTACCTTCCTCCTCATCTGTGCAGCATGTGGAGAAAACAAAAGCAGTGAGTAGGTCGGCAGCAGAGCTCACCCGTGACCTTGACCCGGGTTCTGCAGACGTGACCTGTCACCTCTCAGCCCAGCGCTACAGGAGCTCCAAAAATGTTTATTGGAAAGGGTTAAAGGGTTTTACTCCAGTCAGGTGTGGTGATTTTTACGGACACACTGTGGCTCATCACCTGGCGGTTGCCTGACTCGTTGAGGCGTGAACAGGGCTTTAGGTCGCTGTAGGGCAACTCTCCTGAAGAAAGACAAATGAAACACGTACGAGTAAATGAAACCAGGCATTCGTCAAAACGGGTGTTTTCAAGCGAGTGAACATGTTGCCGGTCGGCGACCTCTCATGGAGCTGCTGCGAGGGGATGAGCCCGGCCCGGGTGCTGCCGTCCCCGAGGCGACACGCCTGCCACCAGGTGTCGTCCTCCATGCTGACGACGCGAAGGACGTCCCCTCTTTTGAAGGCCACCGCTGCATCCTTGCATGGAACGGCGGGGTCGTCATTAGGGTCGTAGTCAAACAGAGCCCGCATAAACAGCTGAGGAAAGACAACAGAAAGGTCAACGAATATCAATGCATTCATTCGTCTCTTTTACCAAAGCAGCTTTGTGAGGTTCTTCTGAATCCCAGATGGCGACACAACATCTTTGTCTGGGGCTTTTTCACACGTGTTGGTGTCATCTTTGAGAAATGCCGATGATCATAGAAAATAATTTGTCTTAATTCACTGCAAATGCTCCATGCTCTAACAGTTTCCAGCCCTGACATCCACTGCATGTGGTGGTGGTGGCCATTACTTCTTCCTCAACCCCCAAAAACTGGATTGTGGAAATAGAGATTTTCCACATAAGGTGTGCACATTGTTAATGTTAAATTAAGCAATTGCGGATCCAAAATGATAAAAAGCTGAATATATCAATGAGGTTAGTGGGTTTCTTATCCTTGACTGTCTCAGCTGGATTTACTTCTTGACAATGAGCTGCTGTAGTGACAGAACTGTGGCAAAAACACAAAATATAACCAAACACACAAGATGCCACTGATTTCATATAGTTTTACTGCATATTCCCCATGCAGTCATATTGACAACTAACTTTAAAGGACACATGTTGCAGAAAAAAATGGTGTTAATATTTACGGTACCTTCTTATTGGATGACATTTCTTCTGTGGTGGAGGCAGGAACAATTTTGAATGTAACTTCACCCTGAGAACCAGTCTGTGCAAAAACAGTTTTAAGCAGTAGTAGTAGTAGTAGTAGTAGTACATTTGCATTTAGCTTCTTGAATAGGGTTGGATAGGAAGATAAATGAATGGCAATGAATATCTGTATGGATGATATATGACGCTGGACCAAGCAGTTGATTAGATTAGTTTAACAAGCAGTTAACAGAGTTCTGTCCAAAGGCAACAAAGCCAACCTACTATCACCTATAAAGTCAAATCAAATCAAAGATTTCTTTATTCTATGTCTTACTTACTGACAATAAGAACAATATCCAAAAATGTCTCTTTCTTCAAAGAAAAGTTGAGAGCAAGAGAGAAACAGAAATATCCGATGACAGAATCAAATGTGTGTGAAACTAACCAGAAGAGGAAGGATTTCCTTTGGCTTCATGTGCTCCAGTGAGACTCCATTCACCTCCTTTAGCTCATCTCCTTCATGGATCAGACCTTCAAAGTGTTGGAAATACATATGGAAATTTGTACCAAATGCTTTTCATTGTAATATTGTGTAACAACCTAACACAGCGTGAAGGCAGAGTGAGAGAGTAGACTGGACACAATAATACACCGTGATAACTGTAATAAATAAGCATACCGCTTTTATCAGCCGCACCTCCTCGCATGATCCTCGCCACAACAATAGCCCCAGTGGCTCTATCCCTCCTAATTGTTGCCCCCTTGAGGATGATTAGTGAATGAGAGGACGAGGAGCAAACAGAAGAGCAGAGGCAAAGAGGTCAAGTGATGGACAGTGAAAATAACATGTTGACGAGACAAGCTTCCTATTTAGAGACGAAACCTTTTAGCGGGGAGGCTTTATGTATCACGCAGAGCGCTGGGAAAGGTTATCCAAATCAGCATTATTTTCAACAGATGTTATGGATGTGGACTCAATCCAATGGAAAGAGCATCTTATGTAGCTGGCTACAATCAGCTCATACTGGGGTGTAACCCTGTCGTCTGGAAAACGGGAACACGTTTGATCGATCAAAGAGGCCGTGTCACAGAAAGGTCAGTCTCCTTGCAATCTAGTTTTGGGATCAACGTATGTTCTCGATTATTGGTTCTAAGCACGTTCCGTTCTCAAAGCTGAAACACTAAATATGAGCATACACACACAGCGAGAAATGCCTATAATTAACTACATTATTCTCATTTATTCTTCTTGGAAAAATATTAAACTTCATCAGAAATGTTCTTTGCCCATATTGTTGTTGCTGTTTTGTTCAGCAGGATATCTAAAAATACGTTTTAAAGGACATTTGCCATAAAATAAAGCCACTGGCTAAGTGACAAATGTTTTTGATGTGGATCCAGCGTTATGTTTAAAGGATTTTTTTTTTAACTTTCTGCTTGGGGGCTTTTTATGTCTTTTTTTCTGCTATTTAATAATGAACTATTGGATACTTGAGTGGAATAAAAGATGGAACATTTACCCCGCTGCTGTCCAGTAGGTATTTAATAAAGATCTTGATTTATTATTAACATAACAAATTTTAAAGGATTCCGCAGCTTTGGCAGAGGTATTCATCAGTCTTAGTAGTTTGGTTTGCTTTCAGCTACATTTGATCCAGGAAAATTCCACGAATAAGTGACAAAGACTTTGAATAAGGTGGAATATGGCAGATCATTCAGGTAGTATCAAGAAAATCAGCTCTGATTAAAGACCTTGAAACCAGTTGATTTACATCAGACACAGAAAAGAAATTATTTTATTTCAATAATCAATACGGCTCAAAGGGACTCGTCCATAGTTTTGCTGTGGATATACAAATGCACATGCGTGCAAACACACAATTCTGAAAGCATGCTGTGCGTCCCAGCAGATATATGGCAACAAAGATGTGGAAGAATTGACTGTAAATTCCTGGCTGCTGCAGGAACTTTCCTGATGTGTCCCGTCACTGCGAGCGCTGCTACACTTTGGCGTGCGTGGCTGCAGCCGTCACGCAGTTCGACAACATGACAGAAATTCAGTAACCAGAGAGAAAAAAACAGCTGTCCCTTGGTTTATTACTTTGAACTGCCTGTGTGTGTCAGATGAATGAACAAATTACACATTGCTGAGTGCAGTTGCCCTGTTACATGCTTGTCTTAACTTAAATGCATTTATTACAAGGACAGGTAAACCAAATGAGAAACAGGCCGCCAGGCTAAAAGTACAGTGGTACTGTACTAGAGGCATGTAGAAATGTACATGTATGCAGCTGGAGCCAGCAGGAGGTTATCGTAGCTTAGCATGGAGAATAGAAATGCAGGAAACAGATGGGTCGGCCTTGGGGAAAGCTACAGAACAAACTATTTAATTAGACAAGGTATATCTCATTCCCGTTGTGCCAAGCAAATACAAATATTTAGGAAAATCTACACTCCTCTCAACAGAGGAAGGCGAGATTCCACATGTTTTTAGTCTCCATTGAGAGCTAAGCTAACTTCCAGCTGGCTTTAGCTGTAGATTTAGCATACGTGCATAACAATGATACTACAACAATCATCTAATTAACTCTCACCAAGAAAGTATTCCAGTCAATTTTCCAACGTGTTGAGAGAATAAGCTAATTAATAACTGGATTGCTTGAACATAAAAACATGCTTACTGACCAGGGGGTCTTTAGTTTTGACCAGACTGACAATTTTGACCGAATCCTGGTCATCCTCCAATGAGTCGTCACTTAATGGTGGCAGACTGGGCTCAAAGTCTCTCTGAGCTACAGCGTCATGGACGGACAGGAGACTCTGTGGAGGTAATAGAAATACAGTGAGGGTGCTGATATGTGCTGATACATCGATCCCTTTGAATCGTAGGTGCTGTGATGTGGAACGGGGCCGGCGTTCTTTATTCACTCTGTATTGAAGAACGGCACCGGCTGAAGGCAACGGTATAATCCAAACTAAACACAAACCCGCCCATTTGATGCCCGTAGTTTGACAGGGTTGCCCGAACTCACTACAGCAACTTAATCAAAATATACAACTTCCCTTTTGGTTTTGATGGTGCCAACATGGCGAATGTTCTGCCTGCCTGCGGGCCCCCTGGAAGCAACCTCCCCCCTTCCTGCTGACAGTCACACGCACCTCAAACATCACACACGTCTTAGAAAAAAACATTTTTTTCCAGTCACGGGACTGGGAACTGATACACGAGTCACTATCAATGCCAGTTAATTTAATCTAATTCTTCTTTAAATTTGAGCGTGGCTAAACTCAGGGTTGGTTTTCAGATTTCACTGAAAGCCCGCAACGGGTAGAATTTTGTAAATGACCAAAAAAAAAAAAAGACAAAACATTTGCTCATCATTTTAACATCAGCCGATCCTTCTTTCAGTTAGTCTACTTATCCATGTTGTCCATCAACAGTTGCCCCGCACTCAGAAGCTGCCAGAGCCTGAGCAATGTGTCTCTGGACACTTTCATAGACGGGTTTTCAAGAAACAAACATTCATTTACAGAATGTTTCACCCCGAGTCGCTCATAAGTATGTGTGAGCTCCCGCGTTTGGGCCAAGAACAAACAGGTCATTAACAGAAACTCTTTAAACAAACCCAAGTTAGTTCTCGGCTGGCTTTGGCTCCTCATTGAGAAATAAAACAACTCCGGCAGCTAACTGGAAAACCAAACGTTGTGTGCATGTGTGTGTGTGTGTATGTCTGCAATATTACTGTCAGCAGGAGTGAAATTAGGAGACATGCATTTGAGTAGTCTGGACGTCTACATGAGAGAACACTAATAAACATGATTAGAGAGTAGATTAGCTTCAATACCGGTGTGGTTAATAAATGTCAGCACCTGTTAGAGGACAAAACGTTCTTCAACAGAAAAGGGAGATCGATGAATTTGTCCCTGCATAGATTTATAGTCTCTCAGATTACACTGCTGGTGTTGGCTTGGTCCAGAATAAATGACGGAAAACGTTACCACATGATTTACGATTAGGTTTCTTGTATTGACAATGACCCACCGGGGCGCCGAAGATGAATGAAGAGAAACAACGTCTTCAGAGGTGATTACATTCATTGCTTCATAAATGGTCATCGTGAATGGCAATTATAGGTCGTGCTTCCGGGACAGGAAGCATAACCAGGGTATGCGGTAATATTACAGATGATAAAAAGTCACTTTAGGGAACAGTTTGATATGTTGGGAAATGAACGTATTTGCTTTCTTGCCAAGAGGTAGCTGTGAGGCGCTACAGTTTAATGTGAAGCTAGAGGTATATGAAGGGAAACGTTTGCCTGGTTCTGTTCAAATTGTCCCTTGGTACCTCTAAACCTCACTATTTATGACATTTATATAGTTTGTTCGATTCGTACAAAAAAAAGAGAGACTTTGGCTTTTTGGGCTGAATAGTTTTTTGTTTTGTTTGTATCTTTGAACCGAACAAAGCTTGTTGTTTCCCTCTGCTTCAAACAATCTAAGACATGATAAAGTAACCTTCCCTTTCCCGTGGATTACTTTGCCTGTTTGGCTCCCGTCGTCATGTAGGACTCCATCTTGTCAGCCTTGATTGAATTGTAAGCTTTCTTTTTAAATCAAATCATTGCATCGTTTATGCCCCTTTGCTCATTTTGGTTTGGCCGAGAGTGTTTTTCGGGTTGACGCGCGTGTGTGAAGCTCCGGCGAACCCGTGGAATGAAACGCTTTTCACCTTAAAGTTGGGTTTGGAAAGGAGGGCAGCCAGTTCTTTGACTCTGTCCCTCCCGCATTGGCATATCAGCTCCTCCGCCAACTGGAAACAAAGAAACAGAGGAGGAACGGCAGGATGTGTATTTTTAAAAATTTTGCTGTACAAAATATCACGGCCTGAAAGAAGCCAAGAGAGACGGAGAAACACGCAGGAAGAGAAATTCAGCTCGTATCTTATTCGAGCTGCAGTGATGCATACTGTCGTTATTTATACATTTTCATTTGACCGCGTGCGCCTCATTAGGACATTTGCTTTCTTCTTTGACTTTTTGTCCGTGTTCCTCTTTTGGCTGTGTGCCTTTTAGCCCACCAGCAGTTACAAAAAAAAAAAAGAAAAAAAGCTCCCAAGCGCTTAAGGCCGCACGAGAGTTGCGGCGACGGCTGAAAACAAAGCGGCCTTGGGCGTCATCGCCGAGTGAAGAGGCGGCGATGGGCCGCGTTCGGTCGCCCGTCTTGTCGAGCGCATTACTGTAATGACTTCTACTGCTTCAAGATGTCGAGGCACACTCCAGAGACACAATGCATGAAGGTCATTACTTTCCACTGTGAGCAAACAGAAGCCTCTCTGAGGGGAAACAGACCCATGGTTTGGCCCATTGCAGTAGGTCCTGATGATTTAAGCCAGGCGGAGAGAGGCTGTCTCACGGACTCCCAGGCAAAAGAAGTGATGGTGGAGTTTATGGGGGAAAGCGTGGGGCTAGATAGACCGAGTGGAAACATGGCAGGAATTGCAGTACACTGGGTGGAAGAGAGAGGGAAGTGAGAGGATAAGGGGGAGCTGGGATAATGGAAGGGGAGTGTGGTCTGGGGATGGAGAGAAGAACAGATGGAAGCGTGGAGTAAGGGGAAAAGTCTGAAAAAGAACAGCCTGTTAAACATGTCGCCCAGGAACAGGATTTGGAAACCAGGCGAATGCAAACGCAGAGTACAGAAGTGACTGGTTTGGGAACACGAAGACGGTGGAATAAAATGTAACGCACATCTGAAGGGGATGTACCGGTCGTGTCGCTGTCGCTAGAATCAGAAATGAATTGTAGTCCTCCAAACTGTAACATTTTGATATAAGGATTCCCACATTCCATTCGTGCTTCAAAATCCTCCACCGCCCGCTGTTGTCCTCGGCGGCTCGTCTGTCTGCGAATGATGTTCAGAGAGAGTCACTTACATCTGAGGCCAGACCCGCTGCGTGGTCTTGGACCGGGACGGGGCCACGCTTCTCAAAGCGCCTCAGCCGCTCGTGGATCTGTCGAGTGAGGAAAGTTCCACAATAAAAGGTTTTGTCTGCAGTAAAAAAAATAGAAATTCTCTGAACACTCATTCATATATGATATGAGAACAGTGTTTATTGAAAGACCTGCAATGGCACCGTGGCTAGAACACAACCTAAAACAATCTCAAAATGAATGCTGTGAAAGTGAGTTTCTATTTTTGATGGTGGTGGAAAATAACTTTTATTAACATATTGTACAAAATGTTGATACATTGTACTTAACTTCTGGGTCTGAAACTACATCAATTACTCATGAAATATGAGATATTTCTTCACATTCTATTAACAAACAGTCGATACAAAAGTTTAGTGCTTTTAAATTAGCTGCATTTATTAATGTTTTAACACTAAAGTGCCACTAGACCACTTATGCATTTCTGATAATATTGTCTAAAATACATAATAGAGTGGCACCGACAGCAGCCATTTGTTTTGAACAATAAGATGTAGATCATGCATTGTGTTTCATTGTTACGTTGGATAATTATGGCACATTTCCCTGACAGCACTAATAAATTTAGCTAAAGTCGCACTTTGATTGCATGACCATTCATTTGTCATGACGTTTTTTTTCCACCTTGGTAGCCTAAAATAAGATTTTGACACTAAAATAGGTTTGTAAATGGATGTTGTCCCTGAAAGCAGAGGAAGTAATTAAGCACAAATCACTGTACAAATGTGTCGTCACCTTAAAGAGCAGATGAAGCTTCTTCTCCATCAACATGCTGTGGAGGAACCTGTAGTCCTCCTCTCTGTCTGTATGAGACTCTGTTCCAGACATCACTGAAGATATCAGCCTGCACACACCTGCAGGACGACCACACGTTTAAACACAAACACGCACACACACACAAATACCTACACTTGTTATGAGCTCAGGGAGCTTATTTTTTAGGTTAGGATTAACAACAAAAGAAAAGACTCCTATACGGAAGCCTTTAAAAGATTCCCTGTTATGGAGACCACTGCTTTATTTTCCAGTATTACAGATATGTTTCCGTTAATAGAGGACGTACCTCTGTGTTCTGTTCGGCTCAGCATCCTCCTCACTCTGAGAACAGAAAGGGAGTATTCAAGGAAAATTGACTATATATATATATATATATATATATATATATGGGATATATTATAATATATGGGATAAATGAGGAGGAAAGGGAATGATTTTTTTTTCTCATATGCATTGGAAGATGCTTCTTCTGAGATATTACCGCCCCCTAATGCTGGTAAAAGATACTTCAACATTTTCCACAGCTATGTTTGGGAAGTAATACAACAGTTCATGCTTTAGCAATAGTATTCAAGGCTTTTGTTCTTCATTGCATAGACGTAACACGTCGGCATCAAGCCACTTAATGTAGTATTAAATATAATATTAAAGTATTACTTACTTCCGTTGAGAAGCATGAGGATTTTATCAGAAAAAAACAGAATCTGGGGGTATAAGAAATATTATACCCCCAATTAGCAGATAGCGAATATAAACAATCTACAGAGAAGTTTTGATTATTATATTCTAATGTCTCCCTACCAGATAAGGTAAAATATTGCGAAGATATATTTGAACTAACACAGCTAATCCGGGTAACAGATTAGGTGAACATGTGTGTCAACTCCTACACATTTTAAGTAAAGCAGCTGAGGACAATCACAAAAAAAGTTGCACTCACCAGAGGCATTGCATTCCACAGATTCAGGCAGGCCATATCACTCAGTGCGCCATGAGAATGAACAACATTTGAAAATTCACTCTTGAAGAGAGTTTTTTAAAGTGTCCGACTCGTCAGATTGTTAAAAACTGACCGTTGTTCAGTCAATGTGTGTGAGGTCTGACCTAAATCGAGCCGACGTGGAATCAATACAGCAATCAATTAGCAAGGGACGCTATGTTCACTTTCCACATATGTCACAGAGATTTATTTGGAGCAGAGGGCAATAGTATTCTCTCTTTTGACATTTTAGTTCAATTTCACACTTTGACACAGATGTGATGAATACATCTGGTATTCTGGTTTAATCCGTCTGAGGAAAAAAGTGTCCTAATTAGCTCGTATTGTTATCTGTTAACATTCTCTAAATTATTCAATTTAGTGAGCGGGAATCCAAAAAGGGCTGTAGTGCACATTGTAATTTAAACCTGTTGTGCAGAGAATAAAAAATATCTTTCTTCAATCGCCTTTCAAAGTGCATCAGTCGTCTGTTCATCCGCTAACAAACATTTACTGTAGCTACGACGCGGGCCAATCACAGCACTTGGATGCTACGTAGGGCGGGTCTTATCAAGAAGAGAAGTGAGATTCCGGACGACGCCGCTGTTAATGTTGGATGCTAACTTCCGGGCACAAAGGCCCCATGATCCGCCATTGCTTTCCGGATTGGAGTGAACGGAGACGTGACTCTTACGTCCACGTCGGAAATGAAGTAACTCATTTCAAAATAAGAGGCATGCAATTGCCGTTTGTGTGAAAAAATGTCCCGTTCGTTATAACGAGGTTATGTAGTTATTTGTGCTGCTTTGTCATGCTAATAGGAAATTATTTTGGATACACCACCAAAAACGTCACGGTAAGTCTAGCTTTTACATTACTTATCAGTTGTATTTATGTGCAAGTTTATATCTAATTGAATTGTTCGTCATTGTGGTTATTTCCTTTACTCAACAAAGTTGTAGCTATAACATATTCGATAATACTTTTAATTTGAAAGATACAACCGGAACCTCTTTTTTCTAGCTAAACATCACCGAGGCGTTCGTCTGCGCCGTTTCCTCCTGACTCTACTGCTTTTCGCTGAGCAACAACGGCTGAGCTAACCCTGTACCGTAACTACATGTCAGGTGATGCACTGAGGGTGGTTTGCAATAAAGACCACCCGCTATGCAGTGCTGGTGCTCGGTGGACGGCTTGTAGGTATCCGTTTGGTAGCATAGTTTGAGACCAGATATCAGGAAGCTGACGAAAAGAGAACCGTTGAAAGAAGATAGACAGGAGGCCACGGTTCCCCCTCACACACACACACACATCACCACGGCCTTGATGGTGATGTATGCAAGGAAACCAACAAGAGTCAGCGATGGGTAATTCCAGCACAAACCAAGATATTTTCAAAGTTATTCGTAATGTTAAGCCTTTTTTTCCCCGCGAGGAACGGTTACTAATTTCTGCCTAAAACGTTAACTGTTAACCTTAGCTGTCAGAGCTACGAGCTAACAGCTTGTCTGCAATTAGCTTTGGGTTCCGGATATATCCGTTTAGCTTATCGACGAATAACTAAGCATAACGTTAGCTAACCGAAGCGGTACCGGTAACCTTTAGTGTATACGCCATAGTACGTGCGATATGATTTCAACACGATCTGTAATACTCGTGACATAATAATTAATCAGCTGTTGCTAAGGTGGCAAAAAAATGCTAATCGACTTAGCTAACGGCAGCTAATAGCTAGATAACGTTCTTTTCCTCAAAGTGTGTTGTTACCGTAATAAAAACAACATAATCGTTAAACTGCACACCGTCTTACACTATCGTCTGTTCTATGTGTTTCCACAGGTGCAACGAGAGAAGGGATTCACAATCCTATCAGGTATGAGGCTGTTAACGGTCACTAACTGTCATTATTGTCCACTAACTTAGCCGATCAAGGTGTAGAATTTTCCTTTTAGAATTATAGAAAATGTGTCATGTTGGGGATGCTGCAACCCCACTCAAGCATTTTTAAGTTAATGCTTCTAAGTCAAGTCTCATTTACTTCTCAACGTACATTTATTGTCACTTGATTAAAACTAAATAAACCACCATAAACGGTTGACTATTTCTGGCCTGTGGCTTTCTGTAGGCTACATTTAAAAAATGCTGAACGGCAGTGAAGATACATATTTTAATATTTAATACAGAACCACTTTTCAAACTAATATTATTTCCATAGACATTCTGCAAAATATGACAAAAATGACCCGACCTAACACGTCTTTCTGCCGTTCTTTATTCAATCTAGACCCATAAATCTCAGCCAAAGAGCCAGACCAGTGGCCCTAACCGCTATGACAAGGTGCGGGATGGCTCATCGGACCCCACACCCCCTTTCAAGATGCTGCGACGCTCAGACGAAAGTCCTGTCAGCAGACACGGAGACGGCCCAGCGCACGGCAAGGCAAAAACCTCTCAGGCCGTTAGGGGGAAAAATGGTAAGCTTGGATCTCGCCATTGCTCACATGCATGAATGTTTTTTTTTTTTTTTGTCTTAAATGGTTGTTATGATGCAAAGGCAGCATCTCGGTCATACAGCAATGTCGGACAAATTAAAAAACACATTGCATTATTGTGGATGCAGGTAAACTAATGGTTCTCACCTTCAACTTACTGCTATCAATTTCTTGGACACAAAAATCTCAGATATTCTGCCTTCACACTCACCCATATCACCGTTTAGCACCCGCGAGTGCAGAGTTTGACAAAAAGCAGCAGATTGAAAACATAACACATTTAAAGCTGTAGATTATTTGTGTAATCTTTCTGCCAGATGACATTACAGCTATTACTGCTGTGCAAATGTGAATAATCCAAACCTAAAACTATCGCAAACCTTAGGGAAGGGTTTGTTATTTGGCACTTGTAGCTGTTCCTAAGATTCAGTCCTCTCCCACACATCACACATGTATATCTTTTGTGACCTGATAAGTGGATTTGTTTCAGGGACCAGCGGATCTCCTCAGGAGAATTCTCACAACAACAGCTCCCACCCCGGCTCCGACTCGCATGCGACTCAGAGCAAGCCTGCAGACCGGGTAAGACCTTGTCCAGTGTACTCTGGAACACACTATTGGGTGATTATGTAGGGACGTCTGTGTCACAAGCTTTGCGGACATTTATTTGTCTCCAAAACACTGTATCATTAAAAACTCACATTTATCTAATGGTCTCTTTATATATGAAGGGTCTTCCTTAATATTAGACTTCCTCATCAAAGTGTTGGATTATGTCACATTGAGTATCTGGTTGAACTGAGCAATGAAGGAAGATTATCAATGTTCGTCATTGTCTCATTGGATGTTGGTTCATCATTATAATGAATGCAGGCTTTCTAACCGATGGTATTTCCTGTATACTGCTTTGCTTTGACAATTGTGAAGCCAAAAAGAAAGTTACTCCTCATCTGTTAACCATCATCGGACCTCCATCACGAAATGCATAAAGAAACACCGGGACAGCCCCCCCCTCACCACCTCTCCGAGCTATACACCGATTTGCCAATTACTCATAACCTGTATGAGCTGCAAAGACGTGAGCAGTGAGTGACAGTAGTGTCAATGCGCGATGAATCGAAGGCGGTCTGAAACATTTTGTGACACCTCTGTTAGCAGTTAGAACATAGAACAGACTTGTGCAAGTTATTACCATTTCTATTTGTGTTTTCCGGATTTTACATCTAAGGCTTGAAGAACGATTAACCCGTCACAGAGGATGTGATGTCTGCCGCCAGGTTTATTTGTCAAACTTTTTGTAATAGCTCTTATGCCAGCGGCTTTAATCTTGAAAAACAAATTTCTAATGTGGTTACAAAAAATCCCGATTTGTGGCCACCTCCTGTGGTTTTGATTGTTTGGCATAAGCTGTCTTAAGTCTGTCTTGGCTCATGCCGATAGGAAATGTCAATCACAGGAACATTTTAACATCCAATAGCAGCACTCTCTCCAAACCACACAGTGGTGTGTGTGAACATATTATATTATCACAAGCTCACATTCTCTCACGCAATAGTGTGTGTACAGATGGAGCGGAGGTTTCTCAGTTCAGAGCATATTGCACACTTGTGGTCAAGCCCCCAAAAACAAGCTTCCAGAGACTGCAAGTAGCTTTCAATGATGCCATGAGAATATTATTACAGAGACCAAGAGGGAGTTGTGCCAGTGATATTTTTGTGGCTTCAGGAGTCATTGCTTTCCAAACTGTCTTAAGAAATCTTAAATGACTTTGCCGTCTCAATGACTCTAGCTATACTCAAACTATGAAGGGATTTTGGTCAACAGACACAGGGCTTAGTCCTACGTGCTACCAGTCCCAGCTGTGGAGACATTGGCAGAGTGTTCTCTCAGTAAGGCATTGCTAGACTCATGCACTGTACTTTATTGTCTTCTCTCATCCGGACCTTGAGTCTGGAATAAAGTATGATTTATATTAACTCCCCATTCCTAAGACCAGTGGCATCCTCCTGCTTGCCTCACACATACTAAAAAACGAGACAAGACGTTGTTGCCAGAAGAAGCCCGTCCCTGCTGTCAATTTGAAGAGCATGCATGGTGAATTGCTGACAATGATAGATTTGATTATTTGGCCATATAGTCCTTAAGAGGCTTTGTCACTTTTGTCAAGTTGTCTTTAGTCTTTTACAGGTCTTGTAGTGTATATAGACTTTGTTCTTAATCACGTCTCATGTCTCTCCTCTCTCTCTGCACCAGGAACCAGCCGACGACTGGACAGAACACATCAGCTCCTCTGGGAAGAAGTACTACTACAACTGTAGAACCGAGGTGTCCCAGTGGGAGAAGCCCAAGGACCTGCTGGAGAGGCAAGCCCTCTTAAAATGACATGAACACATCCGTACCCCGGGAGACAACTCAACATTGACCCGAGTAATCGAGATGCTCGTCCTCATGCATTCGTACAGTAGATCGAACAGCTCACCGGTCTTCTCATAGATAGCATTGGCTGAGGATACAGTCTAACTACAAACTGCAATCCAGCACATTGTCACTGGTTTTTTTTCTGCTTAATGTGCCTCAGGGAACAACGACAGAAAGATCCAGTCAAGATGGCGGCAAATAGTTTCCCCAGGGACATGGACTACAGACAAGAGGCCTTGCAGGACAAAGCCTCAACAAGTAAGTGTGGCAGAAATGTAAAAGCAAAGCAATGTGGCTCAGGTTTTGAAATAGTTGTCCGGTCCAGCATTGTGACCAGCTTCTTCTGTTAATTGCTATTCTGGAGAATTCTTGACTATACGGACCTTTTTTTCTTAGAACCTGCACAGATTTTCTCTCACACACGTTCTGTTAACTAAGGCTTTTCTCTCCACAGAGACCACACCAGGGGATCAGTCCGCTGCGTCCAACTCCGGCCATTCCTCCTCCTCCTCCTCCTCTTCTCAGAGCCTGAACTCTGCGCCCGGTGCTTTAGGCTCCACCCCCTCCGCCATGTCCTCCTCCTCTTCCTCCTCTTCGGGGCAGGTGCCTCAGTCTGTTCAATCCCCGTCACCGGCCCTGCTGCAGGACCCGGCCCTTCTGCACCAGCTCCTCCCGGCGCTGCAGGCTGCTCTGCAGATGAACAACGGCAACATGGACATGGCGAAACTCAACGAGGGTGAGCGATCCGAAACATGGGAGACGCACCAGATGTCACTTTGAGCAAAGTTTCTTTTTTTTTCGGTGAAACGTAAACTTCTGGTTTGTAACCCAGTTACGCAGCAAAAAGTGTACGGCAGATTCATGGCGACGTTTCACATAGAGAATTACTTGTCCGCTGTTACTAACCAGGGCGGGAACTTGTCATTAATGATCAAGTTCTTCTGCCGGCGGCTGGCGTATACGTGCGCTTACTAAAAAATACCGTACATGAAAGATGAATCTTCCCTGTGATCCTATTTATTTTCTTACCGTAGCTCTTGTGTGTTTGTGCTTACTCACCTGTTATGTATGTGTGTGTGTGTGTGTGTGCGCGCGCATTCCCTCCTTCTTCCCTCCAGTCTTGGCAGCTGCTGTCACCCAAGCTTCCTTGCGGTCTGTGCTTCATAAGCTCCTCGCTGCTGGACCTGCTTTCAACGTCACTGCTCTGCTCTCAGCTGCACAGCACTCCAATCAAGGTACGGCTGCCTCGCGGTTTCTCACTGTCTGCTACACAAACAATTTATTTTCTTTTTTAGCTCCCTGTTCATGCAAATCACGTTTTCAAATGCAGGGTAAGACACAATTTGTGGCTCACCATCAGTCAATGAAGCACTTTATTTTTGCAAGTGAAGCACAAGGTTTTACTACTTGGAAATTGGAAAATACTATGGAAAAACCAAATACGTCCTCTCATGTATTCCATCGAGCCCCCATTGTGGCGGCAGAGGATGCGACGCATAGCAATCACAACCAGTCGACCAGAGAAAATTGACACAAGCTTGAGCTGAAAACAGAGGCAAAAAATTACGAGTATCCTTCTAAACAGCTTGTTTTTGTCAGATTTCTGGCAGCCTTGTTGCTAAACTGACTATTCGCCTGTGTGCCATTTTTTGTTTTTACTCCAAGCAAGAAATTGCCGCAAGCTTTGTTTTTCCAGATTCTTCATATTTGTCACAGTTATCATTCTGTATTTGAAGATGATTGAAACCAAAAGGAAAGCACAGTAATGCGCCTCTTCTCCACCATCAGCCCAGCACTCCAGTCAGTCGCCCGTCTCCCTGACATCTGATGCATCATCACCGCGGCCCTACGTCTCACCGCGGAACGGCACGCCGCAGAGCAGCCAGAAATCCCTCCTGGCTGGTCATCCCGGCGGCGTCACATCTTCACAAACGAGGGTGAGTGGCCCAAATAAAAGTCCAAAGTACTTTCCCGTTTCTCTATTTCCCCTTCTCCACTTTAACGTCTTTTCCTCCTCGCTTGCATCCCTATTCATTTCTGTCTCGCCGGGTGTTCTTCTGTCTACAGGGCAGCATGTCTTCAGGTAAACAAGGAGCAGCGCCCCTCTCACAGGTTCCAGAGAAGCGCCTGGAGGACCCCAGAACTCTCCAGCAGAGAAGGTAGAAGACACTAGTTTGTTTGGGGTGATCCATTGCTTGGATGTAAAGCAAGCAAATGAAGGCTTTTCACATTCCGAATTACCAAAAACCAGTTATAAACATCTGTGTCATGTTAAAAGGGTTACATTAGTTTATTACTACACTTGTTTATTATAACTGTGTATCAGTTCGTTAGACTGATATTATAGGGCCTCACTTGGACTTCTTGGACATTGATGAGGTTGGCTATTGACTTGACTCAAAGTATGATGAGCTGTGTTTGAGGTATTCTGTGATAATAAATGTGGAAAAAGAAATGCCAAGGACTCAATAGTCCATAGCATCCATGACTAATATGCACAAAGAGCAGCATTCCACCACTGAGGGAGAATGCTGCTGGATTTCATTTCCACCGTCTACACATCAGTAATCGTTTTTTCTCCCTCCATCAGTCAGGAGCTTCTGTGCACGGGATCCAGCCTATCTGGTGCTGCGTTGGCCCACGTCCCCTCCGGCAGCACCAGCAACGCCCATGTCGACAAGCCCGGCTCCTTCACCCCCACCCTGGCAACACATTTTGATGAGAGCCTCATCAGACATATTCAGGGATGGCCTTCAGAGAACATTGAGAAACAGGTATTGTCCATGTCGGAGATCTACACGTGAGACAGAGCAGTGTTAAAGTCTGTTTTTAGTGTTGGAGTCATCACAAAGCTGCCCAGGCATTACAGCCTCACGGAGCTGCCAGCCCAAATTTAGACTCTTAAGTTTTGGACAAAAAAAAAAGAAATCAGGGTCCACTTACTTATTGTTTCCGAAGCTTGCAGGCTCATCTCACAGCCTTTCTGCAAGAGTGCAATAAACAATAACCGCTAAATCGTCTCCGTGACAACTGAGCAACATCCTTCTGAAGAGGATTGGTTGCTCACAGGAAGTCGAATGCTTTGTAAAGACCAAGTAAGCGGTCCTCGTAATGTTCATTCTTCTGTCATACTTTTATTTACAAGGTCGAGAACCAACATCCACCTTTGTTTTCCATGATGAAATTTCAACGTTTGTGATTTGAGAATCTATGGTCGCTCGTCCCTCTCCCGTCAGGCGGCTCGGTTACGGGAGGACCTCCACAACATGGGCAGCCTGTACATGTCTGAGATCTGCACAGAGATGAAAAACCTCCGCTCCTTGGTCAGAGTGTGTGAGATTCAAGCCACACTGAGAGAACAGAGGTGAGGCGAATGTTACATCTTCCTTGGCTAATGAATGAAGATCTTTTTTTCTTTTTATATTGTTTTACATAAATCAATATGGGGACTTTCATCATGGCCCAACCATTATTCTCACACTTATGTTTTCCTCAATCACAGAATCCTGTTCCTGAGGCAGCAGAGCAAAGAGCTGGACAAGCTGAAGAACCAGAACTCCTACATGGTGTGAGGTCCTGGGACGGTTGGATTGAAGCGCAGATTGAAGAAGAGGAGTAGACATGGACGGCGAGCTGCCGCGGTCCGTTTATTCTGCCTCCCAGAGCAACTGAGAAGAGCTGTCAGACATATAAGATGTGGCTGACGAGGTGAAGCTCCATTTTTTTTTCCTGAACATATCTTTTCTCTCTTCTGCTGCTTTTTTTTTTTTTTTTTTTTTTTTTAAATGTCTTTCTTTCAGCGTCCACCACATGAATTGCTCTGGCCGAAAAGGTGGAACTGCCCGTTCACCGATCGGACTCTTTAACACGTGGACATGGGACCTGAGGCTCTTTTCAAACAGCACCTTCTAGGACTGTGAACCTTGGATTGTGTGTATCGTATTGGGTTAACTTGTTTTCTGGTGTGTTTTGATGTGTAGTGGTCAGGAAACGATTACAATTCATCCATGGGGAAAATGAACTAAAAGAAACCACGTCATGGTAATTGGTGTGACACAGTTCTGGGGTTCCCCAATCTTCTGAAATGGACTTGGTCATCCATTGAAATGTATGGATTCAATGGCAGTGATGTTACTAATGTTATTTTTAATTCACTCTACTTGTCCGTGGTTTTGCCGTACCAGGGTGTCTTCATGCTGGTTGGTTTTTTCATGTCATGAGATTAGCAAAGACCTTCGGCCAGACCTTTCTCCGAAAGCTCGTAAATGTGCTTCAGTTTTGTTCCAGTATATGGGAATCCGCGTTGTGGTTCCACTAGTACACATCCGCCGGGGCGTTTTGGCTACTTTGTCAAACACACTCCAGATTATTCAGAGCCATTTTGAAGAAGGCTACATTATTGGACCTAGGTTGGCTGCTAGTACATATGAGGGTTGCATTCATGTGCAGCCCTTCTGGCTGTTTTCTTACCCCTTCTGCTATTTGTCCTTTCTTTTCTTTTTCTTTTTGTGTGCGTGTAATAATTATTTTTTTTCCTTCCCAAGTTCGATTGGGTAAATATTCCATTCCTGTTGTGCGGCTTTGAGATTTTGTAAACAAAGGAAAGGCGACTGAATCTACAGTCATGTAAAGCTAAATTATTCTTGCGCATGATTGAGCACTTCCTTGTTGTCGTGATGGAAAAGATCGATGAAAAGAAGTTTTTATTTTTACAAAAAGGAAACTTGTGTTTTGTTAAATAGTTTTTTTTTGTGTAGCTGTCATGGCTGCACCCTTTTTATTAACTGACTAGCCAGATGTGGACTTTTTTTTTTTTTAATGGGTTCATTCATGATGAGAGGGTATACTTTTTATATGAACAACACATTAAATTGCTGTCATACACTTCCACGCCCATGAAACCACTTCCTTTGGTCTCTCGCCTGTTCTTTTCCTCGTCCCTATAGTTTCCACCAGATCTGATGTGCACACTCTTTGGGGTGGGAGGGTTGGGGCTTTGTATTCCATAAAATATGAGAATAAAATACTATAACACACCTCTTGGAGTTACTCGCTGTTCTAGAAGCTGTTTGTGTTCCTGCATTTGTGCAAATGTGAGCCACGAGTAATTATCCTCATGAATAATGCATTTTGTGATTTTCCTAAATGAAAGTGTGTAATTATGCAGCTAAGGGAGGGTTGAGTAGAGCTCTGAAGGGAATGGACATGTTTGTGCGTTGGGATCAGAAACTAACTTGTCGGTGATTGACAGATGTAGCGGTTGCCACAGTTACACTGTTGCCACATCAATGTTGGGTATGCACCTCCACTTATGGCCACAAGGTGATGACGTTGAGCAGTCTTACGTCAAATTGTTTTGTATGGGCTTTAGTGGTGTTTTAGTTGATTATTTATTTATTTTTTTGTAATTAATAGTGTAGTTTTTCGATATCAGAAGCATCACAATTAAAAACAATCCATTCACCTTTAACAGGAATCTAAGAGAGATATCTTAACATCCTGCGGTATTTGAGAAAGTATTTAGGTATTAGTCCTTTCAGTTAGCCGACCATTGGAGGAGACACCTGTTCATACTTACTGCCCCCAGACGGCCGATACGATTGGAGTCAATGGTTCTCTACTTATGAACATATAGTCAATCATGTCATCTTAAAAAGTATGTGCAGCGATGATTTCAGGAGTGTTTTTTTCCCTGAATGCTGCACTTGCTGAGCTTTGTTGCCTCTGACTATTAAATCGGTTTAAAATGTGTATATTGCGTCTACGTGGAGACGAATATCTGATACCTTCATCTTCAATTAATTGCTGAATGAGCGAGAGCCGTGTGTCAGTTGTAACTCACTTTATTTGCTTTTACCGAGTAGAAGTACTTGAAGAGCGTTGTGTCCCATTGATACTGAGGAGCAAAGTTCAGCGCTTCACATCCAATAAAAGTCCACCTTTGTGTGCACTAGTCAGCATGGGCATCTTTTAATATCTTTTAATCTTAAACTCCTTATGGTGTATTTAAAAGTTAGCCCCAGTTTAACCACAAGCATTTAATCAAAGCACAAGAGAGTCTTCACCTGAGAGTGTTTAGTTGATGCATCAGCAGCTTTAAGTGCAGCGATCAGCCACCAAATATGTGTGCTGTTCATTTTTCCTATCAGAGGGCACGGAGCATGGCAGACATCCCAGCATGCCGCTCTCATTACGAACCCATCTGCACCCGACTTTATAGCTTCAGCTCCATCACTGGCCTAGCAGTAGACACAAGTAAAGCCCCCCGTGTGTCGTTATGTGATCTACGACGCTGAGTGGACCCATTAGTTTGACCTTTTTTTTTTTTTTTTTCTCACACTTCTGCGGTGAGCGAGGAATCATTTCCCTCGGCTTCCTCGGCCACCGCTTTCTTTCCTTCTAGCATCTCTCACTACGGTCTCTTTACGGCAGGCAACACCTTTCATTCAGAAGTCACCGTGTCCTCCTGGTTGTGTCAGAGTACCTGCCTCCTCACAAGATACTGGGGAGTCTTTTTTCATTTATGTGCTAAATTCTGCCCATTACTTCATCATATAGGATACGAAAGTTAAATGTTGCGAGTTCCAAAGCGCTGAAAATGTGACTAACCAGCAGTTTTACGGGATTGGAAAGTGCATCGTCATTTCACTCGTTATTTAACTGAACTTTCCTCGACCCGTTTCATTATTCTGTATTATATATTTTAAGTATTTTTCTTCCGTCAGCAGGAATGAAAAATGCTGTCACAAGCACCCAGGACCAGATATTGCTCTTCAAGCTCATGGGGCAGCTCAGAAACACTGTTACACTCATATCACTCCCTAAATCCTGATCGGCTTGATCACTGACGTCTCACATAAGAAGCAATATACCTCCCCAGCAGGTGAGTGATGGACCCCGTCGCTGCCGTCTTCGATCCCACACCTGTTCACCTCGTCCAGCGGCGGGGTTAAAGGTCGCCTTCATCCACTCCCACCTCCTGTGTTCAGTTTGTTCTCCTCCTGGGGGATTTCTTTGCAGATCGTTGATCTTCAGCTCAGGTCCCCGCGGTGTGTGAGACACCGGTCGGTCCCCATGTCCCATTCATGGGGACCGACCGGGGGGGGGGGGTGGGGGAAGTGGGGTTAATGCGCTAATGACCACCATTTGCACTATATTTATTGCTGTCACAGGTTTATTTATGAGTCCCCAATAATCCAAGTGAGCCCCCCCCCTACCCCTGCCCTCCCCTTTTCAATTAGACCCTCACCTTCTGTCCGCCCTCTTCTCCTATAGTGTAACCCCCCATCCACACTGGCGGGGGGGCACTTACATCAAGGTGACCGATCTCCCCACAAAACTGAGCTAGACCTCGGAGGGGGGTACGCTTAGCTTGACTTTGTAAAACTTTTGGCGAATGACGGATCTGGTGGTCACATTGTTTGGACTGTCAACGACAATATTGGGACAAACTACACTTGGATTGTCATCTCTTCACTAGAATGGTAATACTTGTGATTTAATATCTGAACCAAGGGACCATCAAAGCTGTGCAACAGAGACGTATGATTTAAGTGCCATTACTGCCATTGTTAAAGAGCATGAAATATAGATTCTCTCCATGGCGATGGGCTCCTTCAGAGCCCACTGTGTCTGTTATTGTACCTGAGAGGTTTACAGGCTTTTGTCGCTGGTTTGAAGTGGGCGGGGCCATGTTGGAAACTATGTGACATCACGGTCATAAATGCAGCGATGGGGGTATGTGGCAGGATTATTCTCTCACTCTGCAGTTCCCCTCAGCTCTATTGTTGGCAACAGGCAGCTGTTTATTTACAGAATAATTGAACATAGAGGAGGATTTGTCTACTAATGAACCACACAGTTCTGTCACAACTTATGAAGAACATGTATTATTTATTAGGAGGCCGGAGACAAAACTACTACATAAACTACTACTACATATGTAAAAAAAAAAGTCCTTTTTTTCCAAGCACCAATGGAAACATTTTCTCATAAACTATTCAAACGACACGTCATCATCTCTGCGACTGTGAACCTCAAAATTATAACAAACACACTCACAGCTGGAATTGCCTTTCCACGGGAGCCTGTGAGCATCTTTTGTCATTATACTAATCTACATTTTCCAGCCCGGGGACGTCTAAAATTGGTCCATCTGCACAGTGATTGCTCATCTCTTAAATGACTTGCACACCGAATGCATAAAAACATAATTATTTTGGAGAGCTGATGATTGCACAGAAATGATTGCGTTGCGTAAGTTGGCCGTCAACCCGGTAAAAATAGCTTGTGTAGAAATCACAGAGACAAAATGGATTCGTAAAGACGTCTCAGCATAATAAGTTGAATGTCAAAAGATCTTCTAAGCAGCGGTATTGAGCCCTTTAATGGATTGCTTGGCCTGACATATACTTTTGTAATAAACCTGTATATATTATATATTCATTCACAGCCGTGGCTGAGGATACACATAACAGATATATTAATAACCAATAAATGTAGGAAAGCAACAAGCGAGCAGGATATATTAGTCTTGACTCTTGACAGCCTCGTTAGGACAGCGAGAAACTGTAAGAACACAGAGCGACCACAGGGGAGTGCTGTTGGTCAGGGGTCAGGCCTACTGGTGAATTCCCACTGGGGACCATCAAGTGTCCGACACCCATCTGCTGTGCATCCAGAGACCAAAGGAGTGCTTTGACCACGTTATCTTAACCCATTGTTAAATATTTGTCCATTTATCTTCTTGATATTGGGTCTGAGGGTAGACTAAGAATCAAGAAGGTTTTTAAAATAGGACACCGGTCAATGAGTGTTGGCATATAATTCTATGTTCTTTGGCCTTTGGTAAAACCTACTAAGACATAACTCTGGGTGGAAAGAGGTCTAAAGTGGATTCATGGGTCGGGCTTATGGCAGAGAGCCCAGGGAGACATTAATTAAATGTCTCATGGATTAAAATGGAGCATTAATAGTCCTATTTGTGCTGTGTTAGTGTAGGTTGTACAGGTCGTAGGTTGGTGGCAGTGTGTGGGCTTGAGAATTGCAATTAATTACGTCTTTATTTGACACAACTTGAGTTGACTGGACAGGCCAGCTGCTCATTCACTCACAGCAAAGGACAGCCGTTGAATAACTAGGAATATATTGCTTTGTTATTCAAAAGATTTGGGGAGAGAATTTTAGCAAATTTATAGAGAAGCGATTAAAATTTTGTTTTATACACTGTGTGAGAAACCCTGGCTGACAATTTGCACCAGCGGTGCATCAATTAAACTGAACATACCATTAGACTTTTTCCTACTGCTGGACTTTAAATGTTAATGCTTAATAACTATAAATGACTAAGGAATCCATCTTGGAGCACTATTAGGCTGGACCAGTTAGCCCTCTGAGATCACCCGTCAATTACTTTACTTTTAATTAACTCTTTTTCGTTTAAAAAGTTTGGTACAGCTCAATGGGCTCCAAGTTGCTTATTGTCCTGTGAGAGTTTTTATTTTAGGAATGCCTAAACACCCAACAGCACCTCAACAGCGGGCCTTTGAATGTTTGAACAGATCAGAATCAAGTTGGTAAAATACACTTTATAATGGATGAAATCATGTAAATCAAAATGTCTTTTCTAGGCTCTTAGACATTTTTTACAATTATCCAAAATTCCATTGATAAATAATCAACAAGAGTATTAATTGGCCTTCTTTGCAGTTGGAGGTGCCTAACAACAGACATTTCTTTTGCTGCCTTTTCTTCTCTTCTTTTTGTGCATGTGGACTTTCTGCTTATTGACAAAGCAACTTTAAATGCAAATGCATGGGAATGTGTCTGTGAAGCTGCCCGGGCAGCACTCTTATTCACAAAGGAATGAATAAACATTCAATCCCGGGACTCAAATGGCTGCTTT